TTTTTTTTTTTTTTTTTTTTTTTTTTTTTTTTTTTTTTCCGAACTGACTACGCAAATCGAGTTCAAATGTAATTAATTGATAGTAAAACATTTTTCTATAAGGATTATAACAAAATTTCTTATCAGAAATTCAATTTGTCGTTCTAGAAATAGTTATTCAAATAATTATATATTATGCTCGATTTATCATTACTTTGAATAATGAACGTTGAGTATCATATTCCTATATATTTCGACAAATTTCCATACAATTTTTTTTTAAATACAACAAGTTTACATATAAATATCATACATAAATATCTTTTAAATATACTATTAACATTATTAAACTATTCTTTTTTAACTATTTATTTGTAAATGACTATTATTTTATATATATATATATATATGCGTGCGCGCGCGCGCGCGTGTGTGTGCATGTGCGTGCATGTGCGTGCGTGCGTGTGTGCGCGTGTGTGTGTAGAGTAAAATGTATCCAAACTAAGTATAAAAACTAGAGATGATAGTCAATTATCTCTTGAATTAAAAACTAAGATTGAGCTACGTAAAAGCAGTTGAAATAATATAATAATCTTAAATTATAAATCACATTCACTAAAAATAGAAGTTAACGCTTTTATATATTGATTATCACATAGCTGAATTGGTTTAGAATTTACTAAAGTTTAAAGAAGAGCATTGGCAGACTAACAGTGTCGAATGAAATTGTTAATTTAATTTTATTGTCAAATTCACCGTATTCGAAATTCTTCAGATTATTCAGCATTATTCAGAAATAGTAGTCTCAAAAACATTACACTTTTTCAAAAGTAATTTTGAAAACATCATAGTATGTAAGTAAAAAGACGTAATTTATTTATATACGCATCTTATTTTCACCAGAAAATACTTTAAAACATTCTGAGAATCAATTTTCTTTTTTTTTTTTTTAAATAAATTTCAAAGTGATTTGTTGTTTGCTAGGTGATAAAAACACACAATGTATATAAATAATGATATTATTTCGGTATCGCAATTCCTTTTAGCATTTATTTCAATTTATCACACCTATTTGCCGTACATTCAATTTTCTCTGCTGCTTGGCTTTAGTAAACATATTTTTAAATTCTTCGGAGTATTGCACATAACTAATGTCGTTTGTCAATCAATCCTCCACGTATTACTCTTTGTTGTTAACCTAACGACATCTAAAACGATTCGTTTACACGTATATTTTTATAAAAAAATTAAAAAATGTTTAATACGTTCTCTTTTTTTTTTTTTATAGAATTATGAAATAAAAAGTATAATTTTATATTTTTCAAAGACATAAAGATAGTTAATAAGTTATTTGCTTAGGTATTAATTAGTAAAAATTTTACATGTATAAATAAATCCTTTAACGTTGAAATTCTTTAGTATTCAGTCAAAAGTCTTTTTAATAAATATTCATACTTTGACTAATTTATGTTTTTTTTTAGACACACGCCAACTTCTAGAACATGTCATTTTACTAATAATTTCTTAATATTCGTTGCAGGTATTTGTATAAAAAATTATAATAACCAATCTGTCTGTGATTGTATCAATTTACGACAGAATGACGTTGAATAATAACAAAAGTGGAAACACGTAACATCAGTCATTTTAATAATTACGCTTATAAAAGAGGAGAAGTTTGAAAATCTCTCGTTCGACTCGTACCCCCCAAAGTCGCAACATCATTGTTGCCAACCACCTTGTTATGTATACTTATATATCCTTTCGATTTAAAATGTCGAATTTGTGACAGACCTTTGAAACTTTATATCGACAAACATAAATCATGTATAAGCCACATAATGTTTGTCTTATCGTATTGCGTAAGAAATGCCGTCTATTCGAACGTTTTACTTAATAATGCTGTATAAATACAAAATTATCATAACATTTGTGTATTGAGTTGGGATATTTGCTATATTAGAGTAAGCCTTCTTTCGTGCGATAGACAAATTTTCTTCATAAACTTCGAATTATCTTTAACGTTAACAAAATATTATTATTATGATTAAAAAGAGTTTTTAGCTTTTATTTTGATAGAATGCATGAAAGTTATAATTCAAGATACTTATTGTCTTTTACGGTCGTCAAATTTCTTTACAAATATGATAAATTGAATGTATTTTTTTTGTTACGTGCTAAAATAATTTTCCTCTCTTTTTAATAAACGACCATTAACTTTATATAAGCAATAACGATAGTTAATTTGTTATTGCAAAAAATTATTGACTATACAAGAAATAATGAAATAGGTAAAAAGTTTATATAGTTTTTTCATTAAAATAACTTTCTAGACGTTCATAACTATGTATAAGCATTTAACGCGATAAGAATCAATGAATTACATATTACGAAAATTTAAATCAATGCCTTCTCTCTTAAAATCCTATTGCATGTCTCAAATATCTGTTGATAATGTTTTGATGTGCTTTGAGTTTGTCATCAATCGGCTATGCGGATGCAGCGGCATCGATCGCAAGCGGCAGGATCACTGAGAAAGCAATCGAACATGTTAACTTTCAGCTACTTTCCGCCAAATTTCATCATACCACCGACCGTGATCTCAGCTCGTCAATTCTCCTTAAGATGCAACGATTCATCAAAAGTTCCTTCAAAAACTTGTATTTGCTGCATTTTTAAACTACGCTCTGCTACTGCAACTCTCCATCGTACCATCCGACTCGATGATCGACATGCCGTTCGAGCGGCTTTGGTCGTCGGGATTTCGAAGCCCTTGAGGATTGTTCCTGAGAAAACTCAACGACACTGAGGCCCTTACTCTAAAGCTAAAATAAAGAATTTCCTAGACATTCTTTGCAGTCAATTTTTTGTTTTGTTTTTGAAAAAAAAAAAAAAAAAAAAACTATCTTGATGAAAGGGATTATTGTTTCACAATCTAGAGGTGAGACTATGCGATTGTATTTGACAATATCAGCAGACTTCTTTTCGATATATTCGAGCCGAAGAAAATATATTTGTGACTGGCTTCTTGTGCGCTTGAGCCGTAGGCGCACTTACAATTACTAAAACTCATACGATTAAAAAGAAATTCCAGTGCCTTGATTTGGAGCTTCGGAATTTCAAGAGATATCGTCGCTGATTCATCAACAATTGAATTCGGTGGATAATAGCTTAGTATTCAATGTATCACTCGATTGTCTTGGATGCCATATTTCGCTTAGATTGTGGTACTGAGCTCCAATATAATCTATTATATGCTGTAACCACCATGATCTGGAGTCAAAATGCTTGCTCTCGTTAAGGTGCTCGAGTGCCAATCTTATCAAAGGCAGAAGATTCGTTATTAGAATTGTATGCTAATCGGTAATTCATTAGCCAGACAATCGGCTTAATCACGCATGCGTGAGTCTGATTGTGTCGCCTATGGTTAGCGACTAGCATTATTCATTTAACCGCTAATCGCATATGTTTTAAATGAACGGAGCTAATTGTGCTAAGGAACGAAGAAATTCCATACACATTTTTATACAAACCGGAAATCATTTACGTATGTTAAAGGTTGTATTAATAATAATTCCTACTCCTTTATCATATAAAATAACAACTTTTCAAAAGCATACTTATTTATTATAGAATTGTAATAGTTATTATAAATCGTAGAAAAAATCTTGTGTATGCCTATAAAGCAATAGAATTTCGTATATTTCGTCACTAACGTTATTCGCAGCCTGAAATTTTGAAAACTTCATTAGTAAGGAATTGTATCGTTTACAAATTAATGAACATTTGTTATTTTTCTTGCACATTTCGAACAATATTTCAAAAACGTGAACGATATGATATGAATAATTAATACCTTACTTTTAATTTAAATTTATATTAATTATTATACATTAAATAATTAAATATTAATATTATTAATATTAAACTAATGATTAATAAATTTAAATTAATAACTTTCAATACGAAATCCGTGGTTACCTTTTCTGTTTACAACAATATTATACCATAATGTATATATATAGATTTAGTCAACATGTGTTTACAAAGATTGAAAATCATTTTAATATAAATACATATATTTATAAATATTTATGTGAAAAACGATTTTCACAATTTCCTTTTATTTACAATACCATAAATAATTAAATATTTAAAAAAAAAAATTTATAATAAAATATATTTTAAAATTATTAATATCGTGCAATTGTTTAGAAATACATAAAAATTATTATTATGTTATGGATATTAGTTATGGGAATTAAATTTAGTAATTTCGTTTGTTTTTTCATAAATTTAATTTTGGACTAAAATTTTACTATTCATTTATTCATTAAAACACATTTATAAACTATTCGGTTTGTTAGAATTATAATTAAATTTAAACAAACATAGATCTGCTCTTTTACAGCCATAATATTATCTTTAAATGAGATTAATAAATAATACGTATTAATATTATGATGATTTATAAAAATTAAAAAATATCTTTAAAATTTATCTGCGTTAGTGTTAGTAAAATACATGAACTATTACTATAAAATGTTTAATACATTAACATTTTCAGTAAAATTCATCGATTATCTTATGAAGATTTAATGTCGATATTTTTCCATCAAATGAAGGAGTTTCGAATAAACGAGCTTCGATGCATCAATGCCCCATATAAAGTCCAAGTGATTGAAGGACGGATCGTCGACTACATTGATTTTCACTTTTCTTGACTGCATCTCATACAATTTTAGCACATCCTATCAAATAATATTAACAATTAGATTTGCTTACATTTTAACACTTTCATTTAACATGTTATTAGTATTATTATATTATTAATATTCCTTTAAACTCTTAATACCAAATAAAATGACCTGTTGGATAATGCATTAGTAACAAATTAATATTTTAAATAATATAATTTTATTTTGAAAATATTTAAAACCAACACTTTCGGCAATTTAAAGTATTCCTTATATGAACACAAAGCCATTAAATCCATACATTTATATTTCATTCGATATTCACTACTTTTACTACACTAAGCATATAAAATAAATTTATTATAATAAAATAAAAAGAATTTAAATTTTTAATTTTAATTAAATAAGAAATAAATTTAAATAATTAAACGGTCATTATTGTTTGTGTAGTCTAAATGACTATTGAATTTCAACATATATTTAATGACAGTGAAAAGAAAATTTAATATAACAATTTTTATATATAAATATTGTATAAACTTTGCCAATAAAGCATATATTGCATATATTATTAATCAATCGCTTGATTCTATTATATACAACGAATAATTTTGAAATTACACTCAAGAACACAATGAGTCAAAATATTTTATGAAAATAAGCATATATTATTATTAACTTAGTACGTCGCATATAAATAATAAATCTTGTATATACAAATTATGTGCGTGTGCGCGTGGGCGCGAGCGTGTGTACATATAGAACTATTTATCTTTTTTTTTTTTTTATTACGAGATGATATTGTGTGTAGCTAGAATATTTGAAATAATTCAATATATAACATTATTAGACTTATTACAAGTTTATACCTTTCGTTGGGCCAGAAAGTCATTTTTACTCCAAAATAGTTGAGTAGGCACATCAATTTTTGTTAAATCATAGTCAGGCGGACTTTTACTTTTGTAAATTTTTGCATTCATTTGCGAGCCGTAATCATATTGACGAAATTTTTTAGATTTAATTCCTTGTGCATAATGAATGACAGTTTTCAATGATGTTCCAGCGGGAGTATGAGTCAATATTAATGGCAGCATTGTCTATAAGAAAAATATATCAATTGAATTTAAATTCATAGTAAATTAGCTATATAAGATTAAAGAATCAATAACTGTTTAATAACTATGTAGGGACTTTTTATTACAAAAACTATTTTACACATAAACAATAATCCGTTTGTAAATATAAAATAAATTATTGGAAAATTTGATTATCATTTTAAATAAATGTAATTTAATTTTTTATAATATACTTAAGCTACGTTTAGTTACATATTTCTAATGACAATTTAATGCATTAAATTGTATGCGTAAATAAATTTAACTATTTATATAAGGACATACTATGTTTATCTTTAAGGATATTATTAAAAATTACTATTAAAAACATTGTAGATAAGCACTACATAATTATTTTGATTCATTATTAATATTTTTTAATTTAGTTTAATTCTTACAAACAGACAATAGACTAAATATTAAATGAATTTATAATTTTTTTTTCATTTTATACGATCTGAATTGTTTTCATGTTTATTTTTTGATTCTATGACAATCTATGTTCACGAATCTAACGTCATGTATAACATTGAAAATTTATATTATTACTTTTCATATTATATTAAAGAGTACATTAGATTTTAAACTTTAAATAATTAATCTAGACACTTGGTGTCTAGATTTTTTATTCCCGTATTTCCTTTTCTTATTAAGATTACAAAAGTTATCTATATTTACTAAAGATTAAATAAGTCTACAATTAAAAAACGATTTATCATAATGAAAAATTATTTTATTTCTATCATCTGCCACATTGCCTACTTCTTTCGCTATAATAATAAATAATAAAAATAATAGTAATAAAAATAATAATAGTAATAATGATAATAATAATAATAATAATAACAACATCAAAAACAAAAAAACAACAACAACAACAACAACAACAACAACAACAACAACAACAACAATAATAGTAATACAATAAATGTAATAAAATATAAATACATATAGGTTTGTTATATTATATTCTAAAACTGTAATTTATTCTCATGAACGCTTACAATGTCGAATAAGATATTCTATAATTTGAATATTTCTATGCAAGAAAAATAATTTAGAATTTGTCATTTATTTGTCAAAATTTGCTATTTTTGTTTCCATCATTATGCTTATTCTTATAAATTTATACCAATTTATACTTTATAGCCTTGTATTTAATTTATAGGCATAACTATATATTATCTTTGTACAATTATAATGAGATAATTTAAAAATGTAATAATTATTACAAGATGAAGTATCGAAAATAAAGTATCTCAAATGTAAAGTTTTTTTAAAAGTAAGAAAAATTAAGAAGAATCGCGTTTATATTCGTAGAGGTTATTTTGTTAGATATATTTCTTATATACGTACCGTATTAAATTGTCTTGCATTGAAACCAACAGATGAAAAAATAATATCTCGACATATTTGTTTTATAATTGGCCTATTACAAATACACTTCGCTGCGAATTTGAATACAGAATTTTGTGCGAAAAATTCATGCGTTCCTTCAAAATTTGTATATTTCTATAAAATAATATATAAATTTAACATGTCAGTTATAACCATGCACTTGTATATTGTAGATGATCTAATCGAACCTGAAGATTTCCAAGAAATACTCCAAGTGGAAAAAATAAACCATTTATGTTACTAGTAAAAGTAACTGGAGCAAAGCCAAACATTGCTTTAACTTTCGATGCAATGTCTGGTCGTTCACTTGCCATCACATAAAAAATTGTAGTGCCCATTGAATGTCCTATGTATATTAAACTGTCATTTTTCAGTGATGTGATGTAATCAATTTCAGCCGGTACATCGTAAATACCCATTTCATGCCAACTATAATTTCATATATTGGATAGATCAATAAATTACGGACATATGTGCATTACAGTGAGATATAATGCTTAAATACATTAATCAATGTTTTTATGATGATTACCAAAATTATTTATTGCTATTATTGGCGAATTAGTGTTATATAATTATGCAACAGACGCCAAGTATTTCATAAAAGTGCACTCGATACAATAGCTGACGATACTTTAATTGTAAATTACCAAAATAAAATCAAGTTTCGATTTATTGAAAATTTCTTCAAATTTAATCAATTTCTTAATTATTTTAAGTTTGATAATTGCTGAATTAATTAAGTTTAGCCGAGCAATAAATCATTAAGCATCATTTTCACATTACATTATTATGATTATTATGGAAAATTTATTTAGTATGTATGTTTTGATAATTTAGAATTTAAAAATATAATATGTTTTTATTCGAAATGTATTTTTGAATTCAATCAATAGTACAAAAGCATAATAAATTTATTATATTGTTTATAATAAGATATTTAGATTCATTTTTATAAAGAATATTTGCTCAGTATTATTAACATATATTATTGCATTATTTTTTATTGCAAAATTAATTTTTTATTCAAACTGTTTTATTTTATTTTCATTAAATTGAAGATATAAAAGAATTTTTTTCTAAATATTATTAATTGAAAGCTTATAGAATATAAATTTTAAGCTGAAATTGAAAAATGAACTTGAACACAAATAATGGATATTTTGGAAAATATTACTTCAAAATTCAGTAAATCTAGTATCACAGCGAACGATAACTTTGATTAATTTTAGAAAATAGCAATTATCGCAATCCTCGAAACTTTGGATAGGATAAATTTTTATTATTATTTTAAGATTTTTAAACGAATAAATCAATAGAATCAATTGTAGATATGAATTTATCAAAACGTACCTAAAGTTCCAAAATTCGGGATCAGACGTTGATAAAATAGTGTGATTTTTTGAGTACGTGTTACCACGAACATTTCCCATCCAAACGTCGTAGCCTTCATTAGCAATGAGATACGCTAAAAATTGTTAATAGTCAGAGTCAGAATGCTATTGCGAAGCCCTATTTAGGAAATAAAGTGCTTACCTAAACTTTTCTTTTTTCCATTGATAATCCAACAAAATGAGCTTTCCAATAAAGCATGCTGCAATAATACAACAGGTGATCCTTTCTCGCCTGGAATTCTATGTAAAGTCAAAATATAACCATCTTGCGTCGTAACGAAATGTTCTTCCGTTGGATATCCCGATTTCTTTATCATATCTATCTGATAATATTGATTCTATTAATACGAAATTGTTAGTAGAAAATTTCTATTTATAGATACGGTGAAAATGATTAAATTCAATAAGATATTATTATTCATAGTAAATTCGATGTTAAACTTTAGTTAATTATACCCATATCATTGTAGTAAAAAATTTTTATAAAAATCAATTCCAATGATAAAACTCAAAATAAGTTGAAATAAATTCTAATTTGTCTGTCTTGTTCAGTAAAATTAATTTTCTAACAAAATCTAATTTATTCGTTTCAATAATAATAATAATAATAATAATAATAATAATAATAATAATAATAATAATAATAATAATAATAATAATAATAATAATAATAATAATAAGGTTTGCTTGAAATATTGTGAAATCATTATTAATTGAATTGATTTTATAAACGAACTACAAGTACTCCTTTTGGCATGAAAGGAAATAAAAAATAATTTTTTAAAATTTTGTTACATAAAAATATAAATAAAATATTTATATTTTAATTGCTGACAAACATATCATTTTACATTCTTTCACAAATGCAATTCAATTGGATTCTAGTATATTTTTTCTAAATGTTATGAACAATGATTTATAAATAATTCCTTTATTATTAATGTTTTAATTATAGTTTTAATTGAATATTTGTTATCTAATCGAATTAATTGATTGCTTATTCAACAAATTAAAGAAATATTTTTTGCTTATAAATTCAATGTTAATCGGTGACTTAGTAATGTGTAATAAGTTAATTTATTATTTTGATATAAAAGTGAAACTTAAGAATATTATTGTATTGGTTTGATTTAATTACAATGAATGTGTGACATTTAATTTTTTTCATATTTTTCTTGAATTCTATGATTTATATTTATAATTTACGGGTATTCTTAATTAATTTTCAAGAAACTTTTGCTATTTTATTATTAAATATTATTGTAAAATGATAATTTGAAAATTTGATAATAAAAATCTAAATAAAACTTAAGAAGCATTTTTTAACAAAATCTTGTAATTAGTTTTGTAAAATTTCTGTCTTAAGGCAACAAATAAAATCGGTGAATAAAAAAAAAAAAAAAAAAGGGGAAAAAAAAAAAAAAAAAAAAAAAAAAAAATTAAATCAATGAAATTATTTGTTCAAAATAATGAAAAATATTAATATTGTAATAATTTAAAAAAAAAAAAAAAAATAAATTTTTTAAAAATTTAAAAAAAAAAAAAAAAAAAAAAAAAAAATTGCTAAACTCAACTCTACATATCAAATTTAATATAAAAATTTATCATTTTTTCCGAATTCGATATATTTAATTTTTTATGTATCTACCTAATATCATTTTAGGTTCGTTTGTTATATATAAAAATATTGCGACATAATTGTAATAAAATTTTGTAAATCGATACTGTTTATATATTTTAAATGACAATACATATTGAATGACATACTTGTTGAAAAATAATTTATAGTTTTATATGGGCTTGATTAAGAAATTACAAATCATTGATACATTTAACACTCATCATCTCTGAAATTATAAATTTGCATAATTTAAAATATTTCTGACAGGATTATAATTTTCCTTATTTGCAGTTCTAGAAGCATAGGCTATTACAAATATCGTGTACGTTACTTACAGTTGTCATTTCTTCCTCGGGATTGTTACTACAAGTTGTGTATTCAATGGATTGAAAAACGTCATTGTTGATATAATTGAAAGCGGTAGTCGATCTTTTCATCTCCTGTTGGATTTGCACGTGTATCTTGTTTGGTAATGCTAAGATGAAGCCAATTAGACTCACCAAACAAGCAACAACTACTTGATGACGCTTCATGAAAGACATGATGTGAACAACAGGCATATAATATCGCATATGAGGAATGAGAGTTGTAAAACTATCGCATAACACAAAATAGTACAATACCATTAAAATTAATTCTTTTTTTTTTTTTTTTTTTTTTTTTTTTTTTTTTTCTTTCTTTATGAATTACAATAAATATACATTCTATATACATACATAATTCAAGAAAGACTTTATTTTATATCTAAGATAATAAAAAACTTATAAAATAATTATATGAATATTTTAGATAATTCACTAAGAACGTATTAGAATGAAATAATTATATAGAAGTTTCGCGTAAGAAAATAAATGAACAAAAAGCCTTATTATTTTTTCTTTTTTATTTTAATTGAGTTTTTATAAAGAAATGAAGACTCGCGAAGCTTATATAATATGATTACATAAACATAGTATAGAAAAATAATACGCGGAGCTTAAATTTTTCAACCATAAATTAATTGCTTTAAAATTCTTTGAAATTAATTAACAAACTTTTAACTTAACCAATTCAATTCATAAATAATTTAAACGAATGAAGCAATACGGTTTTCAAAATATAGGAAAAATCAAGTATATTGTGATAGATTGTATAGTGCTCCTTCGTTCATTTTTATAAAATTTATTTATTAAAAAAAAAAAGAAAATATTATCTGGATTATCCAAGATATTTCCAGTCTTAAATATTCATACTACCAAAATATGTAAATAATTTAAGCAAAAATGATATCTACATATAACGGTCTCATAAGATTCCAACTTTTTAAATAATCAATATTACAAAAAATATAAACAAATCTTTCTGATATAATAGAATTTTATTAAAATATATTTTATTAAAAATAATTCTTTGTTAATTTATAATATATAATGTTAGGTATATATTTTTAAGTTTACAAAAACAACTGAAATAGTATAATGATGAATTATCAAAATTTAAATCGGTACTAAATAATTGAATATTAGGTATTTCAATTATTAATTATTAAACAAGTAACAAGTCTTACTATTTATCAGCATTTCATAATTATTCAATAATGAAAATGAAACTCTAAATAAATTGGTAAATTAAATAGTTACTTTAAAAGTTGCTCTTTTAAATATTTCAAGCTTAAATGTAAAATATGTTATGCATACAATTTTCAATACTAATTGGAAAATATAAGAAATAGTTTTTTTTTTTTTTTTTGTTTATTTTATAAAAATATCATTCATTGAAAAAATAAACTGCATAACAATTAGTTGCAATACTTTAATAGTTGTTTGATGTAAATTTCTTTGCATTATTATTTTATAATTTTTGAGTGTAAAAAATACTAAGATACTTTATGTAGAGAATATTTGATGCGTATACCTGTTTAGATCTAATAATCATTGGATATTATGTTCTTAATCACAAAGGTGAGTAAAGTTTATTTCTCTTGTTTCTAATATTAAAACTTAAATCTTTTGACAAACCTTAAACACGTGTAATCTATTTCATTAAAATTTGTCTCTTGTAATATTGTAAATAACATCTTGAAGTAATATTATAATATTTTAACTGTTCCGATTATTGTGTAAATTAAATCTTAAAAATATGTAGACTATTAAAGATTTAATTCCATACATAAATGTGACAAATTATACAAAATACATAACTGTAAATATTTATAATGAACTATTTAAGCTTTATGAAATATATATATATATATATATATATACATGATACATAATTTGTAAAATAGATTGACATTCATTTCCAAAAGAGTATTGAGGAGGATTTAAACTAAGATAATATAAATTTTAATCATATTTAAAATTTCGTTATATAAAAATTATTATTTAATATACAAGTATAAAGGTATTATTGTTGTTAAAATTAGCCCTTGCAGTATGTTGACTAAATAGCATGTAATTTAATTCTATTTATATTTGCGTACATCACTAGTTGTATTTATTTATAATTAATGAATGTAATTATTAATTATTGAAACGACTTCGCAACTTTTGAAATTGTAAAAACTACTTATGCAAAAGATTGCATAAGACGAAGAATCTACAGATACTGTTTTTAAATCCCGACGTTTAATATAATATTAATTAGAAACTGTTATATTATGCATTGAAAAGTAATTATTACAATTCATCTACAGAGGTATTGTGTGTGTGTGTGTGTGTGTGTGTGTGTGTGTGTGAAATATATGTACGCATATGTGAGTAATCTCACTGTTTTTACTTTAAGGAATACGCTACTCCGGCGACTGTTTATAAAAGGCGATAAAATTGTATTCCATTAAAAAATTAACTTGTACATTATAAAATTGTGAAATATCATAATTCGCACAATTATTGAATGCAATGAAACGATAGGAGGACATTTCTGAAATGTCGTATTAATAGAGTCAAGTAGCGCCCATTAGCGAATTAACGTTCACTCGATCAACTGAATGTGACATTACCAGCGGGGCTTCTTCGTAATATTTATCAGCCGCAGTCATTTTCAAAATAATCGAACAATATTATTTCGTGTCTTGATAATAGAGAAACGCGGCACGCTCTTGGCCTATCGTTCCAATGAAAATGACGAAACAAAAGAAGAAGAAGAAGAAGAAGAAGAAAAAGAAAAGAAAAAAGGAAAGAAAAAGCGCCGGTAAAAATGGCGCGAAAATTCAAGACGTATCTTTTCCAATGAAATTAGCGGCCGTAATTGGTTTCTACATGGCAGGGATAAATAGAGCGGAGGGCCTGGGGACTTATGAAAAGTAATGAAGAACAAATATAGTACCATACTTGTTATCGTATGATTAAGCTTGCGACAACAGTAGCCGAAGGACACGTACGTAGGACCTCGTGTAATAAATCACCTCTCATTGCTAAATTTGCCGCTCGGCAAACGCTCAGCAATAATATCAATTGGCCCAGGGTAAAGCACCCAAGGTCTCCTCAGTCCAATTCATCCAATTCACCGAACTCCTCGAAACACAATATTTCAATAACCTACGATTACTCACCACATATGCTACCATTATCATTATATAAGCGCGTCCGCGATAAAGTGCAAGATGCACCAGGAGTCCGCGTGAGAAGCTGTCGCGTGCAGGAGGTGAGGCGGTCGAGGAGCAGGCTGAACCGGTGTCATAAAAGGATCCCTCGCAAGTCGCACGGCGCTGGGAAAGACAATGCTATTTTGTTCAGTGTCTACCGATCGACCGACCTCTCGTCGACTTGACCGTTACCGACTCGTGTCCCGTGTCACCCGTCTCCAGGAGCGTCGTCTACAGTCAAGACGCCCAAGCCCGAGATCCGTCCGCAAAGTCCAAGCTCCAAGCGAACAGAAGGGGAGATAACGAGTGGGCCTAATAGCAATAGCGTCCCCTGCTATCTCCTTCGTCTGGATATGAATTCATCGGTTGCCGATGGACGATTGTGCGTGAGGCGAGAAAGTTTCGGTTGGGCCAGCCTGAGCAACAGCTTATTCGTCCGCTAAATCGACCGCTACGTCTATGCATGCATAAGTGCGGCAAACTAGATAACAAGATAGATGGCTTCTACGAGTAGCCGTTGGCGTCGACCGCCTAATCGCCTCCCCTGTAGTACGGCTCTCCCGCGAGTAAGTCGACAATCGAAGTTATTGGTCCGATCGGCCGACAAGGATGACGATATTAGCTATGAAAATGTCGAATCCCTGTGCCCGCGAGACTGACTCCGGGGCTTCCTCCGTTCCCCTTCTGAAGTCCGTAGTTGCGCTGGATTATTATCGAGCCGGCAACATCGATGACGAAAGACAGTCTACATTTTTGGGAGTACATTATCGTAATCGTTCGGCAAGTCGATTGACAATTTTCGGCTATACAAAGCCGTTGCCAAGACGCTAATGGGACATTTAGAATTCCGCATTATGTCTAGGACGACGATTACGTGGAAAATGCCGAGAGGAATGCAAAACACATCACGGCTCGTTTTATCTTTGACATTTGACTATTAAGAACAAAGCTGTAGCGCCTCTTTACGATCTTCTCTTGCCTATTGCTACACTTCCTTTTATCTAATCCCTAACTATTAATCCTCTTATTAATAAAATTATTGATAATCATATCAATGTTCAACAATGTTTGCCTAACAATGTAAGCTGCATGTCGATGTAACTATCTTTTCTAGATTATAAAATTATATTATATTACTGTGTCATTGTTATATGGACTTTTAATCCTAATGCGACAAATGTAATTATAAAAATATTGCATATCTTTGGCTATAATTAGGATCATAACAAAAAAAAATAATAATAATAAAAAAAAATAAAAAAAAAAACGAATTTAGAAGAATCAATGTATTTTGATGGTAAATGTGAATTCTTGGTAATAATTTTTATCGAATATCAAAATTATTGTCCAAATTAAATAATAGTTAAACACAATGATAACAACATAATCTTCACGACTCTCGATTATTAATATATTATTTGTTATGAAGTCCATACAAAATTCTAATACTAAACTAAAACTAAAACTAAGCTCGATATAATCTTTAATCAGACATTACATATGTTATATATATATATATATATATATATATATATTATATCGTAATTTAATTCGAATGTTTGATACATTGAATAAATATGGTAAAATTTAAATGTTCACAGTCTTGTCTATTAACTTTAAAATTATATCGAATCATATACAATGTCAAAATATTTAACTCAATATTTAATTTCAAAATTATCGGTTATTGCCATAATCTTATCATTTATGATTCAGCCAAATGATATATAAAAATCTAAGAGAATATGATTTTTCATATGTAGGTAACATACATACATCTAAAAGCGATTAAAGTAGCTATTTAAATATAATTTGTAGCTAATAACAAGCCTTTATAAATATTAGAAAATCTATAATTTATGAAAAATTAATAAGAAAAAAAAAATTATTCTAACAACGCCGTAATTAATTCCTTCTAAAAATATGATTTTTTTTTGTAAAATAAAATACATAAAATTAGATTTTCTATTTTTAAATTTACTCGATAAATGAACGATAGATTGATAGAAAAATAATAAATTGTTGATGCATTGTCGAAAATTCATGATCTTAGTATTAAGAACAAAATTAAAGGATTTATGATAAATGTCGATGATCTTGATAATAAGATTGTAAAATGTCAAAAGAATAAAAATTTCTCTAAAGTGAAAAAGTAATTGTTATTTAAAATTAATAATTAACAATTTTGTTTCTAAATAATTAACAATGAATTATTAAAAACTTGAATATTACCATTAATTTTCTGCATAATTAATTATTAATAAATAATAATCTGCATAATTCAATTAACATTTCTTTCTTTAAATAAGGATTCGAAAATCATGTTCTACGTTTTTATATTTTTCAAAGATTCGATTATTCTAATTTATACACTAATTTAGAAAAATATTTTTATGGTGATTTTCAAGATAAGATTTTTTTTTTTTTTTTTTTTTTTTTTATTACCATTCAATAAAAGACATTAATTCAAATATATGATCGTAAAATACTAATGGATTGGTAAATTTAACCAGTAGATTCCGATCGTTTAATAATAATACATGTGATAGATAATAAAAATAAGAGCTCTTTCCAAAAATTTATTTACATTAGCAATTTAAATTTGTATTTTGCATTCTTTGAACTGTATTTATTTAATAATATAAATTTCTTGTAAAATTTACTATATACTAAATACTATTTATTATAATTATTATTGTTGATTTTAAATTATATTGGTGGAATTTTTATATAAATAAATTTAGAAATTTATATTATTGAATTTATGTATTTTACTGTAATGATGAAGTTTTTATTCATATATTAATTATATGTATTTATGTTTATTTTTTTAAACCTACCGTACATTATTATATTGCGAATAAATGTCACTGTCACATTCATGATTGCTACAGTTAATAAAAATAGGCTGCGATATATTAACTTGTAACTTATTTCCTATAATGAAAATTTTTTAATTTACAGCATGAAATGTAATTATATATAAAAATTTACAAATCAACTATAATTTTACAATGTGTATATAATTTCCAACGAATTTTTACTTGAATCATTTATTGTATATCTATAATATTTTTATTATTATTTATTATTAGATTATTCAATATTTATTTATAAATTTGAACTCGCAAATTTAAACTGTCACTCAAGTATTCACAAATTCAAGAACAATAAGATCTAAATCGATATGTTCCAAAAAATCAAAAATTAATGGTTTTACTGTTATAGACTATAATTTTAGTATATTTTAATTTAAAAATGAAATAATTATGTACTTCTTTGCAAATTTTCTTCATTAAAAAGAATGGGTCACTTCATTATTTTAATATACATTTAATACAATTGTTAATAAAATACTATAAAATTCCTTTTATGCATTTCATTAATAAGAAGCATTAAATATGTTATTAGCATATTTCTCAATAACGTTAATTTTTATTGCAAATGTATTGTAAATTTTTATTTATAATTAAAGTTTCATTTACTTGTATTCGTTTTATTTCATCACTTTTATATAAGATCATAAAATTATCTACGAATTATCTACGATTGTACTTATTTGCAGTTTCAAGAATAGTATCGATATATTTTTTATTACTCACAGTTGTCATTTCTTCCTCACAATTGTCATCAAATGTCACATAGTCAACGATTCTAATAAAGTCAATATTGGTGTGATTAAACACAGTAGATAACCATTTCATCCCCTGCTGCATTTACTTGTTCATGTGCAATTAATTCTTAAACATCAAAGTAATACCAATTAAACTCACAATTAAGATTTTGTAGTGTTTTATAGATAAGAAAATATTATAACGTTATATTAATATATATATTATATATATATATATATATATATATATATATATTAATTAATACATATTTATTAATATTTATTAAGAATATGAGCAAATGATATTGGAAGAATGATTATTACGACTATTTACAAAGACAAACATTTATTGCTACAACGTCAATGATTCCAGATAGTAAAACTTATCCATTTTAATTATGATATGCAATCGAAAAATAAGATATGGAAATAAATCATGATAAATCTATAATTGACTCGTTAATTATATGTAAATCAATAACAAAGACACTTGAACATATTCGACTGATAACAAAGGAATTGTATTATGTGTATGAATAAAAAAGTAATCAATAAGATCTATAAAAAATCATATCCATATTACTCGTGATCTTTTATGAAATTTATCCAATAATCAAGCAAATATTTAATAAAGACATTGTAATTAAATATCAAGTACTTTAAAATGTGAAATAAGTAGATTAATATTTAAATCACAGAAGATAAAATTAATTGATAAATAATTAAAAAGTAAACTAAAATTTGAATCATAAAATTATCAATAACTGCATCTTATGAGATCATTCATAATATTAAACAGAAATTTATAAATAAATTATTTAAAATCATAGAAGAAAATCAATAAACCGAAATAAAGTAAGCTAAACAAAAGCAAATAATCATTTTTATAAAATGAAATACAATATATTTACGCAATATTTCCTTAAAGAGATTTTTTGTAAAATATAATAATTTTTACATAAAACTATGTATACGAAAATCAAACTACTTCAATTTATTAAAATAAAAGTTATATTCCCATTATATAATTATTTAATCTCCTTAATAATGTGATCAATTTTGATATAAAATAATATAATACAATATAATTTTAATACAATATTACAAGATATACATATAATTATTAAAAATTCTTTTGAATACTATAAAACTCTTTGGCTTAAACAAGTTCGTGAAAGTAAATTAATAATTTATTTATTCGACAGTCTTATAATAAACAAATTTTTGAATCGATTGAGAGAGAGAGAGAGAGAGATAGATAGAGAGAGAGAGAGAGAGAGAGAGAGAGAGAGAGAGACAGAGAAACAGTGATGGAATAAAGGTAATAAAAGAATCATTTATTGTTATTCAAATACATATTTTTATTTATTGAATATTTCTTATTATGGTTTTATATTTCCATACACACAGACGCATACACACACATTGTTGAAATTTATTTTTGATAAAACTATTCAAATTTATATTTATAAATTATGTGGCAATAGTAGGAATTATTTTATATTTATACACATAAAAAAACTTTCAATTTCAGCTAATAAAATAACGAAGATTGTTTTAAAGAATTAAATATAAAACTAAATAATCTGATTAGTTCTTTAGTTCACAAACTTTTTAAAAAAAAATTATTAAACATGATGCCTAAAGCCATATATCCTAAAGCCATATAAGTATGTATATTTTTAATGATAATCGTTTCGAATTCTGATATTCTCGTAGTAACTTTGATAAGCAAGATTTTATAGTTTTCAAGAGATATTGTAATTAAATCCGTAACTTATGCCTATTTCAGAACTCAAATTTAAATATTAAAAGTATTTGAAAAACATTTTATTACTTGGCTATAAAATTTTCTAAGAACCGTACATAAAATTCCTTATTTCATGATTTATCTATGTATAACACGGTATTAGTAAGAATATAAAATATAAGATACAAACAAATAATAAGTACAATGTTTTATGTAGTTAAAAAGAAAGAAAAGAAAATAATTTGTGGAAAAAATAAATTAAACAAATAAAATTAAAAAAAAAAATTATCTTCCATGTGAATTGATTATAAATAAAGATTTTTAAGAGATGCATTAATTTTTTTTATAAAAATCTAATTGAAAAAAAAAGATAATTTCTTGAATTTCGTTGCAATTCAATTTAAATGTTTAAAAATTTTGATTGAAATTGTTGTTTTTTTATCTAAATATAGCAATTATGTATACTTTATATTATTTATTCTATAATCCTCATAATTGTAGTAAAAAATTGTAATATTATTAAATTGATTATCTATTGAAATATCAATACGTGTTTAAAGAATAAGTTAAATTGTTTAACAGTTCGGGAACAATTTAATGATTTGTTTTTAATTAAAAAATAATATTTTATTAAAATATATTACTTCTAAAATAATCATTGAAATCAATGTAATTTTCAATTTCAAAATATATTATTTAATCTTATATATATATATATATATATATACATTTAAGTTCCTGGCAATAGTTTTTCAAATTTTACATGTAAAATCAATTGATTAAAAATAAATAAAATGATTCATAATTCGAAAAGTTTTGTTTTTATAACATTTGATTTAAATTCTTATTCTAAATAATGTCGTTTATCGAGATAAACAATTATATTAAAAATTAATTCTAAATTTCTGACAAATATCTAGCAGCATATATATATATATATATATATATATATATATATATATATATATATATCAAACACTATTTTCTAATATTAGATACTAATATTAAATGTTTCATTATTTACAAAAACTTATAAAAAAATCACTACATCGTATATTAGTATAAAAAAATAATATAAATTATTATCGGTATGTCTTCATAACACTAAGAAGTTCCACATAGACGAGTTTTGGTGCATCAACTGCCCACATAAAATCAATGTGATTAAACATCGAATAGTTTACTTTATAGTTAAGAATCTTTTTTGGTAGTAAATCAAATAATTTATGCACATCCTGAAAATAATATTGAGTATCAAAAATCACATTATATTCAATAAAATTTGCATCAATATTATTTATATATATTTACATTAAAAAGTTTTATTTTCTAGTAACTACATTTTCTCATAAAATACATTAAAACGTTTATTAAGATGTTAATTACCGAAAGAAATTTAGAAATATATATTTTTTTAGAATAATAAATGCAATTTATATTATTTGTTTTTTAGTAATTCATTAAGTGTAATAATTGAAATATGTCAGTAAAATCTATGATTTTCAATCCTGAATACTGAATTGTTAACATATTATCTTTAAGAACAATGAAAATACTTGTAGACAGAATATGAATAATTGCTTTGTTCATTATTATGCTATATGATAATGAAATCACATAATATTAAAATATCGTAATAAATTATATAAATTATACACAAATATTCGATTGTATAGGTTAAAAATAAATGCTTATAATTTTATGTTCAAATTTTTGCAGTATGTTCCATGCGTTGTAATTAGTTCAATGAATATTTAACAATGAGATTAGAGATATTTTATTATAAAAATAATCACTGATAATTATCTATAATTAGATTAGCGTTCACCTGAAGTAAAATTTAAATACCATATCTTTCTCACTATTAATCGAAATTGTATCTTCTTCATATGTAATTATTTTATACGAAATTTATAAAAATATATTAATGAAGTCAGTACAGAAAAGCATTTGAAATATTGTGGATAATCAAATATAATGAATATTTTACATTTTAAACTTACTATTGGACTAGCTAACCAATCATTTTGTGACCAAAATATGCCAATAGGTACTTGAATTTTTGATAAATCATAATCTGGCGGTGTAGTACGATTATACATTTTAATGTTATCATTAGTTCCATAATCATACCGTTGAAATCTTCCAGACTTTATTTCTTGACCATAATGAATTATTGTTTTAGTTGACGCTCCTGCTGGCGTATGACTTAATATCATCGGCAATAAAGTCTAAAAAATATTGGTATGTACATCTGACCTAAATTTTACTTAAATTTTGTAGTTATTAATAATTATTATACATTGATTGCTTAATTGTTTCGAAGCACTCGATGTTTCTCATAAAAAAATTATTTTTAAATTAAATTTAAATTGTTTAATTTTAATATTATTATAACATATTATATAATTAATAATTAATAAATAATAAATAATATAATATAATATATTATGTATAAATATATATATATATATATATATATATATAAATATAAATATAAATATTTAAAATGTATACTATAAATAATATAATATTAATAATAATATTATAAATAATTATTAATAATAATTAATAAATAATAAATAATACTATTTAATATTTAACTAATAAATAAATATTACATTGTGTTAAAACGTTATATTGATTAGTTTCAAAATCAAAGAAATTTTAGGCCGTTCAACAAAATATATTAAAAAAAATAAAATTTTAAATAATCAATGCTATAATAAAATATGATAAATCATTTATCTAAGTTAAATAAGTAATGACTGTTTGCAGATTTTCTAAATATCTTTAATTATAAAATGCATATTTAAGAAAACTAAGAACAATCGTTTCATAAATCATAATAAATGAGTACAATTGTTCTCTAATTGAATGAAAAGGTGGTTATTATTTAAAATTAATTATTTGAAAATTGTTTAATCTGAACATACTCACGTAATTAAATTCATTCTTATCAAAACCACATATTACAAATAATGTATTGGCACAAATTTTTTCTTCCGATACATTTATATCACATCCATATTTAGCTAGAAATTTTAAAAGGATATTTTGTGGTAAAAATTCACCTTCTCCCAAAAAACGACTGATAAACTAAAATTATAAAAAAAAAAAAACTTAATTAATAGTATACTTTTTCGTACGTTCAAAGGTTGAATTTTTTTACTTTAATCAATTTTTATAATCGTTGATACTAGTCGTTAGCAATCTACATTAAAATTAAATATTAAAATTTAAATTATTTAATAAAGAATAATGTTGATATTTAATCGTTACAATTCAATTGATATTAATTTAAGGTGTAATTATTATTTTAATATTAATATTCACTTTAGAAATAATATTAGATACACGTGATTTTTTAAAATATTTTAGATTAATTATGTTTGTATTTATATATATATATATATATATATATAAACTATTACTAAATATATCTTATAATTGTTGATAAATAGGTTCTAAATTGTAACGTAAAATCAATTATTAATCGTTTATAAATTTATTTGTATATGTTATACTAATTTACTACAAAAATTTATATATAGAATAAATTAGATATTATAATTTACAAATAAACTTTTCTTATTTTTAGATTTATTATCGTACAAATTCACTTTATAATTTTTAATTTTTCGATTTATATAATGATAAAATTAAATTTCAAGTCAGGTTATTTTGAATTTGGATCAACCAAATTGCTAAATTTTATGAATAAAAATCAATAATACAAAATAAATTAAAAAATTTATCATAATCCTGAATTCATATGTAACATTTGTCTCTGAAAGAAATTCATTATCAATTTACCTCAACTTCGTGAATAAATGGAACAAGTAATCGTACTGGACTTTTTAGATGAGTCATAAATGCTATTGGAGCTAAGCTGAACATTACTTTGACATTTGATGCAATTTCTGGTCTATCTATGGCCATAACATAAAACATTGTTGTTCCCATTGAATGGCCCACATAAATTAGATCATCGTTTTTTAATTTCGTTATAAATGTAATTACAGCTGGTAAATCATAAATAGCCATTTCGTGCCAACTAAAATGTTTATATTTAATAAAACTAAATAATAAAATTTTTACTTATTTTAATGTTAATTAATTAGATGTTATTTTGTTTAACGCTTTAAATAACACATTCACTGTTATAAAATATTATAGATTTAGTAGCTTATATAATGAATAGAATTTATAAATATATCTAAGCAATAAAAAGAATTTTGTAAAAATTATGAATTTCATTATGAAAATTATATATATAGGTACAACCCTAATTTATCCTATTTTAAAGAATTTGAAAATCATCGCATGAAATACGTTCATATTTTATTTATTTAAACACAATATACTGTAAGTTTTATCAAAATGTTTTCTCAACAAGAAGCACTTAAGTCCATTCTACATTATTTTGCACTATATATATATATATTTTTGTGTGCGTGCGTGTGTGTGTACATGTGTACGCGTGTACGCGTATATGTAGGTGTGTGTGTATGCTTGTAAATATATTAACAAAGACATTTTAATATTATTTATTAATGTATTTAATATAACAAAATTCATTAATACATATACCTGTTAAATAATATGGATATTAAATAATCTGAAGTTTCTATTATAGATATTATAAAAAGGAAATAACTATAATTTACAAGAAATTCATGTTTACCTATTCAAATACGTTAAAAATGTTACGTTATTACCTAAAGTTCCAAAATTGTAAATCCGAGGTAGTATAATTTATATGGCTTCTTGAGTAAGTGTTTCCTCTTGCATTTCCTAACCAGACATCATATCCTTCATCAGATAAAATGAAAGCTGTAAATAACCAAATGTTATTTATCTACGCAAGTGCCGGAAATAATATAAATTTATATTTGAATAATTTTTAAGCAAAAAAAAAGATGTTTTCCAACAATCACTTACCTCGTTCAATAATATTATTACAGAACTAAAAATGATTATTGCATTCATTAATGATACATCTAATGTTAGATGAATTTTGTGCATAGCATTAATCTTATATATTTAAACATTAAATAATTTTCAAATCGTAATAAATTTTTTGAAATTTTTCATAATAAATTGAAATTGAACTTGTTAAAAAGTGAATTGAACAATGTACATTATTTATTAATGTTAAATTACATTTTTACAATACAACAATATATTTATATATATATATATATATATATATATATATATATATATATATAATAATAATAATAAATTATAACTATATTAATATTATGAAAATTATAGTAAGATAAAAAATAGAAAATATTAATAAAAAAAGTAATAAATTGCCAATACTTTCTTAATTACTATCTTCGTGTAATACGAAAAAAAGATTTAAAAAAAAAATAATAATAAACTAAAAAACTTTTATTTTATTGCTTTTTTAATTAATGCTTTTTAAATTTAACTCAAATAAATCGCATTCGATATAAAGAAATGTATGCAAAAGAAAAATAAGCTTCATATTTCTTTATATAAATTGTTTTTTAAACATTCGATAACAAATTGAGCTAATGTGCCTGTACTCTCCGGCATCCTGAGAAAATCGCGTTAAAGCTATATAAATTAACGAATTATAAAATATAATTAAATTCTAATCAAATATTTCATAATTAAATGCTCATTTCTTACCAAGACTTTTTCCTTTACCAGCAAGTACCCAATCGAAGGAGCTGGCGAGTAATCCGTGTTGCAAAAATACCGCAGGCGATCCCGGAGATCCAGGAATTCGATGAATTGTTAACAAATATCCATCGTCGGTTAGCACTACATGTGCTTCAGAAGGATAGCCTTCTTTTCTAATCATTTCCGGCTGCAATTGGCAAGATAAATTGATAGAGCCCCGCTGATGCGTTATTCAAATTATTATTTATTTTTGTCCTAATAAATATATATTTCTTATCAATCCTATCATTATCAAGTCTGAGTCAATCTCTCATTCTGAATTCTTCTAAATTCATTGCTTTTACTCATAAGTTTGTATGGCCGTATAAACTCAATTTATTCTTATTGTATTATAATATTAATTTTTATGATTTTATTTTTAAATAAATAAATAAATATATATATATATATATATATATATATATGTAGTTGGGCTTTACAGCTATTACAATTCATAAAATACATGTATTTTTAATATTTCATTCGAATTACACATAATGTATTAAAACATAATAAAAAACTTACTAAATGCAGAATGTACTGTAATAATGTCTTTTTTATCCAGATATAACGGTGAATAATAATAGGGTGTGATTCAATTTTTTAATAATCCAGTTTTGTTCTAGTACGAGGTCACTGCATTTATACATCAATCATTACTCAATTTAAGATTATTAATAAATAAATTTATATTATGCTTAATTATTGTTTTTCAACTTAAAAATTTATGCTTTTATCGAATATTTTGCTAGCTAATATTAACAAATTACTTCACATAACAAATATTTTTAATAAAGGCATTTTTTAACAAATTATTTTCTCACGTAATACGTGTAGGAAATATGAACAACTTCTTTTAAACATAAATATTTTAATACTATAATATTTAATAATATAATATTATTTTAATCAAGAGTGTCTAGATGGATCATTTTCTCATTCCTTACGATTGCATTGTTATCGACTACGTATCACTTGTGCGACAGATAGGCTGTTTAAAATTTAAGTAACACGTTTTAGTTGAAAAAGAAAATGAAGTGAACCTTAATTAAAAACAAAATGATATTAGCTGTAATTTAAAAATATTAATGAGAATTTTTCTTAAGTTTTTCAACAAAAATTTTAAAACTTAATTAATTGGCAAATGAGCAGCCTCGTTATTTTTTTTTTTTTTTTTTTTTAAATTTATTAAAACTTAGCAAATTGGCAAAAATAGCAGTAAAAAAAGGTCAATAAATACTAAATTATTTTAAGTTTATGCTTTCGTTATTTGATGTTAATTTAAATTATTAATTGACAATTTTTATAAATATCGGAAAATTAATTACTACTCAAATGACATTGTATAAATATTAAAAGTATTTTATAAAAAATATCAACAAAAATTACTTACAGTCGTCATTTCAACATCTGGGTCGACGCTTTTATACATCCAGAATTCATCGAAAGATATTTTCGGATCATCCCATTTAGGTTCCGAAATCGATTTAATATTATTAATTAGATTATTCAACGATTGAAAGTAACAATTTCCAAATGAAAAGTAATCGATCAAATGAATAGCGAAGAAAACAAGTGATATTTTCTTCATATTTGCATATATTATTCATCCGGTATATAAAATGAATTAAATAATATTATAACGTATTTAAAGAAATTATGTATAAATCACAATTGTATTAAGTTATACGTACAACACAATATACACATATATATATGTACGCACGCAAAAAAAAGAGAGTATACGACTACCTGCGTTTGGCCTGTGTACACGCGTGTGCGCGCGCGCGATAGAGAGAGAGAGAGAGAGACAGTGGATGCTAGAAAGAGCGGGAATTCACTCAAAGATGTTTGAGCGTATAAAAGATTGTGTAACCGTCTTTCGCACTCCTATTATTATATCATTTAATAAAATTGTCAAACATTGATTTTTTTATTGAGCAAACTTCTTTTATAAATATCTTGAGAAATATAATTATCTATTTAGTAATAACTTTAAGAATCAATATTATATAATGGGATCTAAAGATACTAGATGCTTAATTTAAAATAAACGTCGAAGTTGAGGACAACGTTTTCACTGTTTATGTACGTACATTACAGCGTTAGAGATTTCTATGACCTTAAAGTATAGAATAACTGTAGAAAATAGTAGGATTCGCTAAACACGCTAAAGATGGTCGATGTGAGAGATAATTTTTGAAATATTCTTTCTTGTAGGTTAAAAATCCATTTTACGTGAATTCAGGGGTGACATAATTTTTCGACCCTACTGAATAGACTAATAATATAAAATATCATTCTAAATATAAATTTCACAATTCGCTTTATTAGAAGACAAATGAACGAGTGAATATATTGCTACTGATCCCTGCTACATATTTATTCAGTGATTGTTGATGATCTATTGCATTCGTAACATCAGAGCTCCAAATGCACAATACCAAACATATAAAATGCATTTGATTATAACTGAAATTACGACAATATTTGTGCTTAACGTATTGAAAGTAACAAATAATTGATTGATACACTGAGAATTAAAAATTTTAACATTTATCATGAAACAGCTTTAAAATTATATAAACATCTTACGCCGCTACCTTTGTAAAGTAAAGCTCGTAACTGTAGATTATATTTTAAGATGTACAGCAGTGCTTGAAAATTATTAGTAAGATACTATTCTAGTGATATGATAATGAAATAACTTGATAAAATTTCTATTTTAATCGATTAAGTATTAAACTTAAAAAGCATAATTTTAACGTATTTTTTCAATACAATAATTGAAAAAGCTCTTGAAGCGTTATCATCGTAAATGAAGGATATTAATTCTTATAAATAACTGCAATATCGTCATAGTACGTTACTATGTAATTTAAAACATGCGAGAAAGAATAATAAATTTTTTTCAAATTACTTTTTTCAACGATAAGACTGAAAATTTCCAAATTTTTATCTTATGAAATATTATTCAAGCTTTTATCTCTATGAATTTCAATACTTTACAATAGTTTTACACAAACATTTATTTAAACAAATGAAATAAGATAAATAAATTATAGTTTTTAATGAATAAATTAAAATATAACTAAAACACAAGGTTTCTTACAAATATCTTGTGAGAGACAAGAACACCAGAAATCTAGTGTTTTAGTCTCGTAATAACTTTCAAAATTATAAGTATAAAATCTACGTACAATGATATTACGTGGAAATTATCTTAAAATAAATTTCCGATATTTGAAATAGTCCAATAAATCGATAGATAATTTATTTAATAATTACAAATATCCTAATGCATAATTCTACTATTGCACTAATCAATTGATGCATATATATATATATATATATATATATATATATATATATATATTTGTATAAAATATAAAGAATTATTTATTAACATTCATTTCTAAGTGATATTATGTATTAATACATTTGTAATACAACTGGGCTAAAAGTTCTTAACTTACAATATATTGAAAATATCATAGTAAACATATTCGGAAATAGATAAACATTTTACTTCATATTTCTCATTATTTGTCATGTTTTTTAATAAGGAATAAAAAATGTTTTAATTAATTTTAAAATTAGCATACATCTTAGTGTATATGATAAAATTAAGCGAGATAATTTTTTACAAACAATTTAAGCTTGAATTTGCCAAAACTTTTATTAAAGAAAAAACGAATATATTTTTACGTTTAGGATATTCGTCAACATAATTAACGAGAACGTTATGATCTAAAATAATTAAAATTGACGCAATCAATTTGTATTTTCAAAAACATATTGAAAAACATTTTCTTATTTCTTCAATGAGTAAATATTAATACATGGAATGTATGTATATATATATATATATATGACAACATTTTACTCTTAATAGTTAAAATTAAATTATCCAGTTTTATAATATATAATGAAGAAATATAAGACTTAAGCTACATGTACAGAAAATTTAATTATTTCCATTAATATGCTTATGTTGTTAGCAAATGAGAAAATTATATGAATTAACTAGATTAAGATTTTTTCAATGAAGAAATATCTATCAATAAATAGTATATTTGGAAGAAAAAAAAGTAAATATCTTGTGCTTAATCATTGATTGTCAATAATATATTATATATGATCGAATATTTTATTATATTATCATATTGTATATTTTATTGTTTATATTTTAGAACTTACAAGTAACCAAAACGTTAAATATATTTAAATATTTCAAAAATAAACATTAAAAATGGCATTATTATTTTAACAATGATTTTCTTTTAATATATAAAAGACTTAATAATTTTTAGTGTAATAATTATTTTAAAATTAAATATGAACGTTTTAAAAGAATTTTATTAAGAGAAAGTTAATTAAAGCTTATAATTCATGAAGACTAAATATTTCATAAAATGTTAAAAAATTTTGGTGTAATATAGAAATACTTTTAATGCTTATAAGCTTCTTTTGGTTTTTTTTCTTCATATTATTAATTCAAATATTTTTGTAATTATTTACTAGGTAGTACTTTTTGTTTTGTAGTTAATTCTTCGATATACAATTACGATCGTTGCATAGATGTTTTTCATAAAAAATTAAACCATATTATTTTGAATTCTACTCAAAAATATCAAATACAAAGCCTACAATTATTACTTTTAAGTCTATTGTTAGTTGCTATTTTTCTTTATTTACTGTTTATGACTTTAATCGAAATCAATCGTTATTTAATATACTATGAATTATTATAATCGAAAGTATGTTAATTTCTTATAGAGATCAAAATAATAATAAAATAATAATTTTGTCTTTTCGTCTTGATAGAAACATGAATCTCAAATTCTGGATTTAGATTCAGACTCACAGGAATTGTTTTTTTTTTTCATGTATTTGTGATTTTTTTTTTGTTTTTTTTTTTTTTTTTTTTTTGTTTTATATCGATACCTGTACATAGTTAAAGTACAAGCTTATCAGGTCCTGATAGTAGTAGCTTATGAAGAAAATCGAGGTAAATAAATAGATAAAGACTAAAAATAGATATAGACGGGACTGATGATTATATGTAATGTAAAATATAAATAGAACCAAATTCTTTTTATACAATAAAAGTTTGTTTTTATTTTTACCGAGCTTTTCATAATATAATGGACTACGGTTACGATATACTTTATTGTAAATAAACTAATTTTAATGAATTTAAAAACGAGAAACGCGTGTAAAATGTCTATTAAAAATTAAACTTTTTCTTGGGAAAACATTGCAGTATTTTATTGGTAGTACTTGTTTGGAGTACTTTTAAAGCTCCACATTGAAATATCTCCGCATATGAAAGAGCCGATAAATTAAAATCTTCATTGGTAATTCAACAGATGGATTGTAATTTCCGGGTAGCCGGTCTTTGAGTAAGTGAAGTATCGTATCAAGAAATTGTCTGTCGGCTTTTATTTTAAGATTCCACGTACGTTAAGATTAGTGTTATTTGACCCCTTCCTTACTGAAACGTAAATGTTGTTATTTACTAGATTTAATAGCAATGTTCTTATGAAAATATTAATGACATAAATCCATTAAATTTTAAAATATTTTAACCTAAAATTTAAAATTTTAACTTGCAAAAATGTGTTCATTTTTTCCTTTTAATACGTTGGATATTATCATAATGATTTACTTATAACAGACACAATTAAATATTTGAATAAATTATTATTCCTTTCATGTATAAAAGTGAACTTCGATCAATTTGGTTCTATATAAAATAAGTAAAGTTGTTCACACTTCAAATAACGTTTTTTTAAATATTTTATAAACACATCGTTTATAATTTTAAAGTGTATTTTTAGATATATATTTACTAATTATTGAATAATTGTTGTTATTGTTTAAAGAAAAACATTCATATTTTAATTTCTTTATATTTGTAGGACAAGAAAAACTTACTTGCTATGAATGAAGTTACATTACCTCCGTCGCCTAATTGGTTTTCAAGTACTATTCTTGCATGTGCAAGCGACGGCACAATTGCTTGGGGTGCGAAAAATTCAATAATAATTGCTAAAGCTAAAGATAATAAACAATTAGATTATTCAATTATTGAAAAAGCTCATTATGATCGTGTGTCAACAATTGCCTTTTCACCGACAAACATAGATAATAACGATAAGCTTCTAGTATCTGGAGGAAATGACAATATCGTTAAAATATGGAATTTGAATGATTTAAGTTTAAAGTTAGAAAACAATAAACTGGATGTACGTATTTTTTGTTAAATTATATATTAAAATTACTTATGCTGTTAATTAATTTTATTAATTCAAATTAATATTATGTAATTATTATATTTTATTCAGGAAACTCGCAAAGTAATTGCAGTAGATTGGTCTAAGAATAATCCGAATCTTATTTGTTTTATAAGCGAGACTGGATTATTAGTAACATGGAACATCGATTATAATATCAGTCAGCTTATTAGCTTGGGAAAATTGGCTGTTACGTGTCTAGCTTGTTGCCCTCACGATGGGAACATAGTATCGATTGGATGTAAAAATGGATTGATCTACATTGTGGATATATGTGGATCTGGTAATATTAAATACAAATTAAGAGGTCATGATGTGGAAATTGTTAGTTTATCATGGTGTCCAGTTCCTATTAATATTTTTGATGAAAAAAATTCAAATGAATTATTATTAGCTTCTGGAGCTAAAGATAGGTACACTAATGCACACTAGCATATACAAACATTCTAATTAAAATGACAATATTTGATCAATGATATATTACATTTAAATATTACTCTTATTTATTGCGCTTGTAAAGAATACATATAAATTATGCTATAAAAAATGTAATATTCTTATATTAACTTTTTATTTTGATTTTTATAGAGTTATATTTCTGTGGAAGGCTGGTAGCGATGGTCGATATGAAACGCAATTAACATTTCCAGTTCCACCATTAGATCCTAGTAATTATAAAAGTAAAATTAACTCTTCGTCAGCAAATTTCACTGCAGTTAATTGGCTGACACCAACGCATCTCTTTACGAGTTCACCCTGGGGAGAACTTCTTCTGTGGGATCTTACTAAAAATGCAAAAAAAAAATTCAATCCAATATTAATTCATGGAAAGCATGGCAAAGGATTATTTTCCATTGCAGGTTTATCAAAACAGTCTAAAGAAGAATGTGAAAATAATAAAAATGAAAATTGGAGATTGAAAACGAACAATGCGTATGTATGCACATTACATAATATAATTGTACCGTTATTAGAGAAGTGCAATATGAAATTAAAAAAAACTTAATTTTAATGGGGATGAAATTCAAAAGAAACGCATATATTATTCATTTTATATAATTTATTTAGTTATATATTTTATAATTATATAGTAAGACAATTTGGACTGTGGCCCAGAATCGACAAGTTATTTGCTGCAGTATTTTACAGAATGAAATTACAATAGAGCACAGTATTCCAACGCAAGGTGGATTTGTGTATTGTATGTCTGCTTGTCCAGTAGATACATCACAGATTGCTTTTGGAACGGGTGATATGATGATACGCTTGTGGAATTTATCCGAACCGCATGAAAATATAATGGAGCTGCAAATGTTTTGGGAAAAAATTAAAGGAAAAGTGAGAAGTGTAAGTTCTATTCTCAAAAAATTAATAAACTAAAATTTGTTAACGTTATTGGTATTTAAAATCATAATACATGTTATAAAACGAAATAATATTTTTAGTTGTGTTGGCATCCAGAAAAAGAAAATATATTAGCATTTGCAACAAACGAAGGTCGTGTTGGAACGTTTGATATAAATTCCAAAAGGCCACCAACTATATACAGAATGTATCACAGATATGTTATTTACAGAATTGGTTGGGGTCCAGCACCAAATGTTCAAGAATATGCGTTGTATACGTGTGGCGATGGCGAATTAGTTTATTACAATCCAGAGGCATATAATAACAGTAATAAATATATGTTTATTCTTATTTTATTTGTATAAAATTAATATATTGCACATATTAATGTTATAAATTCTATGATATTTATACAAATTGTTTAATATTTTTATAATTTTAAAATACATTAATCGATATTATTCAAGAAATTATTAGAATACGCCTATAATTATGAATACTTGATTAAATCTTAAATTGTTAAAATCTAGTAATATTTAAGTTTGATTATAAACCGATGAAGTTTTCTATGAACACTTAATAGTAAAATATTTAGTTGATCTAATATAGACATTTTATACATAAGTATTTGAACAGTTTTTTTTAATATTTATAATTTAATTTCAGCACCGATCCCTGTTACGAAAAAGAAAGAGTGCACAGATTTTTGTTGGAAACCAGATTATTCTCTTTTAGCTTTAGGTTTTGGAGATGGGTAAATTTATAATTAATTTATCTTCTCTACATTTTACATATCTTAAACATTTTTTTTTTTTGTTTTTTTTTTTTGTTTAAATACCTTTTAATATTCGTTGATTTTAGATCTCTCTCTTTTTTAAAGCCTGATTTATCAGAATACGAGCACACAATTCATACATTATGTAAAGCAGTACAATGTATAGCTTGGCATCCTGAAAGTACTCTATCAGATTTAAATATTTCCACAATGAATAACTATGTAGCTGTAGCAGTAAATGGACCTGAAATTGTAGTGTTTGAAATCTACAATATCAATAATTCAGAAGATTGTAAATCAAATAAATTATCATTTTATAAAACTGTTGCAACTTTAAATGGTCATAGTGAGAAAGTTGTGTGTCTTGCTTGGAGTCCTCATATTAGTGGATATTTAGTATCTGGTAGTTATGACTACACTGCACAAGTACGTACATTGTTCTTATAATCATTTTAACTGTAAAGTAACACTTAATCGCTTATGTTCTATAAACAAAAAAATTTTCTACGTAATTATTAAATTATAATTTAATATTAAATTACAAGTACCAAAGTTGAGATTTTATTATAATTCAATAGCAATAATAAGCTGATGAATCATTTAAATAAAACAGTTTAAAAAAAAAAGTATTTACATACAATATGAGAAATAAATTTATATAGATGCTATATATAAAATTGATATATATTATTGCAGGTTTGGAAAGTAGAAACTCAAGAAATTATTGCTACTTATATTTCTCATTTAGGACCTATCCAATGCTGTATGTGGAGCCCGTATAATCATAATTTAATAATAACTGGTTCGGTTGACTTCACTTTGCGAATATGGAATATTTCAAAACATAAAGCATTGAAAACACCGTCTACAATGAGAACTTCGACAAAATATCGGCAAAGAACGAAAAAAAAGAAAACAGCAGCAAAGGCTATTGAAGCTGGATCAGAAAAAGCAGATAATCAATTAAAATCAACAGTTGAAGGTGTAAAAGAAGTAGGCAATTTACCTTCGTATTCTAAAGAAAGCGACAATATGAACAAAAATAACTGTAAAATGCTGAAAAAAAAGAAGACAAAGAAAATAACTCGATTTCCACATTATGCTGAAATTGCCAGTTCTAATAAGCTTTGGTGTTCATCGATAAGAAATCTTTTAAATTCATTGAAAATCAATCATTCCAATGAAGGTCCATTAGATCATAACGAAACAGAAAAAATCCCAAATAATGAGCCGCAAACGTTAAAGTCAAACGAAAATAATTACGTTTTACTTGGAACTGAAAAAAATTTAGAAAATTCTTTAAAAAAAGAGAGTAAGAGATATATTAATTTTCTATGATATTTATAAACTTTTAATTACATAATTATTCTAATTGTAATATGATATAATGCACAATACATTTTTTGTATTTGCATATACTACATGTAATATATGATTTATTTGAACTATTTTATATATTTATTTTATAGCATATTTTAACATATATATATATATATATATATATTATTTATTTTTTTATTTTTTTTTTTTTTTTTTTTTTTTTAATATTTATATTAGAAAATATCTTATTTTTAAATGGACAGCATAATGTTGTTACTGAAATTGATCTATGGTGTGATAATTTAATGGAAAATTTACATCAAGCTATGAAAGAAAAACGACTGAGCGATTTTTTGGTATCTCTTGCCCCAGCAATTTCTATCGAGTCAGTAAATAGAATGAATAATAAATCTAATTTCTTATTTATTTACATGATTATAAAATATATTTAATTTTTAGAACATGGAAAATAATGTGTGAAGCGTACGCTACCCAACTCGTTTTTGAAGAAAATCCACATAAAGCAGTATCATACCTCCTATGTATTAATAAAGTCCATAAAGCTATTGACATTTTCATAACTGAAAAATTATATAAAGAAGCATATGCTCTTGCGTCATCTAAATTAGATGCAAAAGATCCTATTATTAAAAACATTTTAATAGAATGGGCAACCAATGCTGTAAAAGATGGACATTTTCAAAATGCAACAGAATGGTAATTAATCACATTGTATTTTTTTACTATAAGTTATAAATATGTTAAATTTTTAAACTTAACATTCTATTGCATATGCCAAAGTAAACATTAAAACTACTTTATTCCCTAGTTATATAAAACTAGGCCAATATACACAAGCAGCGAAAATTTTAGAACGACGAAAAGATTTCTATAGCTTACTTTTGGCCGTAGATGTAGCCGAAGTGGATCACAATATAGAATTAAGTGAAGCGATAGCAGATAAAGCCATTTTAGAATCATTACTCAATGGTAATGTCAATGCTGCTAAATCAGTCATTACAAATTATTATCAAATACAGGTAGAGTTTCAAATAATTTAAGTTTATTAAATGATCCATTACCTTACTAATTTTATGATTGCAGTATCGAGAAGTTGAAGTAGAAATCTTTATACAGTTAAATAAAATCTTAGATACTATTAATGATGAAGATATGTTTTATTGGTTAAAAGGTTTATCCAATATATCATTATTAGAAACTTTGAGGAATAAATTTACTAAATGCCCTAACAAATATTCATTATTACTTCAAAAAGATGTATTTCCACTTGAAACAAATGATGTAATGGTATGTAATTTTAGATTAAATATATAGATATAAATAAAAATTATTGATATGCTATTCTAAATAAAATAAATAATTCTTTATTAAACATAATACTATATAAAACTATTTATAGCATAGTGACTCTATATGCACATTATTAATATACGTATAAAAATTGCAAATTTTTAATACAGCCACATTTTAAGTTTTGAATGTTTTTTTGAAAAGTTGATAAATAACGTTTGCTGAATAATTATTATATGTTCATATTTTTCATTATTCTTTGAATGGTTATAGTGAAAAGAAAACTTATCTTTAAAAAAAATTGTGAAAATCTTGATTGAAACACATGTACAATCAAATCGATCGATACCAATCAACAATTATTTTGAAAGTAATCTTAGAAATAATTAATAAACATATTTATATTATACTTCAGTATTAAATTATATGTTATAGTTTTTGGTAAAGCACAACGATATTAGTTTATAACATAAGAAAGTTACAAATACATATACAAATAAAATTATATGTAACAATTTTAATATATATTATATTAATCATTTGTAATTATTATTATGGATTGAATTTTACGTTCTTTTTAACTAACATAAATTAATTTATAAAAGTATTTTATTATTCAAAAATAATCTAACTTTCATACACATTTGAATATTTATTCAAATGATATTTGAATAGTATGTATAATATTGATTAAAAAGAAAAAACTTATTTTTATAAAAAATTCCGATCGATTTTGTTCCTATCTACAAAACTAAAATTATATATTGAAATATACTTTTCAATAATGTATTGTTACAATTTATAAATTATATGCATTATTTATATTTCATCAATTCACAGGTACAAATAAATGTTAGTCATCAGCTTGCTCTTTTCATCTTATCTGATCAACAAAATCAACACTTTAAACATATACTGAAAGCCCTTGATATTATTTCACAATTTGAAACGATAAATTCTACAGTTTCGGAAGAAATATCACTTTTAATGAAATACCTGTTTATATTAGACAATAAAAATTTAGAAAACGTTGAAAGTATTTTTAATACCTCTAATAATGTAATAGCAGAAAGTTTACGTGCCTATTTATGTCATGGAATAATAAAATGGTTTCAACAAAATAAATTACAAGATGATCAAGTCTCTGAATGTAAAGAGTTGGTTATAAAAGTATTAGAAAAATGTATTAAAGATCTTTTTCATATTGAATCATTTAAATATTGGAAGACATTGTGTGAAATTCCTAAACTAGAAACACAGCTATCTACAAGATTAGGTAAATAATTTGAAGTGTTTCATTCTTTATTTTCAACTAAATTAATTTATTATTATCTTATATATGTATATTATTTGTTTAAATTTTCATTTTCATTTTAAAGGAAAATTACAAGATACTGAAGATAATAACGTAGATTCTGTTAAAGATGTAATCGAACGTTTAGATCAATTAAAACTTAATAAAAAAGAGTTTCTCGATCAACGAATATCCTCGCCAAATCCATTATTTAGCTACACTTCGGTAAAAGAATTTATTGGTGTTATATCAGACGATACAATTCGTAATAAAATTGATAAACTTCTAACGGAGACATGGACACAAATAATTTCATAAGTTTATATTATAAAAAATATTTGTAATATGAATATTATTTAAATATTGCAACCTTAACGGTTTTTTTCCTTTTTTTTTTTTTTTTTTTAATATTCATAAATGCGCTAGTTTATTAAAACTAAACCAACCAATTGTAAAAAATAAAAATTTTTTTAATCATTTGTTTTATTTTTTTTAATTTTTTTTATCAATATCATACATAAGTTTTTATATAAAAGTAATTTAAAAAATATATTATTTATTATTCACTTTCCAAAATAACAATTGTCTATCGCTACCAGCACACACTATTTGTATTCTTTGATGCCAACTTAATCCACCAAATAATTGAACACGTCCACATAAAACTGATGGTTTAGTCTTTAAATTCGTAATTTTTAAGATATTATCTGGTCTACCTATACTAGCTACAAGATTTTCGTTAGAGGGTGAAAATTTCATTATGGTACCACCTTCGATATGAAGAGTCCGCGTTTCCAACGGCCGACTGAAATAATTGTAAATATTAATTAAATTCATTGTATTTCATTGTCGGTTACATGTATATAAAACTATTAATTTGTATTATCAACATATTTATAATAATAAAAGAAAATATTTTAATCGCTTCTAATTTATCTTTAAAGCTTTTTTTTTTAAATATGATATGCACATTCATAATTAAATTAAATATATTCATAATTAAAGTAGACAAGTACATAAGATTTTGAATATTATTTACCTAGGTCTTGACATATCCCATGTAATAAGTTCACCTGAAGCAATACAAGCCACTTTTAGAGGGTTCAATCCCCAGTCTGCTGTTGATAATGGAATTGTTCCGGCATCTACAGACATTATAGCACGTTCACTCGTTACATTATACATATGTATTATACCATTTTTTTCAGCAACTAGAAGCTTTCCCTCTTCTTCAGCATGCCAACATACATTTACACCCGCAGAAGTTAAAGGAAACATTAAGAAGCATTTTTTATTTTCATTAATTGCCCAAAGTTTACATGTATGATCATCTGAAACAGATGCTAGGTACTTGCCTTCTGGATCAAAAGAAATATCATTTACATAATCTTTATGACCCTCTAGTACCTATAATAATAATAACAATAATAATATATTATATTACTAATATTACAGTAACATTTTTTAATTATAAAATTAATAATTATAGTAATTATTTTTTTTATATGTATTTTTTTTTATTTTTTATTTTTTCTGATAAAAAAAATGTTAAAATAATGTATTTGTTATAAAATCATTTTTTTGTGATCTTAGTTTCAGTACTTTATAATGTCAGAATATTAAGATTAAAGTTTGTAAAAGTTGAAATACTTAATTTATTAGCATTAAATGAAACATCTTTTCAGTATTTACTTATATAGTTAATATTGTAACAATATAAATATAGCTTAGAAATATTTTCAACTAATTAAGTCATTAAAAATTAAATGAAATTAAAATTTGTTTAAATATATTCGAGCATCTTTTATATTAAATATAAAAAAGTGGATTTTATTTCATTCTTTTTTTTACCTCAAACTCATGACTTTCATTCAAATCACTATTATACAGTCTAATTTTAAAATCTGCTCCAGCAATACAAAATGATAAAATTTTAGGTACAATGCTTAAGGACGTCTTTGGACTCCATGCAATTGCATGTACTCTTGTCTCATGATGAAACGTTCGTAGAAGATTATAAATAATATCTTCTACAACATCATCCTCTTCCTGAACAGGGATTTTATTATAAAATGTTAATAATATATTTTTCATAATTTTAAAACTACTATAAAAATTTATGATAAAAAATATTTATAAAGATAATAAAATATGTTTTCTTGTAACTTACAAAATTATATACTTTTATAAAAATGAATTTTAAAGCAGAAACTCTAAACACACATATATGTTTTAAAATTGTTATATGTTTGTTTAAGATAAATTAAACCTTAGAAATTTAAATTTAATTATTAATATTTACTTTGTATACAATTATGTTTTTCACATTCTTTTAGACTATTCTACGTAATAACAAATTTGGTTGTAATTATTTTATTCAAATAATTTTAAATACATACTTGAAATTTAATGGTAGCAATAAATATTTCTTGTCCTAAAGCAATACAAATTAAATTTTGAGACCATTCATAAGGGGACCATTCGACACATTGAACTTGTTTTGGAAAATTTAATTTAAAAGTTGGAGGTGTTAATAATGCTTCTTCCATTTTGTTTAACTGAAATCAATTAAAATCAATTATTAAAATAAATACGAATAAACGTTCAATCAATCCTTATAAAACAGCATTGGATTAGTCTTAATCTACAATCAGAAATAAACTTTTGTCTATTTAATTTGTAAACTTAGTTAATAAACGTGGAGAAAAATATAAATAAAAATATAGAATTAGAACACACTTTCTATTAAAACTTGCATAAATATCACTTTAATAATATTATGTTACATAATGTTTGCTATAAAATCTACTTCTATAGTAACTGTACAAATATTGTTTTAATAAATTAAATAATATATAAATTTAGTACTTTCAAATTCAAGTATTTAAATTACTGTGCCGGCATAACCTCAAATAATTTTAAGTTAAAGAAGGTTAATCGAAAGAAGACTAACACTAAAAATAAAATAAATTTTTTATTATAATTAAGAGTTTATAAATATATATATTAATAAGAAAATAAATATTTAAGACTACAAAAGAACAACACGTTCAAAACAAAATTGTACTTTTATTTTGAACCGTTGGTTATTATGAAATTTGGAACACTCATTATTCAAATATTACATTCAAGTAAGAGAAGAACGAATCCTGTAAAAAAATGTTCACAAGCATTGGCGATGAAAGGAGACGGTTAGAAAGATACAAGGATGCAAGATTTTAACAATTAATAAAATAAGTATACTTGTACATAAGTGGAAAGCAAAACATAAGAGTTTGTTGAACATGAAGTTTAAATTGGTGCAGCAATTCGGAAATTTCTGACAAAGCTCCAACGCTATAAGTATACATTATTTTGATTCTTAATGCGACATGCTCATCTGCATATAAATGCGCTTCCCGATCATTTCGTAATTAATCTCAAGAAAAACAAGGCAAATTAAATATCAGTATCTTCGTATCTGTAAATCCAAAAAGTGACGGTAAATTGTAAATTCGAACAACATACGACAAGACATTGTTTTACATGTTGCTTTGAATAATTCTCAGAATATTATGAAATAGTTTTTTTTAATTTTTTTTACATAAATATTTTCAATATATTGATTTATAATACAAATATATTTTTACATGCAACTGTAGATGCATTATTGGAGCTCTGATAAACTATAATATGGACATATAATTTTAAGATATACATTTATGTTACTATTCGTGTCAACACTTCTGGTTTCAATCTGCAAAGATTTTTACGCGTTACCGTAAGTACTGATGTAGTTGTTTTAAGGACTAATGAAAAACTGTTATTGATAAATTGTAATTTATCAGTGCGAGCAAGATTAATGTGTTTTTTTTTTTTTTTTTTTTTTTTTTTTCATTAATGTTGTTAGATGACTATCGAGATTCTCGCTTTATCACTACAAATGTGAAGACAACAAACGCAAATATATCGGTTATATTGTATTTAATGATTATTGATGTAGTATATTATGTTATTGCGGCTACAAAATTACTTTTATCCATCGTTTATGAGCTCATCTAATGCGTGTAAATATAGTGCAAATTGAAACGGGCCATAAAGGTTCAAATAAACGATTAAATAAAGTATTCAATTTGATTTTTCAATATTCAATACGTAAATTGCGGTATGTTTATTATACAATCATGTTTTTACAAATGGAAAATTAATGAAACAATTAACGAATGACGATGTAAGCGGTGTGGAAGTGGAGTGGAAGTGGAGTGTAATAAATATGGAATATAAAGCAAAGTGTATAATAATGAGTAACTCAAAAGTTAACTAAGAAAGACACCAACCACTTTCCGATTATGGTCTAGAGAGACTCGAGATGCGAGACATTTAATTTTGTTGTTAAATAAAATTTTATTTATATCTTTTACTTAAATGTTTATTTAAAAAGTTTTAATTGTTTAATAGTTCGTCTCTATACAGTAGGAAGCGAACTCAATCCGTAGTGTAAAAAATATGAAAAGTTAAATGATTCATACATTGAGTTTTGTATAGTAGAGATTAAAATTATTTCACTCTACTTCTATAGATCACATATTTAAATTTTCTTTGCCTCCGTCTCTCGCAGCAATTAATCATCTACATTTTATTAAACTTTCTTATTGTTTATTTTCATAAAAGGTAAATACAGTGACCCTTAAAAATTAAGATTTATTTTATTTACGTACGTGCATACAAGTAGTTGGAAGACTAGTGGAGGAAGAGTTAGAAGAGAAAGTGAGAAATAGTGAAATAGGAAAAGAAATTGATGATGACGTGTACACACATCAATTGGATTTTTTTTTTTTTTTTTTTTTTTTTTTTTTTTTTAATTAGAATTTGTTTGCTGGATATTATAATTCTATAAATATTTAGTTAGTATTATATTATGGAATCGAAACTTTTTATACGGTGTTAAATCTTTTACCGCCTGTGTGATTATTATAAAAAATTATGAATACATTTGTCTGTCGATACATTTTGTATTAATTTTAATCATCGCCCTTGTGAATTTCTTGTAAAAATTCTTTTGAAGAGTATTCGGTATGGAATTTATTGAAATGTGGCTGTAACTTATGTGTACGATTATGTAAATAAAATTACATTTTCTTTTGTTATCAAATTTAAATTACGTAAAGCACTTTTTAATAATTATTATAAATCTTGTAGTTTATAGTTTAAATTAATTAAAATAAAAATGTACTTAATGATAATGTACTGTTAAATATTTCTTGTTAAATTTTTCTATATCAATAAAATAAATCAATAACATATAAGCGAAAAATAACGTCACATTAGCATAAACATTACGTGTATAATATAATAATAATATAGTTAAACTTTCTTTTGTCATCTTATTATTATCTTCTTATCATTTTATTATCATCTTAATGATTTTAAATAGATTTTTATAGAATTGCGAGCAAGTGATTGTCAAAAGGCTCTAAATAATTAATTTTTTTTTCTTTTCCGTATTTTCAAGAGCTTCAAAGTAAATCTATATTTTTTTTTAATTTTAAATATCTTTAGATTATTTTAGTAACAAGAAAACTTGAAAATATTAAGTAAAGACAGAATTTAAATGTATTTTAATTACTTATATAATAAAAAAGTTATAAGTAATTGCTTTCAAAAACTATAATAATTTATCTATCTTTATTATTTTTCTTAAAACGATATCTGGAAAGAATGTTTTGACAATTTTTACTATTTTTTTATCAAACAATATAAAATAGAAATTATTGATTATTTTACTAATTTTTAAATAATTTAAACATTTACATACAGCGACATTTTATGAATTTTATGATTTTCAAATTTTAAAAGAAAAGTGTCTATATTATTTCTTAAAAATACAATTAGGCATTTATAATAAATGAATAATTTCCTTTTATAAAATAATAAATACAAAATTTTATAGAATTTGGCATAGAACAAAGAGAGTTAGAGTAAAAGTGAGAGCGAGAGTGACAGTGAAGTGAGAGTGAGAGTGAGAGTGTGAGTAAAAGTGAGAGTGAGAGTGACAATGAGAGTGACAGTGAGAGTGAGAGTGACAGTGAGAGTGAGAGTGAGAGTGAGAGTGAAAGTGAGTAGAAGTGTAAGAGCGAGAGTGAGAGTAAGAATGAGAGAAATACTTCCGATTGATCATTAGGTGTAATTGATATTAACAACATATTAACAATGAACAAATGCAAAGTTTTATCAAAATTCAATTTTCATACGGAAAATTAGCTACCATCAATAAAAACTGGAAGAAAAGTGTGAAATACGTAAAGTAGGTGAGTAAAATTTGTTGTAGTAACAAGTAAAATTATTTGTAAATACATATTACTCTCAAAATTTACTTAAGTGTCATTCTGGAAGACATACGATTTTAACAATATACAAATATATGAGATGTTTGAAATTTTATTCCTGATCCTAACACTAAAACTTGAGATGATTCGATGCCTTAAGTTATAATTTTAGTCAATGTATGTATATTTTTATAGATTCATACATTATCATAACGTTAATGTTAATAATGCTTCACTATTTTTGTGTGTGTGTGTGTGTTGCAGATATCATTATGATAAGTACTATTAAAATTAAAATTAAAGATAGTTAATTTTTACATTATTTATTTTTATTCATTCTTTTTTTTTTTATTTCAGTAATGGTAAAATATTTTATTATTCTTTCAAAATTAATGGACAACATCTTTAATTTTGATATTGAAAGAGACTAAAATTTAAAACCATTAAATTATAACATACGCTTATGAAAATGTTCTTACATTAATCCAATACACATAGGTTGTGATGAACATATATTAACATTATTTAATAAAAATTTTATACAAACTTGATATAAGAAAGTTTTATACTTTATACTTTATATACTTTATAAAATAATTCTTTATAAAAATAAAAATATCGATATTCAATGAAAAGTCGACGTGACCCATGTGAACAAAATATAATATGATTTGAAAAATTGTAATCGACATATATTTTCATAATAATTAAGTGTTTGGATTTTTTATAGAATACAAAAATGCTTTAGATATATCTTCGCATCCAAATCATAATGTCTCTTCTTTGATAAAGTACTCAATCTACAATATTTTTGTTCCCGTTGATCGTCTAGTACTGTTGATACTTTGATTATGTGTAGTTTATCGGTATAAATATCCGTGAACTCACTTTCTCCATTTTTTTTTCGAGGAGAACCACGACCACGACAATAAGATTTTCCACTTGGACGTGAAAATGAATTGTAATAAGAAACATGTAAAAATTTCCATAAAATATGTCGGAGAGATTAAGATAGATTGCACGTCACCGTCTTCACGTCATTAAAAATGTAATGGATGAAATACCGAACGTAATTATTTTGTATACTCAATAAATTTTTATCTTAAAATATGCAAAGCATAGAAGACCAAATGGATTTTCTCTCAATTCAAATCCTTTTATAATCAATATATTGATTATTTATATTAATAATCAATAAAACTCGTACTATATTAATACTTGAATAATATTTACTAATCTTCCTAGAAAGTTCTCAAAGAAAAGTATTATAAACAAATGTATTTATTAATAATATTGTGGATCAAAATTTTTACAAATATCGCTCATATAAAGCGTCGATATTAAATATAAAGAAATTTTAAATAAATAATTCGATATATTGAAATATTCAGTTATAATATTAATAATAAATAAGGTCATTTAAAATCTACCTCAAATGTAAATAAGAAAAATTAATGGTTTTGATAAAAAAGTGTATGAACCAAGAAAATAATAATATGATGCTTGTCTTCTTAATGGAAATTATTCCTAAAACCTAAATAGTTCGTCTATTTACTATGTATTAACTATTAAATGTAATCCTAATTACCAAATATATCTTATATATAGATTTTTATTGCTTAGTACAAACTGTTTACATAAACACAATTTCTAAAAATACTCGATACGTTATTGAGTAAGTACCAAATACCGTAAAAATAAATTACTATTAGAAAAAATAAGATTATTAAAACATCCGTAATAAGCATTTTGCATATAGTAAAACTGTTTACTAGTAATGAAATAATACGAATATATTGAAAGTTATTGTTAGATATACAGTGAACTGAGAGAAAAATGTTGAAAAATACAAGACAACAAACAATTTCTAAAAAATGATTTGAACAATTATACATAACAATATATTACAATAAACAAAACAGTTATTTATTTTGAAATTAGGAATAAATAAAATGGAATAATTGAAATTAAGAAGCAATTAACTTATAACTAATTACTATATTTTTAACTTCTTTAACGTTGTGGGTTATACGAAGTCATAAAATTTTACTCGAATTTTTTTTCGAATGTCATTCGCTATTTCCATTGTAATCTTATAAAACTTACTGCCTCGAGATATCAGATGAGCAAAGCCAATTAGCATTCCACGAAATTAGTGTTAATTTTGTAAATCCGTAATATCGATATAAAGTATGGCATAACAAAAAATTAGTTATTCAGAAGTTGCATAAACAGTAGATGCTGGAAAATTGAAGGTAAGTACATAAAGAAGCTATGTAAGGTTCATCCAAACACGTTAAATTAAATATTTCTTTATTACGAATAAGTAATAAGGAGGCCCTGGAGTCAGTGGCCGTTTTTCAGTTACGAAATGTCTTAAACGTGGTCGATTATCGCCGTGCCCTTGATGTAGCACCCCTTGGCTCATATTGTTTCTTCCTTCTTCAGCAAAAAACATGGTAATTAAAGCTTTATGAAGTTCCGAGTCTATGAAGATGAGTCTGTTGAGGCCGATGATTATCCCATATGACATGTATCGCTTCGTAGAAACGAATGCAGATTTTGTCCAGCTGGCCACGCCCTTGCATTGCACGCGTTCTTATAATTTCTATTTGGTTGTAAGTCGTGCTTTTCCGTTATTGACTTGAAAAATTATGAGTTTTCATTACTATCATAGTGCGTTTCTTTGATTGATTTCTTTTGGAAAATAATGTCAATTGTATTTAAAATGATTATTATCACTATTGACACATTAAAGCTAATTTCTAATATGACATCCAAGTTTGATTGTTACAGTTAATTTTACATAAATTTAATCACTCTTATTTAGTTTAAAATTTTTATATTTGTATTATTTAATTTTAAAAAGTAATTTTTTTTGATAAATACAGAAGCATGTATGTATTTCGTTAGAGCTATTTAATTGCATCATAAATAATTATAATTAATAATTCCTATAAATTTCCAATATATAAATCTATATATATATATATATATATATATAATAATAAAAAAAGCACCAATAATACAAGCAAACGAGAAGAAATATTTATTGCAGTGAAGAAATTATAATGATATTAATGGTATTATGAAAAAAAAAATATGGTTACACATGATTATTTTCAATTATACTTTAATACTTTAATAATAGTAATATTTAGTAGAAATTTTTTACATTAATATATAATATTAAGTAAAGCTTCCAAAACACTTATATATATATATATATATATATAATAGTTGTATTTTTATACTTTATTATTTTAATGTAGCTAAAAATATTTAAGACAATTTTTATTTTTATTTTTATTCATATTAAGCTCGAAAATAATAAAAATGTTTAAAAACTCTAAATTTACTGTCAATTCTGAATATAAGAAGATTCAAACTCAAATCTCATGAAATTATTAATTACTTTCATTACTATTAGAAATTTGTGTTTTATCTTGTTATTTTATTAATTTATTTACTTTTAAGTACTAAAAGATCTTGATTATAAAATAATTAATTGTTAATTGTTTTTTATATTCAATTTTATTCGCAAAATTTGATTTCGAGTAAAAGCATTTGCAAATATCTTTTCCTCTACGAAGAATGATATTAATTTACTAATTTATTAATTAGTTACGAATGATATTCTTATAATTAGCTAATAAAGATCCGAATGAAGTTGCTTAATAAAAGAAGTAGTGAAAATATGAATATATGAAATAAATTTTATAAATACAAAGTTCTTACGGTTTGAATAAAAGAAAATATCGATGAAAATAAGAAAATTTTTAATTATTGATGTGCATCGGATTCCAACAAGCATTCGCAAAAATAAAAGAAACAAAATATCTAAAGCTATAATGACGTATAATCAAAAGATGATATATATATATATATATATATATATAATCGTTTGTAAATGTCATATATTGTATTCTATTATTCGTTAAATTGAAATTATTACCGAAATGACTCGGCTTTATTAATTATAAGGGTTCGTATATATGTATTAAAAATATTTATGTAACTATGGCTTTAAAAACGAATAATTAATGCAAAATCTTTTATAGTAAGAACAACTTCTTTTATTCGATAATTATAATTGTAAGATGTAGTTTTGCTTGAAAAATCGACTATATTCATTATATATATATATATATATATATATATATATAATAAATTATGAGACTCGATAGTTTTAAAGAGAAAAAAAAATAAGAAGAAACGTAGGAATAAGAAAAGATTACCGATAACAAGTCAAGTACAGTGTACTGTGAGTAATATACGATTAATAGCGCTCAAGTAATTTTATTTTCGACTAATTGGATCGATTGCTTTAGAATTATCGGCTTTGTAAAAATAAACTTTACAAAGTATCAAATGGTAAGTCTTTATTTATACAAATTATGATACATTCATATTATACATGAGTAATTGACAATTCAAAGCGCTTAAACGCTAAGAAATATTGAGCAAAATTGGACATTCTAATGACGTCATTGATGAAATTTTATATAACAAAAGTGCTACAATTTTAATCTAATTCTAATATTGATAAACTAGAAGCGATTTTCTTATTTTAATATATTAATATTAAGTTTCTTAAGACGTTTCGTTATTATCGGGAACGATGTCAATAACTTGCCTCTTCATAATGATATATTAATTGACGATAGTTACGTGTCACAGTACAAGCCTAGTCAAAATTGAATTTAATCTCATTAATTGAATTAATGTTTTTAACCTTCCGCCTTTAATATCGAATATTCTCACATTGAAGTTCGATCAATCGACCTTCGGTAGAGTAGGGTTGCTTTAGATACGAGTGCACGAGATTTCATCCACTGCTCGTGCAACTCTATATCCGTCGCTATGTTGCTTCGCGCTCCTTCTTCCGCTCTCTCACTTTTACCAACTTGCTTTATCACTCTCTCTCTCTCTCTCTCTCTCTCTCTCTCTCTCTCGTTGGCTCGCTGCTGTAATTCAAAGGCGGTAGGGGTAAAGAAAATAACAAGCGCACCTGCCGCACGCAGAGCTGATCGAGAGGCGACGGTAGCAGGCGCGAACGGGAGAGCCTAGTAAGTATATCCGCGGCGGACCTCTGCCTCCTCGGAGCCGCTTGTAAAATAAAACCAAGAAAGCCGGTCGTATCTTCCTCGCGTCGCGTCCTTTCTCCTGCGCATGCCAGATCGCACCTGCCTGCACACATACAGTGGGCGCGCGGGCTCATATTTCGCGGGGCCCGAAGACTACTTAGACGGTCGCTCGGCCCTGGGAGTCCCGTCTGTTCGCTTGTGTTTTCCGGGTCAAGCTGTCAGCCGCTCTTTCGCCCTGGTCGCTGCGTCGTGGCGCGATCGAAGGATCGCCGGGAGTCGTCGGGAGCGGAGCCCGCGACTCTCTTCTCCTCACTGCATCTTGGTTACGAGCGACCGTTGAATTTGCCGACCGCATGCTCCCTGGCCAGCGACGGACCTTTACGACCGGAGGAGAGACGGATCCGTTCCGGTAGCAGAGCATGCGAATTTCGCCTCCTCGGCGGTTAATCGCACGAGGTGCATTTGAGTAAATCAATGTAAACAAATGAATTGTGAGGTGAAACAAAAGTGCGTCACGCATTCAACAGCGATGTTTTAGTCAATTTTTTCAAGCGGTTGGATCCGCTTCGTATCCGTTCACGCGTCTCTCATTCTTCATCTCCTTCGCTCTCTCTCTCTCTCTCTCTCTCTCTCTCTCTCTCTCTCTCATTCACTTCATCCATCCATCCATACATCCATACATCCATACATCCATACATCCATCTTCTTATGCACACTACACAAACGTACACGCATTTACCTATATGTATCATTATCAATTTCCTAAGGCAACGTGTTAGTTGCAAAAGGTAAATATCTTCTTATAATTGTTTCTCTTATTGTATTAATTATAATTCTGGTACAATAGAGAATTTTAAATCTATTAAAGATCCTTGACAGTTGCTATTACTATTACTCTACTGCCAGTACCGATGCTGCTATTACTGCTATTAAACTCCCCTACCATCGCAAATGCTATTTTTCTTTTAATCATTCAATAAATAATTCATAATTTAATTATATTTTATTGCAAACTATCAAGGTTATCAAGCAAGTTGTTACTTCTAGTAAGTTAACTGTTGAAATAAGAGATTATAAGATTGTCCTTAAAATTTATATTTTTAAAATATTTCAATTCAACTTTAGTAAATAATTATAATTTACTATGAATTTTGTGATATTTTTAAAGTTATTGTATCGCTTCAATACGCACAATAAATTTCGTGTAATTTATCTAACTCTTTGGATCAAATTTCTATAATTTATATGACTTATCAAATTATATTATCCTTTAATAATAAGTTATTTCAGAAATTTCAATAAAGTAGTGTCACTTTATATATTATTCATTTGCATCAAACCAGGATGTAAGGTTACGGTAAACAAATGGTTGCTCAATATCATTAAACATATGTTGATCTGTTGGAACAAATTTGGAATATTCTACGCGTAATTATATGTTAATCGAAAAGACGATATTTACTAAAAATAATAAATTCAGTTTGAATAATATTTGTTTCAGAATAATTTAAAAAAATGGATTTTGGGGTAGGTAACGATATAACTCAAATATCAGCAGAGCTTGCTCGTGTGGTAGAGGTAATGATGTCACCCAACATCCCCCATCAGCAGCGCTTAGAAGTTTACAATGCCTGCGAACGTTTCAAGGAATCTTCTCCTTTATGCGCACAATGTGGCTTATTTCTTGCACAGAAATCTCCGGACAGAAGTTCCATTGTGAGGCATTTTGGCCTCCAATTAATGGAACACTGCATTAAATATCGATGGACACAAATATCACAGTCGGAGAAAATCTTTATCAAAGAAAATGCAATGAAACTTCTACAGGAAGGAATGGAACCACAAGTGCAAGAAGAGAACCACATTAAGGATGCTCTATCGCGTATCGTTGTGGAAATGATTAAACGAGAATGGCCACAACAGTGGCCTACCCTACTAGCAGAATTAAGTCAAACTTGCACAAGAGGAGAAAGTCAAACGGAACTTGTACTTTTGGTGTTCCTACGATTAGTTGAGGATGTTGCTATTTTGGAAACCCTGGAGTCGAATCAGAGACGAAAAGACATTTATCAAGCATTAACAACGAACATGACAGAAATCTTTGCTTTCTTTTTGAGGCTAATGGAGCAGCACTTTGCTGAATTTCAAAAAAAAAATGCACTTGGTAGGCCAACCGAAGCAGCACCTAACAGCAGAGTAGTTCAGGTATTATTTTGTAAGCTTACATTTAGATGCGTGCGGGTATTGGTGAATGGATAGGTGGGTGGCTGGACCAAAGAGCGTGGGTATGGGTGTGCGATACTTTTATTTGGAATAAGCTATTTATGAATTTATGATTTTAAAATAAATTTTATTTTTAATCTTTGCTAATACGACTGATAAATTAATATATTGAATTGTTTACATTTTCATAATAACATTATCATTATATCATTAATATAATGTATAGAATTTTTTACATTCACATTCTATAGATTCGTACACTTGTATTAAAAATATTAGACTATAGGAAATGTATGACAAATTGTAATTATTTCCACATATATTTGGTCATTTTTATTATTACATTATTAATGTTATTTTATTATCACACATTAATCTTGTACGGCATCCATATACTTCTATCAATATACTTAATTCTAATTCAGAAGGACAATGTCATATAACCTATTTATAAGAAAATTAAAATTTATTTCTATTCGTTATTCAGGTGGTTCTTTTAACACTCTCTGGCTTTGTGGAATGGGTTTCAATAAATCACATAATGGCGGATAAAGGTCGATTGTTACAAATACTATGTTTATTCTTGGGGGATCCAACTTTTGGTTGTCCAGCTGCCGAGTGCTTATTGCAAGTTGTAAATCGAAAGGGTAAAGCCGAGGATAGAAAACAATTGATGATACTTTTTACGGAAGAAGCGTTAAGATGTATATATGCTGCTGCAACAATGCTACCGCCAACCGGACCAAGTAATTTACAAGAACAACATTATTTGTTCTTAAAGAAGTTGACTCAAGTATTGAATGGTATGTAATAAATATTCGACTGTCTTACGCTCAAATGTAATTAAATTTCCTACATTCTTTCAACGTCTTTTGTGGGGTTTACTATATACGAATAAGATTAAAATTGTCAAAAATCTCAATTATTTACTACAATTCAATGGGAATTATATTACAAAAAAAAAAAAAAAAAAAAAAAAAAAAAAAAAAAAAAAAAACAATAAAATAAAATTAATAGTAATAAATTTCATGAGAAAAGCATAGGTAGATAAAGTAAATCAGCAAAAACATCGATAAAAAAAGAAAAACAAAAAATTTGCAAATATTAATTAATAGCACATTTTAATGTTATTTTGAAATATTGAGAAAAGTGCACACATTTCGCATTAAATCATTGATTAGCAGTCGAGTATGAAGTTCAAGTAGATAAATAAATAAATATTTGAAATGGAGGTTAAAGGGATGTGCGTGTAATGACTAATTGGAATTCTCAACACCAGGCATGGCAAGTCAGTTATGTTCTCTATGGAGCAAAGACGATATAGCCGGAGTCCGTCCGGCACATTTTGGTCTCTTCCTCGACGCGGTACTCACCTTCACCATGCACTCTAGCCTTACTCTCGTTCAACTAGCAAATACAATTTGGGTTATGCTTTTTAAACACGAGCACATAAAGACCGACTCGCTTCTTTTGACTTATGTGCCTAAATATGTGGAAAATACCGCGCCCAAAATTGTCAAGGTATTGTTTATTGACATATAGTAATACAATTCGTGACTGCAAATGTTAAGAGATATGGAAAGTACATTGATTATTTGATATGCCATTCATTGACAACTATGTGAAATCCATAACAATGTAAACAATGTAATTGTAATATCCAATAGAGAGGCACTATTTCACTAATAAAGGCAAAGTTTGTAGCTTCATATTTAATCGAATGCTAATATTAATTAATAAGATATCATTTGCTGTAACTATAGTATTATGGTATTAGATAGAGACGATGGTGTAGCAAATTGTATTAACCAGTTCCAAGATGTCAGTTAAATTTTCTCATTTTCTTACTCAACGAATGATTTTCACTTTATAATATATAATGTTAGTTAAAGCGATTTATCAGTTTACAAATAAATGTATTCCCAATTCCATTTGTTCACGGCTAAATTACAAGTAATGCGATAACATTGCACATTTGCTTATTGCGAAGGCATTTTAAAGCACCGAAGAGCAATATTTAGCCCCATCAATTATAAATTGAATAATCATGACAATGATGTTGCTGATGAAATGCTTTCCCGTAGGTATCCTTCCCAAACAAACGTCTGGCAAATGGAATGAGTTCGTACTTTGTGGATTACGATACCGAAGAGGATTTTACAGTGTTCTTCCATCGTCTGCGAATGGACCTCCTCGAGGGCTTTCGACAGGCAACGCTGGTCGCCCCTCTCGTGACCTTTGCCTATGTGCAACAGTGGCTCACGGCTAAGATCCGCAAGGGCTCGGAGAACCTTGCCTACAAGAGCGACCCCCTCGACCCGGAGTACCTCGAGTGGGAGGCCTTAGCTCTGACCCTTGACTCGATAATCTCCCGCATTCTGCTAGTGAGCGAGCGGCCCAGCGTCCAAAACGGCTTGCAGCTACTCGAGCTGTGCTTGAGTTACTCGCCCCAGGATGCTTGGCTGCTCTCGACTGTGCTGTCGTGCATAAGCGCCCTCTTTGTCTTTCTGTCGATGTCGACGGGCTCGATGGCGATGCCCGGGGTTGCCATACTACCCCGAGTCCTCGAGAAGATTTTCGCGGCCCTGGTGTTTAATGGGCCCGGCGAAACCAAGGAAAACAAATCTAAAGCCACGAAAAACGTGAGACGACACGCTGCTAGTCTTATGGTCAAGATCGGCCTCAAGTATCCGCTACTGCTTTTACCGGTTTTCGACCAAATACACACGACCGTGAGGGGCTTGCTCCGGGAGCCTAGTCAACTTTCAAGGATGGAAAGCTTGACGCTCTACGAGGCGCTCCTACTAATTTCCAATCACTTTTGCGATTACGAGAGGCAGACGAGATTCGTCGCGGAGGTAAGCTTCGGCGGCCTCTATTCAAGAAATTATCGTTTCACGAGACGACGGCTACCTTGTAGGTTATAGGCGACACCTCGACGAGACTTATCGCAATTGGCGCAGAGGCATTCAAGGGTCCGATCGAACTCATGAGATTCATTGGGCTTGATAGACCAGCCGTTGAAAACGGTCCCGATGATTCAGCGAGCGTCAATCGATCTAACCTCATGTTTTGCATCAACACAATACTTAGCGTAGTGAAAAGGTGCTCGATACCGGAGGACCCGGACCGTGCGGCCAGGGGCGGCTTCGTCGCTGCATTTAGCGAAAGTGGCAATCCGGTTTATCGAAATCCAGCGACACCGCACATTATGCCCGTACTACCGCCACTTTTCACTCTCCTCAGGGCAATGAACGCGCTCTTCTTACCCACAGCTTTAAGCGTCTTGTCCGAGGTAAGTTTTCCATTAAAGCATTAATACAAATTGCAGCATGACTCGGCGAAATACGAGCATAATTATTATAAGCGTCGATCATGGCTTTTCTCGAAGAAGAAAAAGGGGCATTATCAAGCCCCATAAGCTTGTCAACTCCAAGTCTTTGATTCTTAAATATTTATAAGATTTTTTGTTTTATTTATTATATAAAGATTGGCATCGACAATGCTAATTCCATCAGCACGGAATAAATTAATGCACATTACGAAAATTATTTAGAATTACACTTAAAAATTGTATCTCATGAGTTGTGTCCTTCGTAAAATTTCTCTCCCCCTCCCTCCATCCCGCCCACCCGCCCACCCGTCACCGCCCCCAATTCTTTTTTAAAAAAAAAAAAATTTTTATTTTATGCTACAAATTAGGGGTACAGAAATGCATATGGGCTACTAGAATCGGAGAAAGCCAACTTATTGTGTTTGAATATGGCAAATAATAGCGAAAATGCCGTAGAAATAGATCCGCAATCCGCTCCTCTCGTCAGGATGCAATCTTTTATCACAACCATTCACGACAACTGCTATCACATGCTCGGTAGTGGATGCCATACTATCGGTCGAGATTTTTATCAACTACTAGGATTAGCAACTGCATTATTAAATTCCGTTTTTACAAATATGGAGGTGAGTTTGGTTTTGCAATTATTATGTTGAAGTTGTGTGTTCGAGTCAAACATCGGTCAATTTGAATGAAAAAAAGATAATTTCTAGATATTGTGGGAAATTAAAAAAAAATATATATATATATATATATATATATATATATGTACAAATAGGATAATTTTAATGCTTGATTTTTGAAAAATTAGAATTTAAAATCTATCTACGTTATTAATAAAAGATTAATGTTTATTAATACATTGACGTTAATTAAGAATTTTTACACTTGACAAATGACAAATGGCTTTGATTATTAAACGACTTAAGTATTTCTTAATATACTCTGTACAAAATTAAAATTACTCCTTCATTTACAATATTTATAATTATCTCTTTACGTTCAAAGATTTTTGGTAAAGCATGACTAGAAATGAAATTTTCATTATTAAAAGGTTATTTAAATTTTAAAATCATCAATGTAATTAAAATTTCAATGGCGTTTGAGTGTGTAATATAGAGTGGTAAGGGCAAAATAATGTTATTCATATTTTTAGTCATAATTTACGTAAATAGTTTACTCGACTAATGTTTTCATAAAAGTTACTTTTCGAACGAACAAAATTAGCAGACTAAATTTTATTGATTTTTGTTTTATTTCTTAATTTATAGGTGATTCCTGACTATAGACTGCGTCCAATTATTCGCGTTTTTATGAAACCTTTTATATACTCGTGTCCACCAGCTTTTTATGAAACGGTTCTTGTTCCTGTACTAGCACATGTGTCTACTCACAGTATGTACAACATCTATCGCATACATTATTTATTAAGTATTTTTTTGTTTTTGTTTTTGTTTTTTTTTGTTTGTTTTTTTTTGTTTTGTTTCTTTTTTTTTTTTTTTTTTTTTTTTTTTTTTTTTTTTTTTTTTTTTTTTTTTTTGTTTCTTTATTTCTTTGTTTTTTCCTTGTAATTAATTCGAGAGGGGGAAAGAGAAACTTTTTTTTATTTAACACTATTATTATTTTCATGATTTTCACCAAAGTAGAACGATTATAGTTCATTTTCTTGAATCGTTAAGTGGTAATTATTAGCAAATCGATAATAATGACGAAACTTTTGTTTGACTCTTGAATTTGCAGTGTGTCAAAGACTAAGTGCTAATTGGCAATATATAACTCGATTGTACGAGTCTGGTAGTCTCGATGACGAAAATACAGATGCTCAGGAGGTGATCGACGACATGCTCAACAGGAATTTAACGCGCGAATTCGTAGACGTATTGAAAATAGCACTAGTTGGCGGAGCGGCGACCGATGCTTCGCCTCCTGACTCGATGGATCAGGACAGCGGTGGTATGGCCGTCGATCCACCTCCAACCAGGGGCAGCAATAGCATCGTCGCGGAGGTTGTGAGCGAGCTTGGAGCCTTTATACTTAGGCACCCCTCCACATGTCACAGCGTCGTTTTGTGCATTCTCGGGTAAGCGTAACTCGCAACAAAAAAGAAAAGAAAAAAATTAATAAATAAATAATAATTTTTCATTCATTTACAATTACATTTAATCATTTAAGGATTTAAAGATCTATAGGCCCCGAGAATGGATGCCAAATAAGCTTACTCTATTATTATAGCGCATTATCGTGGAATGATTCGAACGCGAGTCTCAAGTCGACAATGTTGACGGGTCCAATGGTGCGAGCCTTAGCCGCCGATGGAAGCTTAACACCGGCAATGGCAGCGCACATAATGGTCGCCATCCTTCAAGGTCTTCAACTGCACGGCCAGCACGAGGCGAATCAGGGTTCGCTGATAACCCTTGGTGCTCAGGTTTATGAATGTCTAAGGCCCAAATTCCCCAATATAATCGAAGTTATGCAACAGATACCTGGTGTCAATCCAGCCGACCTGCAGCGCTTTGATGAAAAAATGTCGGTAGTAAGTACCAAAGGTAACAAGGTCGAAAAGGGAAAGAAGGACTTGTTCAAGAAAATTACAAATCAGGTGAGATGAGATGTTTTACAATATATCCATTTATCAAATTACGCGCTAGCTAGTTCATTGGATTCAATGTAATTTGTGAACAAATGAACAACAAAAATAGTCGTGTTTTATTTGACGGAAACGTCGTGAAACCGACATGTATGTAATATAAGATAAGATACATTTTAAATAAAATAATTTAATATACACAGTGTGACGTTGAATTTTTATTCATTTATTAATCGAGTAATTCAAAGCAAATGTCAAATTTTTGAAATTATTTTAATTAATTTGACCGTTTAATTACAAATGAAACATACATTGCGTACTTTGATATTATATTTACTTCACTATTGTGTTTTATTATTAACACTCGTAATGTGATTAGAAATTCTACAATGGTCACTGATTTCACTAATTGTTCGTTTCAATAGCTGATTGGTAGAAGTATTGGTCAACTATTTCGCAAAGAAGTAAAAATCGACAATCTACCACGGCTGGATATTGCAGGAAAGCAGACACTTCGAGAGGACGATATATCAAATAATGACAATGACATAGCGTTGACAAGATTATTCGCTGGTCCTACGTAGCAGATGATTAAATGACCGTAACATGGGAAATTGGCACTGTTCCATAAGTGATTGCAAATTACTTAAGAATTACTCAAGAAAAAAATGTTGAGAAATAAGGAACAGTGATCAAGATGAAAGGAAATAAGTGTATTACTCGATTGTAGTGTAATTATATATCGAGTATGTGTGTTGCATCAATAACATTTACATTTTCCATTGGATCGATTCCTTATTTCTTATTTGAAAATATTGTTGAAGAAGATAGTGGCGAAAGCGACTCCGTTAATTATAGACAAATTTAAGTCTGTTTTTAATTCTTTTTTTTTTTTTTTTTTTTTTTTTTTTTTTTTTTTTTTTTTTTTTCTTGCTTTGTTGATGGATTTTATTGTTAAAAATTATCACGATTGAATTTACAAATATTCATTGAGCGAATTAATTAAAATGAACAATTTTTCTTATGTTTTCTCATTCTCACAAATACGAATGATACGATAATATATTAATATTTTGCATCTTTATAAAATAATAAATTATAATACACAATGAAAGTGCATAAAATAAAATAAATTATATTGCATGAATGTAAATCACCATTTCTTATTGAATTTTTCAACTGAAAATAAAAATTTACATTTTAGAGTACATAGCTGATTCTGTACCAAGCTAAAAACAAAGCAGCCAAGAAATCGAAAATTTTCGAAATACTTTATTGATAATTTCTAAAGTGTATTTAATATAGAACTAAATAATATAGACACTTAATTTAATAATATCTTCATTTATGAAATTATGAATGTAATTTATAAAGAATGGTACTCGTATCGACCATTAAATTTATTTCAAATAGAAGTTAAACTATTGTTACTATTTTATAATGCATAGATTTGTCAAAAGTCATTCCTTTTTAATTACACGCTTTTATTGCATTTAAGAATCGATATTATTTTTACCGCAGCTATTTATCAATAACAATTTGTAAAATTTGTTGAAGTTTTGTAAGAAGAAATTTAGAAATCACCATTTTCAGTTTAATTTAATAATAAACTGGTGATTATGAAAAACGTTATTTTTATATATAAAAAAAAAAAAAAAAAAAAAAAAAAAAAAAATCATCAACCATGAGCAATAACAATAACACAAATGAATATTACGGCCTCTTGATCGTGCAGTAAATGTACAGTATAACTAAAAATTTTATTTATATTTTTCTTTTATATAATAAGTAAACGATTACTTTGTTTTTAATTAATAAAAGGTGCATGGCTATTTTTGTCTACTTATATCAAATTTAAGCGCTATAGTAAATGTGTCATTGTCCTTTATGACAAGTTCTTGTCATTTAATAAATAAATTTTTTTTGTTTTTTTTTTTTTTTTTAATGTTAATTGCCGAATATGAATATTTTCTATTTCAATTGAGTTATGTGATCCGACTGAATGGCCTTGCCCTCTCGCTTTTTTTTTTAAGCGATCGTAGTTTATAATTTGTTATTTCATGCTGCCCATGATATCACTGATCGTTTGTTTATACATCGGCTTTAAATTACTATGAATTGTATATATTGTACTGTAATAAATAAATACATTGACAATAAACACAATGAATTATTTATTATTTTTACACTCTCTGCTGTTTTTATAAAAATTCAATAATTCATTATTTGTTGGTAAAATAATAAATAAAAAAAGTCACGTTGAATAGAAAAGAAATCACTATGTAATATATATTATAACTGCCGAAAAATATATAAGTATATTATAATTTTGAGAATTACATCAAAAGTTTTCGAACGATATCAAATTAATTTAATTTTTTTTTTTTTTAATAATTCAAAAATTCATAATATTTTTCATTTTCACTTGGGAAAATTAATATAAATTAGCTATAAGTATAAATAATTGATTTTCATTTAATTTAAAAGATTCGGCAATGAATTGAGACTGATGAGTATCTGTATTTGTTATATGATAATTCACAATGTCGGAAGAGAAATAAATTCCTTTTCTTTTGAAAAATATCGTTAAAACTTCACCTCGCTATTATACGATCTAGTTACAGTTAAATATAAATGAAATTTATGCAGATTAGAATATAAATTTTCAAGGAAAATTTAATTTGTTTCATTAAATAGGAGTAAATTTCAGTAGGTGATTAGTGAAAATACGCGTTCAAATGAAATTTAAATATGATTCACCACATCCAGACAGTGTTTACATCAAATTCATAACATTACCAAGTGAAAGTAGTTCCGCAATTATAAGTACTCTATTAATATTTTTACTATTATTTATTTATATATATCTTACAAAAAAAATCCAAATAATAATATTAATTCTGCGTTCAATTTTATTGTTTATTAAGCCAATTAAAGTACATTTTTTCATGACGTATTGTTTAAAAATATTCAAAATAAATTTTTTTAATTGTAGTTAAGAAAAATGTTTGTCTAGATTATGATCAAATGTAGCTAAATATTTTATAAACTCTTTATAACGTATGTTTTATATTATGATTAAATTTTGAATTCGAAAATTTAAGAAAATTTATTATGCTTCTCAAGTCTTTATTCTTATTTTCATTATTGTTGTTATGATGATTACAAAACTCATGTTTACATATATTTGTTTTTTGTTTTTTGTTTTTTTTTTGTTTTTGTTTTGTTTTGTTTTGTTTTGTTTTTACGATGATGCAGACACGAAAATTGTCTGTCGAGACCGTAACTTATTTTTAGAGAAAGACTTTTATTGTAATAAATATGAATTATTATTGAACGTAGTAAATAATGCAGAAAATGTATTAGAATGAATGTTCTTAATTTTCGTTGAAAATATATTTTTTACATTTCCTTATAATATATAATTTTCTCCTTTATATAATCATTTATGGTTGTAGTAATTGTAATTTGTAATTTAGAAAGATTTTAGATAAATATATAAGAATGATTATTATTGGTATCAATAATTTGTTCGAATATAATTTCAATATTAATAGTACGTGTCGAAGCCGCGAAATTTATGTGATAAAATTTTTAATTAAACATACATTAAATTTTATAACAATTTTGAGTTTCTATCAACTACAGTGTCACCATAATAAAAGAAATTTGAAGTTTAAGAAAGTTAAGTACTTCATTAAGCAATTACGAGACCTTAAAGATTTTAAAATATTTAAAAATTTTGTCTTTAAATTTCTATAATTAATAAATTTGTCATTAAATAAAGTTTTTTTTTAAGTAATATCAATGTGAAAATGTATAACGAAAGTACGCGATTTTATTTTGTTAAGATCTATTACACTAAAACACATACGCGAGTAAAGGTGAATAAATATTTCTATTCTGCTGCTGCTGCTATCAGCTGCTGTGGAAAAAGTCATAAGAATGGAAGAAGGAGGACCTTTTGCAGATAATTCATAATCACTTGACGTAAGATGTCGTCAAAACTGCTGCTAATCGCCCTTCTAACCACATGGAGTCTCATCCACGGGATTTCATCGCCCAATGACAGCGAGCTCGAGCTCGTGCAGGTGCTCTTCCGGCATGGCGAACGGACGCCCCTCGAGTCCGAAACCTACCCGAGAGATCCCTACAGCTCGTCTCTATTCTACGAGCCCTGGGGCTGGGGTCAGCTTACCGAGCTCGGACGCTACCGAATGCGGCGCCTTGGACAGGCACTGCGCCGACGATACGGTGGATTTCTCAGGACGCTCTCCGGTTCCGGAGACATCTATGCCCATAGTGCGAACAACGAGAGCTGCCTGACCTCGCTGCGATTGCTCATCGAAGGCCTTAGAATCAACGAGGGTACAGTAGCGATACACAGCCACGGGAACGACATCCTCATGAACTCGCGCGCCTGCTCCAAATACCAGACCGAGCTGAAAAAGATCAGACAGTTGCCGGAGGTGATACAGACCCTGGCCAAGTACGAAGGTTTGTTCAGGTATGGTGTGCACCGCTGCTCTCGTCGCATATCTCATGTGCTATTACGACGCTATATATAAAGCAATTTTTGCAGTTACGTAATGGACAATACCGGTGTAACGTTCGATGGTTTGCCAAAGGATCAACGTCTCTACCAACTATACAACTTACTGGAGACTCAACGCAGTATGAACCTGAGTCTGCCCAACTGGTGCCCAGAAGGCGTCTTTAATCTACTAAACGAAATCGCTTATCTCCACTTTAACCTCGAGTCATATACTCAGGCATTGAAGATACTGAATGGGGGGCCCCTCGTGCGCCGTTTCCTCGAGAGTATGTTGCGATCCAAGTCTCGAAACAACATCAAGATATACTTGTATAGTGGCGAGGACCATAACGTGGCGGCATTTAGTCGAGCGCTCGATAGACGCTTCCCTCGAGTGCCCAATTACGGCAACGCCATAATTCTTGAAAAGTACAGGACACTGAAAAGCGCCAGGGCTCTCGTGAGGATGGTTATATGGACAGGAGTGACAGAAAAGTTGTTTCCAGTACGACTCCGTGGATGTACGGAAGTTTGTCCGTTAGAGGATTATGCCAAAATCGTTGCCAAATCTCTGCCCACCAACGAGGACATGCGATGTCATTTTAACGATGCTAAGGAGCACAAAAACCTATAACTATTTGAACCTACGTTGCATAAGACCTACTAAGCAAATGTAATATAATTGCGTTATAAAAGCATCTAATAGATAGATCATTGATGAATCTCATGACAAACGATATGACGAGACTTAATCCCGAATGTAATTACACGGTACTTTACAAAACGTAATATACAGAATTATAATTGACGGAATAATTATCTTTTTGTTACAAATATAATTACGTTATGTGAGATTTCAATGGGCATTATTGCGTTGAAATTTATTTCTTAAAGCGAACGATACATATTTGAGGTAAAATTATTATTTATAGATAAAACATGTTACTACAATGCTTTTGAAATTTGCTCAAACTTTTTATCATTTTATCATTGAGTTTTATCATTTTATTATATAATTAATATTAAGTGGCAAATTTCAAGTATTACCAATAATAATTGGCATTATGAATAGTAATAAGAAATTTATTTGCACGCAATGAATAGAATTGTAATATTATTATTTTACAAAGAAGTGTAATTTTAATTTTTGTTCAATCGGAAATCCATGGCATTTGAGCTTATGTGTAAGAAACTTTTTCTATTAATTAAAAAGATGCTCAAAATAAATGTATTTTAAACAGAACTATAAACGTGCTTTGTAATTTTTTAAATATTTATATATTTCTTAAAATTGTGATAAATTGCAAAACCAATATTTTAAAAGCTTAAAATAAAATAGAATATCATAGATTTGTATTAACGATTGTAAAAGTTACTAATAAAAAATATCGAAAACGTATAAATATTACTTGAAATCAATACCAATAAATAGTAATTCAATCCATATAAGGATTTTTGAAAGAATAATTACATATTTTTTATAATTTAAAAATTTTACCCTTTAAAAATACAACTGTTTGATCAACTTTGATAAATTGTCATAAGTGATTTTGTAAAACGTACTTTGACGAAAAATAAAATAACTAGATTAATCAAAATTAGGAAATTTGAAGGGTTAAATAGTAATTCCAGATTTAACTAGAAAACATTGCTTTTTTTTTTTTTAATCTAGTATGGATAAAATTTTGTTATTTATAATTTATAAATTTATACGTATTGCATAAGTGTTTTCATTAATATCTTGATTTAAAGTGAAAAAAAAAACTGAATGTACTATTAAGCTCAATATATTTTTAAAGCGACATATATTTTCACAGAATAATACTCAAATATGTCGATAAATTGAAATTATGACGTTTTATCAATGTTCAATTATAATTTACTTACATCTCTAATAATAAGAATAGCCAATATGATTCAGCAATTCTACAATCCTCCTTTCTACGAATTAATAAATTTAAGAAATTTTATTCTTCATAATTTAGTCAAAGAATATTTGGAAATATTAAATTATTCAATTAAATTTCGTACCATAAAAATGTTTCTTCTCCTTCTCTCTCTCTCTCTCTCTCTCTCTCTCTCTCTCTCTTAAAATAGTTTATTTACAACTGAGTTATGTAATTTATCTTTTAACATCAAATTACTTAAACTTCAGATTATTAAAATTTTTCGTGCTTATAGAATTAATAAAAATTTGTAATTATTAATATATTTGTTGTTTAAAAGTTAAAAAATTTAAAAATTTAAAAAAAAAATTACAAATGTAAAAGTGGAATATAGAATCTCAAGTTCCTCGTAAATGAGAATCGCAACAGTGAATCTTTTCTTATATTCATAACATAATTAATAATAAAACCACGTGTATAGTTAATTAATTATGCGTTGATATAGATTATCAAATCTGAAATTTTGTATTCTTAGTAAAAAATTGAGGCATAATATAAAATTATTACTTTTCGATAATGTTAATGCAATAAAGCAATCAATTATTTATATTTATCCTATCAATCGTAGTGTAATGATTCGTTATAAAATGTTCAAGGACGTTCTTTTTGATAATATTTTATTATAATAAATAAATGCATTAACAATAACAATTAAAGATATGTATACGCAACGATTTTTTCATTCATTTCTTCATTCTATCATTCACGCATAATAAACTTTTATTTATACAATGATTTAGTGCTTAAAAAATTCATACGAGAATATATATTGAATTACTTCACACATCTAAGTTGAACAACTTCATACATCTATGCCATGACAGTAATATATACATTGGCATAATTATATATATTTAATATACAGACATTTTTGTAGTATATAGTATATTTATGTGTGTGTGTGCGTGTGTGCGCGCGCGCGTGTGTGTGTATATATATATGTAATATATAGTATTTATATAATATATGTATAACACAAATAATTTGACTGGATTGCTGTAAAAGCTAAAATATTGCTGTAAAGCTAACAAACACTTCATATATAAGACTTTCATTTTGATTTAATTTTTATTTTTCGTATGAATGTATGTAAAAAAAAATTTATCACGTAGATATCCTTCCATAATATTTTCATACAAATTTAAAAGTTTTTCTCTCAAAATTTTAATACTCTCCGATGTATATCGAAAACACGTAAACAATCATATCTGTATAGCAAACATGTTAGATGTCAGTCTTCCTCACCTTAAATAAATATATAATATATCATAGAATCAAAATTTGTTTTTTTTTTTTTTTTTTTTTTTTTTTAATTTGTACATCTCTATTTAGCCGTTTTTGTATATCAAAAGTATATATGTGACACTTTTACCATAAATTGAACCAAATCAATGTAGAAAATAGAAATATAATTATAACAATAACATTATAATAACCTGTAAAATTAATTACGTACATGTGTTAAAAACATAAACTTTTGGAGAAATTCTTTAAAGAATCTATATATAAAAAATATTGTTATTAAGTCTTATCAAATATGAATAAAAGCGATGGGAAGAGCTTAAACTTTGATTTTATGGATAATAAATTCAGTTTGTTAAGCAATTTTAAACTTTTAAATTGTTATACGAATTGTAATAAAATTTTGACGCCCACTTAAAAATGATTGCAGCCTAACAAATTTCTAATTCAATATTCAATTAATTATAGTAGTGATACCTTATAATATTTATATTTAATTACTTCTTGATTAAATAGTGATTTATAAAAATTTAACTTTTGCATCGCCAGTATTCAAAGCTCTACTTTAAAAATATAATAATCTTAATAATAAAATTATTAAAAGTAAAAGTGAATTGAATCGATGTTAACGCGATAATTAACGCGTTTTCAAAATATGTTTCTTAAAATAAGTAAGTTTTAAAATTAGATTAAATTTCGAAGAGCACCAAACAGTTCTTAAGCGCGAAGAGCTAAATTCTTCCATTCGTATATTTTAAATTCATTCAATCCTTACTTCTACATTTCAACATTAGTTTCCATAGTATACGAGATTATAAAAAAAAAAAGAAGACATTTTGCACAAATAATTATTATGAATTTGAAAACTTTTGCGGAATATTTCATTTTCACGATACACTTGCTTATAATATTCGACACTTATAGCTTTGGAAAAGTCATCTGGAATGCTAATATCAATAAAATAATGAGATGAAATTTTATAATTTCAAGTCTACAACAACATAGCTGTCAAATATAATTTTGGAAAGCTCGAATGAATTATTAAATACAGATACGTGAAAAACAGAACTATTTATTTAAGAATTAAATTATGTTTGTATGCCAAAAAAATAATGAACACTTTTCTTTCATCTCATTATACGACGATACAATCTCCCGACAATTCAATATTCAATAAGCATATTTCGAGACTTATTCGAACGTGCGACTCTACGCTATCTATCTGGTAACAAAATACCAACAATGAAGCAAGATGAAAAATTGAGATTGAGATTAATCTTACGTTTTTCATCTACGATCTACGATCTACGATAAAATGACTACTATATTAATAGAATAATAATACGTGTTAATATCGCACGAATATCACTCACATACAAGAAATAGGACATAAAAATAGAGGTGATAGTTCATCATAAACAATTGAATATTACAAAAAATTATGTATAAAAAGAGTTATGAGATATAAAATACTTAAAGTAAAAATTTAATCGATAATAGTAATTTGCAATGCTAAAAATAATACAATCCTATATGGTATTTGTAAATACATTAGAGGAAAGGTTATTCGGTATTTCGTTAAATATAACGATACATACAGATTTACGCGTGAATAAGATTAACAAACAATGACATTTTTAATAGAATATATTAAATATTAAGGATTAACAATATCATTGATATTATTTATGGTTATAAAAAAGAAAAAAAAAAAAAAAAAAGTTAAAGTATATCCTATAGATACAAAATAGGGATTTAACATTGAATTATCAAAATGTATGATGTTAGCGAGAGTTTACGCTTTAAAAAGAACAAAATTTATTCAGTGGAAATTCAAATTTATTCGAAAATTTATTTGAATTAAAATTATAATTTAAAATATTTTTCCAGTTTAATCAATTTAATAAATAATATATGCATAATATCATAAAGCATAAATCATAAAATAAAATTATGACTGAAAATAAAATTTTTGTTCGTAATTTTCAGTGCACTTATTTATTTATAACTATTATTTTATGGTTACTTTTTTTTTTTTTACACTACACTGAACTCGTTTGTCAAATATAATATAAAATTATAAGAACGTTAAACGAAGTTTAAATGAAACTGAAAACTTGTTAATAAACATTTAACTTTACTTATGAAATAATTTGTACAATTATATAAAGTTTTGAAATGATTTTCCAATGAGTATGTATTTTCATATTTAAATAATAAATTTATAGCGTTAATAATTCGCTACTGCAACTTGAAGGAAAATTCATATTTCTGTATCATGGAAATTGTACAGGAATTTGAAGGAATTTAAACTAACATTTATATATACCACAGTAAAAATGACAATCTTAACGTAATTTCCAATAAGAGATTCATAAGGCAAGAAATTGCAATTATAATGTAAAGAATCGAAAGTAAAATAATTTTGTTCGGCATTCGGGCATAAATGTCTCATATATACTCTCTCGCATTTGGCTGCAGCGATACATAAAATGTCATCAATATATATTGATTATATATTATAGTTAATATCTTCAATACGTACAAGGTGACAGCACTATGGAAGACAATATTCAATTTTTTTTTTTTTTTTTTTTTTTTTGTATAGTAATAAGTATTTACAAAAATATTCCTTTCAATAGAATATAAAGCAATATTTATCGAGACTAGAAAAAAAAGTCTATCATAAAATTAAAACAATTACAATGATATATTATTGGATTTGATTTAAATTTATAATTATATATTGCCGAGTGAATTATAATTCAGAATGCATAATAAGACCGATATTATAAAAAAAAAAATAAAGAAAGTATTTTAATATAGTAAGATTATGGTTTTCAGTCTACTATACTAAACTACTCGCAGTCCCCCCTTTTCTTTTTTAAGCCAGAATCAATGAATTTTTGTCAATTATCAATAATCAATGATACATACAATACATATTTAATTATATTTAATCGTTCATTAGTAATGCTTTGGATTGACGTGTACAATCACTAAAATTATTCGATATAAATTGCAGTTTCGTATAAATCTTAATAGTTTAAAAAGTTTATCAATTTATAATTAAAAACAAGACACTCACGTGAACGCGAAGTTCAAAAATGGTATAATGACTTTATAATGGACATCGCATTTTTTTTTTTTTTATATTATATTTCTCTGTACATTAGTAACAAATTTTCAATTATTAAATGCTCTTGCATTACTTGAATTCTTTTTGGATAAAATTGTTTTTTATTTCCAAAAATTCATTATCATGTGATAAATATATTTTGTGTATTTTGAATTTTCCCCATTTTAAGTCAATTAATGACGCATTTTAAGGCATGCAATTGTCACAATCGAACTAGTATCTAATTTTTTTTTAAAATTTTTTAATTTTTTTATACTTCGAACCAATTGACTTACAATTTGCATGCGCTTTGAATAATGTATATTATCGGAAAGATAATTGTCGCTATTTTTAATAGTTTGTACAGATAGATTGAAAATTAAATGTCTCCAAAGAACGTATGGTAATTAATAAAATAATAATAAAGATAATTTAATGTTAATTATCACAGGGATTACTGAAAGTGACTTATCAATTTATCGTAATAATTAATTGAAATAATAAATAATTGTATATATTTTCAGACCAGTCATCGATAAGCATAATTATTAATTTTAAATATTACTTATTCAAGTTAGAAGATCTTTTAAAGAAAATTACGAAAATATGTTTCTTGAGTACTTCGTATAAGTACTTTTATAAACGAGCAAAATTATAATGAAAATTTATATGAATTTAAATATTTCTACAAAAAAATATTTATATTTAAAAATTATCTTATTTAAAATAATAGTTACTTCGAATTATTATAAATTAAATGTAAATATTTTATTTATAAATATATAAAGAAATTAATAAGATGTACTTTACATGCTTCCTTTACTTGTTGATCTCTAACGATTGGCGTTTAAATTTAGTAAATTTAAATAAACAAATCCGATCATCAACAAATATATATTATGATGTTCAAAGTTAAAAATAAGTACAAACATACCATATACAAATTTATACATTTAATTGAAAATCATATTGTATAAGTACTTTTTTGGAACCATAATTATCTTATTCTATAGTTATATACATTTTTATTTTGTTTTTTCAGTTTTAGTAATTCAAATATTTCGTAAGCAATAACGATATTAATACGTATTCAAATATTTATTTTATGAGCTTTCAACCTCTCAAAAATATTCCTTTTAAATTTGCTATATACAGTTATTATCGTACAATATCGATTTTTTAAATTTATTTATTACTGCAGCAAATTAATTGTTTATAATTTATGGCTGTTTGTTGTATCGGTAAAAATGTAATTAAATATTTAATATTATTAAATAATTAAAAAAAAAATAATAATAATTAAAATTAGGTAAATAATCATAAAGATAATTTATAATAAACAATATCTTAAAATATTGACTATATCATATTTCATTACGTTAAGATATACGACTATTGACTGAAATAAATAAGCAATAAATATTTTAAGCAATAAAATAAAGGAAAAATAATTAAAAAAAAAAACAATATATATATATATATATATATATATATAAAATTTAAATATAAAAATTAATCGAATGACTTCGTAAAAAATCTTTTAAAATTTATATGCAATTAAAACAAATGCGATTTCAACTTAAAAACATTAAGTTAAATTTAAATTAAAAATATATTTCATTATCATGTATCTTTTAGATATAAAATTTTCAATTCTTCATACAAATCTCAAACACTATTCTATGCCTTTGTTTCGGAAAATTCATTTTCCAACCGTCGTCCGTCCCAACGTCCATTTTGGGCCTTTCGATTTTTCTTTCATATAAATCTACATAATAGTTCAGCCTAATTTCGAAAGATCTCGATGTTTCGAGTGTTCATTTTCATTTGCCACTATGAGTAAATCAAGCCTGGCAGATATAATCGACTCAACTCTTCTTACCCTTTAATAGAAACGCATTCATGTTGTCTTTGCCTTTCACGTACACTTGCCCGCGGGGCTCATAATTGTATCTATCAGAAATCACGTCCAGACAGTTGCTAGCGAACTGAATCTCTCCAGCAACGCCTGTCGAGTCCATCCTCGATGCAATATTGACAGCATCACCCCATATATCATAATAAAGCTTGGTGGCGCCTATTACACCGGCAGTCACGTCACCATAATTAAAACCTACGCGTAAAATCAGTTTAAAGCCGAGAAGATCTTGGTTGAAATCGTAGATGACCTTGTGCATAGCTATCGCGAAGTCAAGAAGTTGATAGATATGCGTGTACTCGTGCTCACTTTGCTGCCTAACCTGGTGTTTAACATAAATGCAAAATATAATAATAAGTAGAACAAAAAAAAAAAAAAAAAATAAAAATAAATAAATAAATAAATAATTATCCAAATAAAATATATAAAACAAAAATCATATGTATATATAGATTAATTATGATATTAAAAATGTAATTCATAATTATAATATTCATGAAAATTAGTACAAAAAGGGCTAAAAGATTTACAAAGCATAATAAATAAATTATAGTATTTATCAAGTCATTATTTTTTAAAAATAAGCCTTTTCAATTACGTTTCTATAAAGACAGAATTTTAAAATATTATACGAAAAAGTCAATTGACTTAAAAAAATTTACCTGAGGATTTAAGCCACTCGCTGCCATGAAAGTACTGCCGATCGTTTTAATCTTCTCAACGTTAGAATAGTCTTGTTTCTCTAATAACTCGTCGAAGTCTCCGATTAGTTCATTGAGTACTCGCAGATACTCTTTTCCCCTGAGATACGATTCATCGTAAAGTTCGTTAAAATTTACGATACTGGCGAATATGATACCAACTGCCTTGTGGTTTTGCGAGTACTTGGCGGTAGTTTTGAGCTGATCGGCAACGTACTTTGGTATGATATTATGCAACAACCAATCGGCCTGGTTCTTCATCGACTGAACGCGGCTCTTGTCACGGGCTGCCACAGCATTACCATGGAAACTCAATCTGTAACTGATCTCGAATTCACGGTTTAAGAACCAAACGAGCAACAGTAACAAGCCAAAATCAAGAAAAACTTCCGACGTGTAGAGCCGCTCGTTGTACTTGCGTGACTTTTCACTCTGAGAGTCAGTTATCTTTGGTAATTTGTTGTCTTCGTTATTGGAAACTTCGGACGGCATTGGTTTTACGTTATTTGAGGACGGAAAATTATCCGCACTCAGAGGTGAAATTGGAAGTAATGGACGATCTATTGTCGAAGAAGTGTTGCCTGATTGAATTACAAAAGTCTTTTATAATCATTGCATAGACTATACATTTCGTTAATTATTTTTACTTTTATGACTGTTTTATTAGTTTAATATACTCAGTTTAGTATACTGGCTTAATGTTATTTTATTATTTGTGATAAATTTGAATAAAAAATGATAAAGATTAGAGCCATAACGATCAAATATTACTATTTCAATTTTATATGAATAGTATTTATTGTAAATTGTATGAATTAAGAATTTATATATATATATATGCATTCACGAAAAAATATTCTTAATATAAAATAAATAAAAACTATTTACCCAATTTGATATTTAATTCCTTGAAAATATTTGGTTGTAGTGTAACTATTGTATGCTGGTTATATGAGACATGATTCATGAATAAGTAAATAAAAAATATCCCTGCAATAGTGACAAGCAGATTCTTCATCCAACAGTTAAGTTGAGTAAAATTGCAAAAATGAACTAATCCAACGACGACGAGATAGCTGTAGTAATATTCGAAATGTTTAAGGTTCGAATGCAAGCTATTGCAAGTAAAATTCATGAGGATGGAGACGATGGGCAGGCCAACAAGAATGGCTCCACATACATGCCACGGATACCACTTTGAGAAAAATTTAAAGATGTTATGGGCAAAAGTGACGTGCATCGCACTACAACAAATTAAATATACATTGTCATGTGATTAACGAATGCACATAATAATAAATACATGTAAACCTCTTATCATAACATTATGAACTCAAATAACTATAGAAATAATAATAGATGCTAAAATTATTAGAAAATTATTGAATATAAGGATATTAAAAGATAGATATAATTTTAGCATACATTGTGCATTGATAAACATTTAATAAATTTTAATTTAAGAATACTTCATTTTTAAATGTATGAAAGTTTAAATGGATTAAAAAAAAATTTCCAAATATCAATAAAATTAAATAAGAATAATAAAGCGATATATTATAAACGTAAAAGAACCTTATTCTTTAATATTTTTCTATTATAGCAATGAAATGTCTATGAGTTACTTGTTTTTATCGAATTTTAAAATACATTGATTTTGTTCAATTGTATATTATGAATATTCGAATGACGTTGTACATCTTAGATAAATTTGAAAATTCATCTATTGTATGAATAAAATAAATACAAGTTGTCTTACTTTGGATCAAATAGTTGACGAATACACAATGTTACTGCAAATATTTGTACAAGAGTGGCTATTCCAAAGAAAACAAAGTAGTGGGTAGTGGGTTTGCATAGCAGAAACAATGATACCGTTATATTTGTATAAACGAGAGCCGAGATAAGAATATCTAAATAAGTATTAAAACGTGAGGTGGCTAAGGTCGGTGGATTGCCACCAATGCTCTCTGAGGCTTTGTGAGCATTTTCACGATACTCTTTTTCCATTTCTTTATTTTTGAAGAAAAGTGTGACACTCGATAAGGGTGGTTTAACAAAGTACGAACGTTGTGACGAAACATTGTCTTGCACGCATCTGTAAGGAAAAATAATGATAAACAAACATTAAAAAAAAAAAAAACAAAAAATCTTTTAGAACATTGGATTTTAAATTATATAATTTTACCTGATAAGTTGTAGGTCAGATTGTTTTCTAAGCTTATGAAAACATGCACCAAATGTATCAGTTACAGCTGGAGGGAATGGATATGGTGGAATAGAAGATGAATGTTCTTGAGTAGAATTAAGCGTAGAATTTGATGTATAATAACCACTCACTCTTGGTCCCAATAAATCACCTTGAGCCATTCCATTCATTAAAAATAACTATTAAAGGGAAACAAATCAAAACCATAATTTAAATATGTAAACATTAATTTATCAATATCATTAATATAAAAAGTACTTGTTGCTGTATACTGCTACGTCTACTATTGCTGCGAATTCCAGAGTCTTTTCGACTACATATTGAAGATGTGTGACTTAATGTATCTTGTCCAGGAAGTAATGGGCTTGAAGGCATTGCATTAAAATCTATCTCTATACCATTATTAACAGTAGTCTAAAAGTAATGAAAATAATTATTTATAAATATTAATATTTAAGCTGGATGTCAATGTATTCCGTCAAATTTATTTGTTAGATACACATTGAAGCTTTTGAAGTTTGAGGTATTTCAGCTAATGAAGTCTTGAATTTATTCATTTGTAATGTTTTACTTATAAGTCTTGAAATTATATAATTAATTAAATTACTATATATATATATATATATATATATATATATATATACTGATAATATAAATTATTGAGTAAAATATTGTTACAAATTAATGAAATTACATGCTTCGCGCAAAACGAAAAAGTATAGAATCTCGTCATCTAATGAGATATATGCAAACTATTAAAAAACGATATACTGCTTTCTAAGAAATTTTATTAATAAAGAGTTTAACTATAGAAATATTAAATAATGAATCTTTAATGAATGAACATTCGTTTGATAATTCTCGACTTCTGAGAGTCTGTAATCGAGTATTGAGTGTTCATTGACCTTTTGAAATCCATTGCTATCAGCATTGGCGACCGTGGCAATTAGTCCCTGATTCGCCTCCACAACGATTCCGCTTTTTTTAACTTCCGTGTCCAAGGGTGTCATCTCCTCGGTTGTTCTCTGCCGTTGCAAATACTTCCAGGGTCTGCTTCGATTGCTCTTTTTCTTGCCGTAACTCGCAGTCGAAGTAGGAGACTTGTTGGTGTCGTCCTTGCCGTCATTACTATCCGCTTCGTTGTCCGAATCCAGAATACTTGGAAGGGAGTTAGCCTTCATTCGGTAGCTGCTCGCGTTAGTTACCATGTACAGATAGTGAGGTCGCGGTTTCGTTTGATTGCTGCAGGAGGCCAGCCGATGCCGAGCGTGAAGAACAGGTGATATGCTTGTTGGAGAGCTTACGTTTTTCATGAACTGAGATACAAAGTCCGCCTTACGGGTCTTTATGAAATACGTCTTTATACCTGTGATACCAATTTATTTACATTACATTGAGTTTTTGAAAAATCAAATCACTACCTAAACGTACAGCGAATTCAATACTTTTATTTCCTTGAAAAATCTTAGATACAATAATTCGCAAGATTTAATCTTCCCTATTGTACGCCTTTAATTTATTTTAAATGATCAATTCAGTATTAATAATAGCATATGCTTCGAGAAAAATTCTAGTGGACAATACCAACGGCAAGTGCAACTGTTTTCAATAAATTTAAAAACACATGCGATAAAATAGTAATATTTAAATTTCTAAAGCATTATATTATAAATGTGCGGTAAAATGGAATAGCTATGCTATAATATTGAATATCATATTTACGAATTGTATCGCTTCGTTATGTATTACCATTCACAAGTTCTCCATCTTCTGTGAGATATTGATCGCTCAGAAAACTCAAGGTTTTCTCGCTTATATGAACCCTTCCTGGCTTGCCAGTACTTTCTAATTTGTTGGCAAAAGTAACATCGTTGGACCAAACGTCGAATTTGAATCGTTTTGTGCCAACGATTCCACACAAAACAGTGCCCGTATGCACACCAACACGCATATTTACTCCTTCTCGTCTTTCAATGTCGAATTGCTTTATCGCTTCGATCATCGCTATAAAATCAAAATTTATATTACATTGCAAAATTGTAAGATTGACAAATCAATTTAGCGCACTAACAAGATTAACTTAAATTTACGTATTCAATATATGTATGATATCGTTTCAAATGGTGGTACATTATTAAGAGAATAATCAATTATTTCTTAAAAATCTTTGGACTAGCAAATTTTGATGTCTAGATAAATATATGCGACAATAATTTTTTTTTCTTTTTCGAATAAAAAAATTGTACAAAGCAGATTTATTATAATTACTTCATCTTATAAACATTTTCATTCATATAAAATTGCATAAAACTGTTTTACACTATATCAAATAGTCTTTAAAGATATTTGTAAAAATGTTATTTAATAATTATATAATGTAGGTTATGGTATTAAAAATCAATACAATTTATGAAAAACGTTACTCTGAAAAATGTATTATAATTGATATTTAAAGTTATATATTGTACATGCCTATGAAAATTAATAACTAATTGTCAAATAAAACTCTTATTTTACATTTAAATCATTCCTATTCTGCATTATTTATTAACGTAATTTACTTTAGAACGTAATTTCATTAAATGAAATTGCCATAAAAAATTTTATATCGTCTTACTTTATGCATGAAATGTTTTAAATGTCGTTGAAGAAATAAACACTATTTTATATTCACTCTCACAGTCACTTCAGCCTACCTAAGCCCATTTCCACGCAGCACTTGGCATGATCAGGTCTAGGTTCTGGGCAACCACTGACGCAATAATAGCAATCGCCCAGGGTTGAAATCTTTTCACAGCCATTCTGCTCGCACAATTCGTCAAACCTCTCGAACAAATCATTAAGTATTCCAACAAGTTCTTCCGCAGTTTTATTACTACTCATTTTAGTGAAACCAACAATATCTGCAAAGAGTATACTGACATCATCCATCGAGTGCATATTGAAAGGACGAAAGAGCGAACGAATGTCAGTATTATTGGACGGTATTGAGCCTTTCTTTAACGAGTCTTCTCTCTCTCGCTCTCTTTCGCTCTCCTCCATTAACCAATCGGCAACCTTAGGCGGCATCACGGAATGTATCATCTTTTCCTTCAGTTGTTTCTCCATCTCAAGCTGCCGACGCACCAGTAATGACTGACCAACCTTCATGAAAGTGCCGCGCATACGCACAAAAGTCATTATTAAGATATGAACGCCGATCAAGTGTATGCATATTTGCATTAGGATGCGAATGGATAAAATCAATGCAAAATTAATGTCTTCCTGTGTGCTGAGCGACATATTGATTGTGTTAAAGTTTTCACTAGCATTCAATAGATTATGCTTGTCATCTAAATTCAATACCATTACAGGTAAAACTCCAGGAATCTTACTGGATGTACTGTTGATAATCAAATTTATTTCATTCAAGACACCCTTTATCTTCCATACACTGTCTGAACTTTTTAAAGAGGTATTTTGTTGATCTGACGTAAAATTATGCCGTTCGTTTAATAAATCCGTTGTCGTATTTAATGTTTTTATTTTTCCAGTGAAGTACTCGGCCCTAGCAGTTTCAGTGCCATAGAGGTAAGCAGTGAGAAATTCAAAGAGAAACGAATACATTGTACATATTATCACGCACATATATAATGGCATCGGTAAGACTGTATATATAAGCAATAAAATTTCCGAGCATAATGCAAAGTGTCCGACCTGAAATTAATGCACAATATAATGTATTATTCATAAATATTCAATGTGTTACATAAATGATATTTGCGTGACTGTGTAAATTAATTTCAATGCACGAAACAATTCTCATAAGCACATTATGAAATTTAAATATACAAATTAATAAATAAAAATAAAATCATCTTGTAAAGAATTATTATTATTTTATGTATTAGGTCAAACGTGTATACGTGAAAAATGATTACACATAATTTTTGGAATAAAATGCAAGATGAATTAATGTCTTAGAATTACAGAAGAATTGTAGTTTCTATAAATGTAAATAAACACATATTTCTATCAAAGTTCTATATTATTGTATATAATTGAAATTTTTTCTTTAAAAATTCCATGAAAAATTTGATAAAATATTAAGAATAAAGAAAGAGACTAAATTACTAAAAAAAAAACTGTAATTGAAAATGGCCCAAGAGTCATTTATTTTTATTCTTTACTTTTATCTTGTTCACTTACTAATGTTAAGCCAGCAGTATAAGGTGGTACAAACACCAGAAATATTATCGATAAAAAACAAAGTACTAAAGCAACTCCAACAGATATAGGTAACACAAAAGTTCTATAATGATCCGTGTACGTGATGTAAAGAATAACTGATACCACTACACCAACAGTAGTAAACATAATTGCTATAGCTGGCCAAAATTGACTTTCACTTTCAATTCCAAAGATAACAAAGTAAGCCAACCAAGAAACTGATATCAGCAAAATGTATGTAAGCGCGTACCTAAAAAAAAAATCATTTTATTTCACATTAATTGAAATGACAAGGTATTATCTGATGTATGATAAATGTTTAAATGCAATTTGTAAGAAGAATAAATTCAATTTATCGTTGTCTGCGCATATAAAAGAAATTATTATTTGAATTTCAATACATTTATATAAACATTTAAAAAATTAATTAATGTTAGTATTATTATTATTATTATTATTATTATTATTATTATTATTATTATTATTATTATTATTATTAAATACGCATATACTTATTATGTTATTGAACAATGTCTGTTATGGTTGCTATTAAATATATTTTGATACGAAATTGTAAGCAAAGAAAGAAATATTGTTAATTGGAAGTTATTATTGCGTTAGAGAAGCAGAAAAAAATTTGACAAGAAAATTAATTATCAAAGTAAATATCTAAGTAAGCAATGAGGTAAATGCACAGATAATAAAAAGACAATAAAAACTTTATAATTATGAATTTGAAGTGAATTTAAATAATTAAATATAACATTATGTAAGAAGAATATATCATATATTAATTGTCATTATTAACTTGGCCATGGGTCGATTAAAATTCAATGATAAATATCATATTACCTAAAGCGTAGTCTTATCTGTGGGAAAGCGCTACACTTGAACTGTCCCTCCAAGATCTCTGAATCGAATTTGGGATTCCACCAGGATCTAGGTGCAGCTCTCTCAAAAGGTACTGGTAATCCAATTCCGCAGCAACCAAGACCTTGGCCACTGTGAGCCAAATAAGTTTGGATGTACGGAGCCAGTGAGATATGAATCTCGTCCGTAACATCATTGATGTCGTCCTTGGCGCGGGTAAAACTGACGGAGGAGCCGCGCTTACGACCAACTGGTAAGGTCATTTTTATTCATCCAAAAAAGGCTGCTGATAAGACAACACCTAATGTTAATAGCATGAATCACTTGCCCATTACAATGAAGAAAAACAATAGCCATCGTTATTAAACGCACGCGAACTACGAGCTCGACCTCTCTAACGAAGAGAGGTAAAAACAAGAGAAGTTCAAAGTTTGCGATTTAAGAAGAAAAAAAATAGGATTGAGACGGAAGTGGTAAAACTATTTCCTTCGAGAGTTTCTGCTCCTACCTCCTTCGTTCTATTGGTGGTGATACGCGACGGCGCCGCAACTTTATCTTCCATACACTGTCTGAACTTTTTAAAGAGGTATTTTGTTGATCTGACGTAAAATTATGCCGTTCGTTTAATAAATCCGTTGTCGTATTTAATGTTTTTATTTTTCCAGTGAAGTACTCGGCCCTAGCAGTTTCAGTGCCATAGAGGTAAGCAGTGAGAAATTCAAAGAGAAACGAATACATTGTACATATTATCACGCACATATATAATGGCATCGGTAAGACTGTATATATAAGCAATAAAATTTCCGAGCATAATGCAAAGTGTCCGACCTGAAATTAATGCACAATATAATGTATTATTCATAAATATTCAATGTGTTACATAAATGATATTTGCGTGACTGTGTAAATTAATTTCAATGCACGAAACAATTCTCATAAGCACATTATGAAATTTAAATATACAAATTAATAAATAAAAATAAAATCATCTTGTAAAGAATTATTATTATTTTATGTATTAGGTCAAACGTGTATACGTGAAAAATGATTACACATAATTTTTGGAATAAAATGCAAGATGAATTAATGTCTTAGAATTACAGAAGAATTGTAGTTTCTATAAATGTAAATAAACACATATTTCTATCAAAGTTCTATATTATTGTATATAATTGAAATTTTTTCTTTAAAAATTCCATGAAAAATTTGATAAAATATTAAGAATAAAGAAAGAGACTAAATTACTAAAAAAAAAACTGTAATTGAAAATGGCCCAAGAGTCATTTATTTTTATTCTTTACTTTTATCTTGTTCACTTACTAATGTTAAGCCAGCAGTATAAGGTGGTACAAACACCAGAAATATTATCGATAAAAAACAAAGTACTAAAGCAACTCCAACAGATATAGGTAACACAAAAGTTCTATAATGATCCGTGTACGTGATGTAAAGAATAACTGATACCACTACACCAACAGTAGTAAACATAATTGCTATAGCTGGCCAAAATTGACTTTCACTTTCAATTCCAAAGATAACAAAGTAAGCCAACCAAGAAACTGATATCAGCAAAATGTATGTAAGCGCGTACCTAAAAAAAAAATCATTTTATTTCACATTAATTGAAATGACAAGGTATTATCTGATGTATGATAAATGTTTAAATGCAATTTGTAAGAAGAATAAATTCAATTTATCGTTGTCTGCGCATATAAAAGAAATTATTATTTGAATTTCAATACATTTATATAAACATTTAAAAAATTAATTAATGTTAGTATTATTATTATTATTATTATTATTATTATTATTATTATTATTATTATTATTATTATTATTAAATACGCATATACTTATTATGTTATTGAACAATGTCTGTTATGGTTGCTATTAAATATATTTTGATACGAAATTGTAAGCAAAGAAAGAAATATTGTTAATTGGAAGTTATTATTGCGTTAGAGAAGCAGAAAAAAATTTGACAAGAAAATTAATTATCAAAGTAAATATCTAAGTAAGCAATGAGGTAAATGCACAGATAATAAAAAGACAATAAAAACTTTATAATTATGAATTTGAAGTGAATTTAAATAATTAAATATAACATTATGTAAGAAGAATATATCATATATTAATTGTCATTATTAACTTGGCCATGGGTCGATTAAAATTCAATGATAAATATCATATTACCTAAAGCGTAGTCTTATCTGTGGGAAAGCGCTACACTTGAACTGTCCCTCCAAGATCTCTGAATCGAATTTGGGATTCCACCAGGATCTAGGTGCAGCTCTCTCAAAAGGTACTGGTAATCCAATTCCGCAGCAACCAAGACCTTGGCCACTGTGAGCCAAATAAGTTTGGATGTACGGAGCCAGTGAGATATGAATCTCGTCCGTAACATCATTGATGTCGTCCTTGGCGCGGGTAAAACTGACGGAGGAGCCGCGCTTACGACCAACTGGTAAGGTCATTTTTATTCATCCAAAAAAGGCTGCTGATAAGACAACACCTAATGTTAATAGCATGAATCACTTGCCCATTACAATGAAGAAAAACAATAGCCATCGTTATTAAACGCACGCGAACTACGAGCTCGACCTCTCTAACGAAGAGAGGTAAAAACAAGAGAAGTTCAAAGTTTGCGATTTAAGAAGAAAAAAAATAGGATTGAGACGGAAGTGGTAAAACTATTTCCTTCGAGAGTTTCTGCTCCTACCTCCTTCGTTCTATTGGTGGTGATACGCGACGGCGCCGCAACAGAGCCAATTTCCACTTTGTTTTCTCTCTCTCTCTCTCTCTCTCACTCACTCACTCACTCATTCACTCACACTCTCTCTCCATCTCCCTCTCTCTCTCTCTCTCTCTCTCTCTCTCTCTCTATTTTGTCATTAAAAGCAAGGAATTTTTAAAGAAATCAAGTTAAGAAAAAAAGAAGCGCAAACTAGGCAGAAATTACCGAAGAAGGTCAAGGGCGAGAACGCCACGGTTCTTCTAACATCGTCCGGCTTGGCATTGAATTTCGGAGCTCCCTACCAAGCACAGCAGACAAACACGGACAAGCCGAGTCACTCCTCGATCTCAGGTAATCAGCTGTTCCTCCATTTGGCCATGTTTAAAAGGCACTTTATGACCGCATCGGTGATGAGGCGAGTCCGTGGCGGCGAGAGTACGCGGAAGCGCAAGCACGTTGACGAGTCGCTCGAGGAGGTGCACCCGACGAAGAAGACGTGGCTCAGCCCGAGCACTATTCTACTAGGCGAGATACGATGGGCTCCAGCGAGCGTGATCTCGCTTCTTACTCCGTGTCGACCAACGCGTCTCGCTCTTCGCCCAAATTTACTCACTCACTCGTTCTCTCTCCCTCTCTCTCTCTCTCTCCCTCGTCGAACACAGACGGGAGAGTCATTAATCCTCCCGCAATCCCGCAAAATCAACGAGACAGAACCGAGGTCCCTTCGTCGCGTGGACTCCGGTTGCAACGACGTCAGCCATCTTTGAATTGTTTTTCCTTTTCTTATAGGTGGAATTACCGTGATTTAGAAGCACAAGACTGTCGGATTAACCAATTGAAACTTTTTTTGTAAAGCAGAGCTTTCTTTCGTAACCCCTAGTTTGAGAATATTTTCAAAACATTACAATTGAGTACATCATTTTTCCATAAATTGAAATGATCAATGATTGAAAAAATTATTCACTGTTATATAAAAAAAAAAAAAAAATGAAAGAAAAAAAGAAGTTTTGTTGCTATTCTCTGAAGATACTTGTTGATTGTTATTGAAATAATAAAACATAAATGAGAATTATTTTGGTAGCTTTATTGACAAGAATACCATTTTAAAATCTAAATGAGAAAATGAATGAGTTCTTCTGTTGTTCTTGCTGTTAATAGTTTAACATTTTTAGAAGCAATTGTCACTTAAATATTTGTACATGTAGATTGCGAAATTCTTTTGAAAATTGTTTGCTAACTATTTATAAGCTTTTGCTTATATTAGATAATGTTTTTACGTTCTTTCATCACACTGACGTCCAATTGCACATTTATTCGAAATACAGATTGAAATAGATTTATTATTACTTTATTTTACTCGACAGGTTACATATGATTAATAAAAAAAGTATGCTGTTATTTATTTTTTTTTAAATTAAGCTGAAATGCTAATGCAACCTTGAACTTGAATTTTATGAAATAAAGACAAACACTTAATATTACAATTTAAATACATATTTCAAAGGCACGATAATATCGTTCGATAATGTCATTTAGATTTTAAACAAACGTTTTCAAAATCTCGCTAATACATTACAATATAGATTATATAAAATATTATTCATTATTTTCAAATTATAAAATTTTTAAAAATTCCAACTTCAGGCTCATGATTCCTGACCTTCGTGCATTTAAAATGATTTGTCTAGTCAACAAAAAAAAAAAAAAAAAAAAAAAAAAAAAAAAAAAAAAAAAATTTCTTTTCCTTTGATTTACATTGTCGAATACTATAGATTAACGCGTTTTACTATTATAATAAATTCTAAATAACAATATTTAATTGTATTTGCATAATACAAAAGAGCACTAAAAAAAAAAAAAAAAAAAAAAAAAAAAAAAAAAAAAAAAAAAAAAAAAAAAAAAAAAACTTGTCTATATAAAATAGTATATATTTAACTTGATGTTGTTATGAAAATAATCATTTTTACAAACAAGATTATATTCTAATTATATATATGATTTCAATAAAATGGAAAAAATGTAGGAGTCAAGAGATTAAAGAATAAAATTAAAATGATCCGTTACGATACATAGGCATTACATTTCAAACGTAAACTCTAAATATTGTTAAGCCTTCTATTTATTGTCGTTTACAATAATATTAATTTAAAATTTCAAATATTAAACCTCCATAATCTCAATATCCTGATTTTCACTCGAAATATCTTACAAGCCCCATCAATAAAGATTATAAAAAGTAAAAGTAAAGCTCGAGGCAAGCGAAGTTGATCGCATAACGCGAAACAATGTTAACAACAATTACATAAAGAATACATTCCGATTATAATACATATTCCCGGTCATGTGTGCGTCCGTCTATGTGCTGTAACAAAACTATTTTTATCCGAATTAAATAATATAAATTTGCTAAAGTTTTGCAATGTGTTTATTGAGATTACGGTAAAAGTTTTCTTAGCTCCTCCGTGAAAAACAAGGCAAACTTAATAATTAAAAGCGTTTTGTTGAGCCGAACGTTTAAAGGAATAAATAAAAAATATTAATTTACATATAAAAATTAAATTTATTATATTGTAAAATGCATTGTTCTTTATACAATAAGAGTATAATACTTAGACTAATTTTTTTGTTTTTGTTTTTTGTTTTAAATACGGTGGTAACAATGTTGCTGCTAAAATAAACGACGCTTATCATTATCCGAAGTGTTTATTCGACGAGTGAGCTTCGACACTCCCGATTTAATACATTCCTCGAGAACTTTCGATTCCTCGTCAGAATAATCCGAATTCTCAGGCAACAAACGTTTGTACGCACTATCATCCTCGGCATAATGGTCAATTTTAGTAGATTTTTCAGTCTCGTTGTTTACCTGCTCCTCCTCCTCCTCCTCCTCTTCATTCTCTTCTTGAATGCACAGTAGAGAGAAGTTTGCGAGGTTCATTTGTGAGTCGAAGGGCGACACGTCAATTCTCCTGCTCGTATTGCCAGTTGCGCCCTCGTCGTCATAGCACTTATCGTTGTCCTCGGAGAAGTCCGAGCTGGCATCTGTACCGTAAGGATCTAATCGGCCGTCCGGTCTCTCGTCGTCGTAAAATGATCGCTGCTGCTCATCCTCCTCAAAGTTGGCGCTGTAGCCAAGATTTTCATCCGAGACACTTAGCATCGACAGCGCAGACAAATTTGACTGGGAACCGAAGGGGGAGACGAACGTCGGCGTATTTTCCGTACAGTAGACTCTTATCGTGTCTGTATTCGTGAGATCTTCGGCGTTCAGCCTTTGTAAAGAATCGACCTTGTTGTCGCCGTTTAAGGCAACAGGACCGGAGAGAGAGCTATGCAAATGATTTCGATCGTTATTTTTTAACTCATTCTCATACCAGGGATACTTTAGAGAGTCTCTGTAGATGTTGTTCTGTTCATCTTTATTTACAAAGGTCGTATATTCATTGTCATCTTCTTGAATATTAATGTAGCGAACATTTTCCTTCGTAGAAGACGTTAGTAAACAATTACTTCGGTAACCTGAACATTTCAATATATGTAAATAAAATATATATAACCAAGAGCGGCAATCATTTAAAAAATTTATAGAATTTAAAAGTTAATATAATAAGTTTCTGAATTATGAAATTTTTATGACTATAATATACATACATAAATATTGACGGAGTTTAACAAAACAACAATATAGTCATGAAATTTTTTATTTTAATTTTAATACCAATATGAATTAATCTTACAGTTGTTATTTCACTTATTTAAGCGATTCCATTAATTTACATTACAAGAATATCGTAAAAAATAATTTGTGCTTATTAAAATTTTATTTCAAACGAAAGTCTTTCAGATTATATTGTTATATTTGCATTAGTTAAGTATTACATGCTTTACAAGCTTTTAAATCTCGTTACATTATTCAAGTAACTTGAAACTATAAATGTTTGAATATTGGAAAAGCTTTAATACCGTAAAGTCCTTGTTATCAGAAAAAATATTTAAATCCTTACCCGAATGCTTTTTTAAAAGCTCATTGGGTTGAGGCTGGCAAGGCAACTTGTCTGCTTTACTAAACCTGTCCTTACAATATTGCTTTTGCACAGGAGCTTGGTGCATACCAGCTGCACTCGTCCTAACTTTTATAGCCGCTATTTTATTCATGATCTGATGATTGTTGCAATTGGTAACACCATTATCCTCGTCGTCATCTATAGTTAACGAACTCAAGCTGCTTGCTGTCGTCGAATGCATCTTGCTAGGCATTGACTCCTCCTTGAAAGTTACTAATCCATCTTCAAAGACACTGCCACAGTCTATTAATTGAATTGATTTTTCATATGGTGCTTCACAGTTTTGAGACAGGCTCTCAACCATCTGTATTGCTTTAGTACTATCGTTACGCTGAACGTGTGATTTTTTCAAGGTTGATCTTTTCATTACAACAAAAATATCATAATTAATTCAATTAATTTGATTAATATATCGCATGTAATATTATTAATTTACCAATATTCAATTAAAACATATGACAATGAACTTTGTAATTTTTAAAAAAAATTCTATAATTACCTTAATGAGATTCTATGCGATTGCTGCTGTTGACTATGAAAATTTATATGTTTTAATACAGCATTTGATGATGTAATTTGAGTTGGTGAATCGGGTAACTCACTAGGAGAAACTACTCCACTAGTTCTATGACTATGATCGCTAATTATAGAACTGTGATCATCGTGAATGGAATGCTGCTCAAATTCACTAAGAGAATCTAAAGAGCTACTACGAGAAAACATTAATGGAGTTTCTTGTGCATAATTTTCTTCTACATTAAAGGTCACAGCTTTATTTTCCTTTTCTTTATCGCATGGTTCAGCTGGTGATTGTGGAGGTGTGTGTAGTTTCTTTAAATTTCCTTCGCAAATCTTCTGATCGTTTACCATCCTTGTTTCATTTAAAATTGAAATTTTTGAATCTCTAGAAATATGTTTCTTTTTTATTCGATTTCTACAATCTTTAACAGCTTTCTCAGTTTTTTCAACTATTTCCTGTCTTTGTCCATCTTTTAAAAACTGTTTCTTATATATTACCTCATCTCCTTCTCTAATATCTTCAAGCGATAAAAGATCTGATATAGAAGTAGCATTGGAAAAATTACAAGGAGTTTGATACGGCGTTCCCTCGGTATAATATGTTTTAATCGTATCTTCTTGATCACCAGTACACTAAAAGAGATTTTATTAAAAAATAATTAAAAAATTCTTCCCACAATATAAATTTTATTGTTGAATGTAAATATTAAATTTATATATAATTATATACAAATTGTAAAGAAGATAAATAAAAATATGCAAATCCTAAATATTTAATAATCGAAGTTAATAAATCAATACTGTAATTTATATAAATCAATGTAATTTATATAAATATTTTTAGCCTTGTTGATATAAATTTTCTAAAATTATCTATTTAACCTATATAATTTATTATTTAATTTACATACATAAAATTGTGGATTTTGTTTCTCTTCTTCATCGGAATCTTCTTCTGCATAACGTAAACTATAATTAGTTGGTTGATCTAAATCTGTTTCTGGATAATCTCCATAAGGATCTACTTTATTGACTGCTGTTGATTTCTTTTCAGGCACAAATCTGGTTGCATTATTCAGAACTATATTTCTTTGCTGTCTATGTTGAATATTAGATGAATTTATATGTTTATTTTCAACCATTGACATAGAACTGTCAGTAGTATATCTTTTAGAGTAATCTATCAGTTCATCATCCGCTGTATCAACATCCTGATTTTTACTTTGCTTTTTATTGTCGTCGTTTGAAACAACCTTTTTAAAGGTTGGTGAACCGTCAGGAGATACTTGAATATAATTTTTATAAGACTCATCTCTTTCATCCGTTCCATTTACTATTAACTCTTCGATTTCAATATTAACAATAGAGTCAAACTCATCAACTGGAGAACAACATAAGCGATTTTGAATACTTTCTGCTGCTTCGATAGAAATATCTGAACCAAAACTCCATCTCTGCCTTGAATCAGGTTTCCCTTCTTCGATATCATGAGACCACCAACAATTAGAATTACTGGAAACTCTCAATAATTCATTATTGCTTTTACTATCTTCTAAATATTCTTTAGAACTTGTCTTAACGACTTCTGCCTGTTTATTAATATTTGTATTACAGATTATTTTATCCATGTTCTGATAAACTTCACTTTGTTTAATTTTATTTAAATTTGGTTTTTGATTTGATGGTATAAAATGTTCACATTCTATTACCATTTTATATAGTTGTCTTGGATTTTTTATATATATATTTTTTAACTAATAAATTTGTTTGTATTAAAATTTTAAAAAATATTAAACATTTTTGTTTCACATTGAATTTCATTTTATTAAATTAATTAATTTCCTTAATTTTATTGCAAACTAGAAATAGGAAATTATAAGTTAAGTTTAAAAAAATTAATTAAACGATTATATAAAAATATGCATAAATTGTATAGAAATGTATGTGAAAACCAAGATTTCTAACACTCATTGTAAACTGATTAAAAAATTTTCTTACGTTCGACAAGCATTATGCAAATTGTTTATAAACATTTATGTAGTAAAAGGAGAAAAACCGAAAATGGAATTTACCACAATAAAAAGAATTCATATTGTCCAAGACAACCAGCAACACATTAAAGTTTCAAAAACATAACCTCCTTCAAATCACAAATGCAATGTAAAAAATTCATTTACAATAAAATACTTTTCTTATTTTTATATTTGTTGAAGAAATTTAGGTATAAGTATATTGGAAAACCATGAGATCTATCGTGATAACAGAAATACAAGCAACGAAAACCTGTCTTTCACGGACTTTGTAATTTCATATCCAATCTTTTTTACTCATAATATCGTCTAGATGAATAGATGATATTACGAATCATCTTTATTGTAGGTTATGGGTAATATCATTGGCTCACTCGATCAAATAGATTTTTAACGCGCATGCGTGGAAGGTAATTGGTAACAGACCGATTACGGAAGACATTTCAAAATCTATGATGTAAATAAAAATTTTTGCAAGATATCTATAGATTTTTGTAATTGATTAGAATTCCAACACTTTGACAAAATAAAACATAAGTAGAAAAAACGTATTTTATTTATTTACATTAATTATTTTAAATTAGTAAATAACTAAACACTATCTCTTTTTTGATTTAACCATTGAATGTCATGATTTACATCTACAGTAGCACGATTTGCATTATAGGTTTGGAAAAAACGCTTTCCATGTTCAAACGTCGAAATCATAATTGCACAAGCGGGTGCTACTTTGACCAACCTAGGTGTTAATCCTGTAAATAATCCTTTCACTCCACCTTGAGCATAAATTTTTTTAATAGTTTTCCATGTACTACAAGACTCTCTTGGATTATCTAAACACAATAAATTTATAATTTACATTAATGTAAGAATATGTTTATGAAGCGATTATGTTTTAATTAAAAATTACAGAAGTTAAGAATATTAAAAGATAGAAAAACAAATGTTCACGTTCAATATTATTTATTATTGTTATGAATATTAGATGTTATTGAAAATACTTGAGTGCTTACAAATATTCTGAATTATTTAATGAATAAACAAGTTATTTCAGATTACTATTCTAATTATCTTTGAAATGAGTTACCTGAATAAATTTGCTTTTCTCCCATCTCTATTTGTCTATGAGTTTTAACTACATCGAAGGGAATTGTTATAAAGGCTGCTATCTATAAATATATTAATTTATTTATATATTATGTTTTTGTAAATTTATGTAGGCTTATTATTAAATTAACGGTTAAACATACAGAACCAGCTATAGCACCTGACACAAAGTTGGAGACAAAACTTTGTTGTGAATCAGAATACAGTTTTTTAATACATTCGTAATTAAACCAGTAAATTGCACTAAATGGTACATCTCGTAGTAATGTAGAGCTTAAGCCCATCCACAATCCCTTAATACCATTATATTGTATAACTATTTTTAAAGCTTGAGTTATTTCTGTAATATTTTAAATGTATAAAAGAGATGAAATAACAAAGTACATTTGAAGTTTTATTTGCATTAGAAACAAACCGGCATAATTCAATTTTTGTGACTGCATTTTAGTTCTTATAAGTTCTAATGGACTGACGAGTGTAGCAGCCCATACTCTTGCCGTACTTCCGGCTACCATTGGAATCCAAAATGGTTGTTCTGAATGGACCGTATTTATTTTAACCGAGTTATATTTATCCTTTTAAAGCAATATAATAAGAATTATTATTAAGCTACAAACTTAAATTCAATTAACATTTCCTTATTTTTACAAAATGTCTAAATAAGAAAAATAAGGGAATTCCTTATATTTAATGACCCTTCAATGTAAAATAATAGTGATTATTTGAATTAAAGAAAAAAAAAATATATACAACTATTAAAACTAATAAATTAAATAAGATATATTTAATTTAATACGATTATATTTTACTTATTCACTCATCGATCGGTAAATTATAAAAACATAATGCTATTTTTAAATTTGCAAAATGGAGTTACAATATACATTACTTTCATATAAAATCGTAATTGTTCGTAAGAAACAAAGTACACGATTGTAGCGGGTACTGCTAATACCAAAGTAGGACTTAATCCACTCCATAAAGATCGTACACCTTCTGCTTGACTAATTTTAAACATGGCATCCTATAATTAATTTTTATATTTAAGTACTTAACAAAATTTGAAAACTTTATTATTAATACATTTACATAATAATACCAAGGTGCCGCTAAATTTGCCATTTGCTTTAATCCATGTTGAATCACTAACAGCACCTTGTCCATTTGCACAAGAACAAATGTGATCCATCAGTCCATTACAATATAAGTAACACTTATTTGACAACATTGCTTTTTGTTGTGCTTGTAACCGAATTTTAACAACATCTAACGGTGTCACTAAATTCAGAAAGAATTTGTTTCATAAATTAATAAACTGATATTAATATATTTATTATATAATATTATTACATATATTGTTATATATTATATATATATATATATATATATATATATATATTAATATAAACTGATGATTAATAAACGAATTTTTAATATCTTAATAGTCATAGTTTTTTTTATCGCGTATAATCTTACCAAAAAATGAAGTAATAAGAGCTCCAGTACAAGAGGCAATCATTTGTTGTAGTGGTTTAATACGATATCTTGGATCGTCCAGATCTATTTTATTTATTTGAATAGTAGACATGTTCTTAATTTTGAAATCTTAATATTGTAAATATTTGATAAATATTTATTAATTATTTTTTAAAAGATGTCAAAATCATTTAAACATAACCTGATCTCTATTCGAAACGAGCACCATCGCGTTTTATAATTTTTCTTTCCGATTTTTGATTTACTAATAAGATGCATTCCTTGCATTCATCAAGTCACACAAATATTATATATTGATAAAAATTATTGAACAATGAAACCTATTACGACTTATTTATAAAAAAACATTCTAAAATATCTTGTTAGTGAATATATAATAATACTAACATTATGCACAGCACGTGTTTTGTACTTTGTGTTCATGCACTTTGAAGACAGTTGATTTTATCAGAATAGCCAACACTATTAAAAAAAATAAATAAATAAATAAATAAATAAAGTTATAAAGGAATAACTTCCAAAGAATTAAAGCATGATATTATAAAGCTATGAATAATCTTTCTTTTATATCATAATTTCATATTTGACTATTTATAATCGGTCATCTATAATTATTGAAAAAAATTTTCAATTACTTTTTCTCATTTAAAAAATATTATTTTGAATAGTTTTCTCTGCTGTTTAAGTTCAACGAATTTTAATAGGAAAACATTATTTAAATTAATTTAGAAAATTACTCTTAAATTATGGCTGCATAATTATGTTTTATGCAAAGCGTCTTTTCTTTAATAATTAAACGTTAGATAACGTTGAAAATTTTTTGAAAAAAAAAATATGTGTATATATACATATATAGAATAAAGGTTGAAAATACCATGTATGTTCTTCCATAATAATTTCTTGTAAAATAAGAGTTTGCTAAATTTATAGTTTTTACACTAATAGTACAGTCTACATTTTATAGTTACCAACACATATTTTTTTAATAAATAAAGTTATGTTTATTATAAATACATTTATTTTTCATTTAATACGTCTTTTACTACATAATTATTATAGTGCATAAATATTTATATACTTTCATAAATCTTTATAATACTTGCATATCTCAAATATCTGTATGAAAATGACGAATTTTTATTAACTATAATACATTTTTATATTGATCAATCGTTCTTTTGTTACGTATTCTGACTATTTCACAAGAATATCTTAGAATTAATTATATTTCAGTTAATAATTCAATGAAAAAAAAATATATATACATATTTCAATCAATGATAAAATTAAATATAAATGTATATTCGTAATAGTGTAAATAAAGTTTTAACAAAATTTAGTTTAGCGTATATGAAAGTTGGACGAGTGGCCGAGAGAGCATCTGATATTTTTATAATTTCCTTCGGCCTAATTTGAAATATAAATTTCTTATATTATTGACATCGATCGCAGAGATACGAATGTTAATTTGTTATTGAGAGTTTGCTTATAGATAATAGACTGCGGATTATTTGTGACAAATTACATGATATATTTTTCTTCATTTGTATTGCGCAATAATTACTTTATCGTCATTGTTATTATTGAACATTCATTTTCTTCTGATTACAGAATGTACATAAAGTTTAAGTATTAATTATCATCGGAGATTAATTTTTGAATATTTTTTATTACATTATAAGCAGTTGATCACGAAACCAGTGAATGCAACAGGATAATTATAAAATAAAATATAAAATATGCAAAATAAAATATAAAATATAGGAAACTGTAGACAAATTGTATAAAAATATTTTATGAAAATATGTTATTCTATACTTTTTTTTCTTTAGTAAAACAGATTTATCTAATAATGGCGCAAAAATGTAAGTATGCCTGTATATTCTAAACTTGACTCGAATAACAATTAATGATATATTTATAAACGAAGAGCCATGTGTTAAAAGACCATTAAAATTGTTTTTCGCGATAAATAATTAAAAGCACGCTTAAAAATGATTAGCTTTACGAATAAAATATAATGATGATGATGATGGGCACTGGTGATGATGGTGGTGGTGGTGGTAGCGGCGGTGGTGATTATAACGATGAGCATAACAAAATAAAAATGATAAAATGAAAAAAAGCGAACTCCAATGGCTTGGCGGTCGCAACAAATTCTATCTGTTTAAATCGACTTTAAAATCGATTTCTTCGATATAGTTGGCCAAATAATCAAGAGTTTACTTCAGGTTCGGATTTCGCACGTTTAAGCCACTACATCAATTGGATATGTTTTTACGAGATTGGGCTAGTAAATGTAGTTCGACGATGTGAGGGAGTGAGAGAGAAACCGGTGTGTGCTAAAGCTGAAGCTTACTGGGTGTCGTGCGCTATCGCCGCTGCAGCTCTGAAAAATCAAACATTATAGCTCTCGTTGCTTTCGTCTGGTATATAATTTCGAGCTTAGTGAACACTTCGTACGAAAATAGTTGTAAAATTCGGTGATTAGCGTTTATTGTACAAAATGGGCAAGGCGAAGAAGGGCAAACGAACTGACAAGGACGACGATTTGTAAGTTTATTTTCGGAGTTACGACAATTCTTCGAACCTACGTGCATGTAATTCCAACCTCCCTATTTCTGAAGCCGCCGCTATTCTCGGATAAAATTCAATTCAATTTGACATTGACTCGTTATTAAAGTCATTTGGCTTTTATGTTAAAATTTTAATTAATCCTATTGAATTGAAAGAAATCTCAGGAACCCTTTATAGATAAAAATATTGACTAGTCCTTTACCATCTGGTTAGTGTAGGTTAGGTTTCAGATTGTAGGTACTAAACAAAAAAGAATCGTAACACTTCAATAGAATTTAACGTGGAATATCGAATTCATTTAGTGAATTTTGCATTCGAAGAATTATGTATTTTAGGGAACGATATCTTGTTTAAGTACTTTTTAAATTGTTTTTAGTATTTTTAGGTAAATTATACTCGATTGATAAAAAGAAGTACATTGAGCCTGTATTTTTAGCATGGATTTGTAAATGCAAATTTATATATATTCATGTATTTGTAAATGCAAATATATATATATACATACATATATATATATATATATATATATATATATATATATATAAATTGTATGCTACAGAATAACATATATATAATAAAACATAATAATACAGAAACCGAATTAAATATATACTTGTTTACTTTATGCATTGACTTATCATCATTTTTATAATTTATGAGCTTATAATGTTTTTCCTTTAGTTTTACTTTTTTTCTTTTATTACTAATGTATTTAAAAATAAAATATTTTATAGATGATGCATTAAATTTTTTTTTTTATTCACAAATTTGTTTTTCAATTTATTGCATTGGACAGAAGTGTATAATATCAGTAGAGGCTTTTATATGATTTTTAAAAAGAATTTATAAATTTCTGTTTAATCTACTCAAATTTTTTTTTTTTTTTTTTTTAATAATATATTAATAGACATTATAACTTGTTATATTTAAATTTTATTTCTTTTAGTTGTATTATAATTTAATACTTATTATTTATTTATTTACAAAGGTTTTATTATTCAATTATATGTTTAAATAATTTTATTATTAGAATTAACTCGATTTTCACTGCATGTTTATATAGCAATTTTATTTAATAATACAAAGCTTTCAAATCTTACAGCTATATTGTATAAAATTAAATACGTATAGATATATCAAACAAATAATAGTATATATTAAATTATATTATAATAAAATATCAGAATAAAAGAAATTTAAACATTCATAATTTTTAGTATTTTAATTTCATCATAATTAATGATGCGTTATGTATAATTATTTTTTAATTTGTCTTTTCAGTGACAGCGATATTCAAGTAGAAGATGCTGTTAGCGAAGAACCCATTAAGTCTAAAAAATCAAAAGATAAGAAGAAAAAAGGAGATGACATTGATGAGTTATCTGAAGATCTCAAAGGTCTTAAAGTAGAAAAATCAAAAGCTTCTAAAAAGGATAAGAAACTGAAAAAGCAAGTAGATGTTTCTGATGATGATTTACCTTCGTATAAAGGAAAAGGAAAAGCCAATTCTGAATCAGATACTGATATTGATATGTCTAATAGCAAACAAAAAAATCGTAAAAACCTATCTGCCAAAAAAGGTTTTGCAGCTTTATCTGTTGAATCTAACGATGATTTATCAGATATTGAAAAATCAAAATCAAAAACGAAAATGAAAAAAGGAAATAAAGATGTAGATATAGATTCTAATAATGAGGATGAAGGGAAAGTATTGAAAAGTAAAAACAAAAGGAAAAGTAAAAAACAAGTAGATTTAGATGATTCTGACAATGAAACAAGGAAATCCAAGGCAATGACAAAAAAAGGGAAAAAGCCTGTTGATTCTGATGCAAGTGATGAAGATGAATCAAAAGTGAAGAATAAAAATAAATCTAACGCAAAGAAAAATAAAAAGAAAGATTCCGATAATGAGTCAGATGATGATGTTCCCAAATCAAAAGGAAAAACGAAAGATAAGAAAGGACGAAAAGCTTCTGATTCAGAAGATGATTTCAAAATTCTTCCATCAAAGATAACCAAGAATGCCTCGTCAAAAGGTTAAAACATTTTTATAGATTAAATACTTCTTTAGGTAGATCGACTCTATTTTTCTTTCTGCATTTATAGTTCCAAAAGCTAGTTTTGCCTTATTAAATATGGATGACGATGTGAACGAGGATCTTGCAGTATCACCTTCTGTCTCAGATGATGAGTCAACTAAAAGGGAAAGCGTAGAACGTAGCAAACCATCAAAACAACAAAAACCCGAACTACATGAATCACAAAAAGAATCTAAAAAAACTAAGAAAGGTATTTTGTGTATTTATTATTAACTTTATATTATACCATTTATCTTTTAATATAATAAAATTTAGAACTACATATTTTCAAATTTTCATTAATAAACGTAAAATTACAGCAAAGAAAAAACGTAATGATAGTGACGAAGATATAGATAAAGTTCTTGCTGAATTAGAAATGGAATATTCAGGACAAAAAAAACCAGTAAAAGAAGAATTAAATGATGAAAAAAGGGAAGTAGAAGATAAAACCTTAAATCAAAAAAAGCTGAAAGAAACAGAGAAGGAAAAAGATAAAGGAGATGCAATAGACATTGAAGATGGAGGTACTGTAAAAACAGCAGCACAAAAGAAAAAGGAGAAAAAAGAAAGAGAAAAACAGAAAAAGCTTGCTCAGAAAAAAGCTGTATGTATAATTTATAGCTGTATTTATAAAATATTTGTTTTCAAAACTAACATTATTTTAGGAATCCATGAAGAAACCTGATGTTGGTGACACCCTTAAGGATGCTGGTGTTGGTGAAAAGCAATCCGAACAGTCCGTAGAAACTAAAAAAGATGCTAGTGATGCAGAAGCAGAAGAAGAAGAAGGTAAAAAAAAGAAAAAGAAAGGTGTGAAAGAAGATCCAAAAGAAAAAGGTGTGTACCATCGAATAATAACATAATCTTTTTTTAACACAGTTTGGATATTTATGTTTATATTTGAATATTTATGCAAGTTTTAATACTGGAAAAAAGACATATAAAAACATTATTTTTAATTTGAATAAAATTAGGCATCTATGATTTTAGATTAAAAATAAAATAAATAAAAATCTTATATATATTTTGTTAATGTGTCGCAGTATATAATGAAAATATGGATTAATTATTAATTTTTTATTTTTAATAAAAATATTATTTTTATTGTTGTGCACAAAATTTCTTAGAAAAAATACACATATTTATTTTATAGGGAAAGGTCCAGGGAAAAAATTAATTGCTGCAATGCAAGAAGCTTTGAAGAAAGCGAAGGAAGAAGAAGAAAGATTAAAACGTGAAGAAGAAGAGAGAATACGATTGGAAGACGAAAGAGAGAAGGCGCGTTTAGAAAAACTTCAAAAAGAACAAGAAAGAAAGGAAAAGAAGAAGCTAAAAGAAAAACAGAGAAAAGAAAAATTAAAAGCCGAAGGCAAACTTTTAACTAATAAACAAAAACAAGCTCAAGCTAGGGCACAAGCTATGCTTGAAGCACTAAAAGCTCAAGGATTGGAAATGCCAGAAGCTGGTGAAAAGAAACCAAGACCTGGTAATAAAGTAGATAACATTAATTTAAATTTATTATTTATAAATACTTTAATCTATTTTTAATATTTAATTATTTAGGAACAAGAATAAGGCCAAGTAAATTAAAACAACAAATAAGTACGGAAGCAAAAGAAGAAATAAAAAAATCTGATGAAGTTAAGGCTGAACAAGTACAAGTAGAAATAGTTGATAAGCAAGAAAAAGTAGAAATAAAGAAAGAGGAAGAAGAGGAGGAAGCTGTTAAAGATGTTTGGGATGCTGAAAGTAGTGAAGAGGAAGCAGAAGAAGGTATATTAGTTTTTTGAAATTTTAAATTAATTAAAATTTTTAATGTATACTGTGTACTATATTTAAGAAACAATGTAAGTTTTTAATACATATTAACAATAAATTTAGTAAGATGTTTTTGTAAATAAGACTGAAGTGAAAGATTGAACTTTAAAATCCATCAATTCTTGATACAATTCATTTTCTTCATATAATGAATTATAATCAATTATTTGCAAATTCATACCTCAGTACTAAAATCCAAAAATATAATTGAGCATAAATCATAGTTATTATTGAAATATTAAAATTTTATGCGTTATAAATTATTATTCAATAGTTTTATTATGTATATATTACTGTGACTTACTATGAATAAATACAGCATATAATTACATATGGATTTTATAATAGATAAATCCGATAAAGTAACGAAGAAGTCGCCAAGTAAGGAGCTTTCAAAAGATTCGAAAGTTGTGGAAAAGGAGTCGACACCCGAAGATAATGAGGTATCCTCAGAATCATCAGATTCGGAGAGCGAAGGATCGGATTCTGGCTCGGATGAAGAAAGTGAGGAAGAAAGTGAAGTGGAAGATAAAACGACTGATGCTGAACGAAAAAGAAGGAAAGTGCGAGAAAGGATACAAAATCGTCGAATTGAAGCAGAAAAGAAGCGAACTTTGGATAATTTGCGAGCTGCTGTGGTATGTGTATTGGGTCACGTAGATACGGGAAAAACAAAAATTCTCGATAAGCTGAGGCGAACGAATGTGCAAGACGGTGAGGCTGGTGGAATCACACAGCAAATCGGTGCAACGAACGTTCCAATTCATGCCATTCAAGAATCAACGAAACATGTTAAAGGAGTAAGTAAATAACTTACTTATATAAAATTAATTTCAACTTCTCGTCACATATTCTATTTGAAGTAATATATTTATTTTTCTTATAAGGTTAAGTCAAAAAATAGTTACAGAATAGAATACAAGTAATGTTATATGATGATAATTGAACACAATGCCAATAATGTAAATTGTAATTTGTTTTAGTTTGAAAGTAAAGTCTTCAAAATTCCTGGACTGTTGATTATCGATACACCCGGTCACGAGTCATTTAGTAATTTAAGGAATCGAGGGTCATCTCTCTGTGACATTGCAATTTTAGTAGTGGATATTATGCATGGATTGGAGCCTCAAACAATTGAAAGTATCAATCTGTTGAAAGCGAAAAAATGTCCATTTATCGTCGCACTAAATAAAATCGATAGGTAGGAATGTATACTTTTATTTATAAATGCTTCTGTAAGATATTCAATATAAAAAACAATTATAATTTTCATTGTCTTTTAGGTTATACGATTGGCAAACCATGAGTCGTAGAGATGTACAGGATATTATAAAAAGTCAAGCTATTGGCACTCAACGGGAATTTGAAAAACGGTATAAGGAAGTGATTGTTCAATTTGCAGAACAAAGTCTTAATGCTGCTATATTTTATGAAAATCCCGATCCCCGAAGTTATGTATCCTTGGTTCCAACAAGTGCCATAACAGGTATGACAATTATTTTAAAGCACGTTTACAAACGATTTAACAAATGCTATTATTTAAATGTTTATATTTTATTCAGTTAATTAACATATAGTAATTGAATTGAATTCTTCAAATATAAAAGAATTTATTTCAAAGAGTTTATTTTAATATTGGCCTCTGATATTTCTGTTGCTTCTTCATTAAAATGAAATTGCTCTGGAGCAATGTAGCTAATTTGATTAACCAATTCGATTAATTGTAGGTGAAGGTATGGGGAATTTGTTGGCATTGATTGTTGATGCCTGTCAGGGACCTCTGGCCAAACGACTTATGTTCAGCGAGGAATTAGAAGCTACTGTGCTAGAAGTTAAAGCCCTTCCTGGACTTGGTACGACGATAGATTGTATTCTACTTAACGGGATCCTTCGAGAAGGTGACACAATGATTGTGGCGGGTACAGATGGACCGATCGTTACACAAATCAGATCACTTCTTATGCCACAGCCATTAAAAGAACTTAGAGTTAAGGTAATTTTAAAGAATTTTTTCCTCTACTAATATATAAGCGATTTATTAATAAATTATGCAACAATTTATATCTTCGGTTAACATATTTAATAATTTCAAAATTTTAGAGATGATAAATTATACTTAAGTAGATTTGATTTAAATTTTAAAAATTACATTCGATTATTCAGAAAATATAAGTATCTGATTTTAAAATCCAAAAAATTTTATTGTATATATTGTAAAACATTTTCTAGTAATTTTTTCATATTTCAAAAATGATTTTACAAAATATCTTTTTTAAATTCTTGCATTTATTTATAATTTTTCTTTTTCTTTTTTTCTTATTTTTATTATTGTCATTTGTGAATTCAATTACCTGTGTACAATTGTAATAATATAAAAAAAAACTTCATTTCTATAGAGTGCGTATGTAGAACATCGTGTAGTAAAAGCAGCTCAGGGAGTGAAAATTGCTGCAAAGATTTTGGAAAAAGCTATAGCAGGTATATATTAACAGTTACTAATAGAGAATTTTGTGATAAAGTTTACCTTAATTTTGATAATTTTTTAAATATCATTAACAATTTAGGATTAAAGCTTGTAGTAGCTCAGAAGCCAGATGAGGTCGAGATTCTGAAAGAGGAGATTGATAAGGAATTAACTCATGCCTTAAGTAAATTGAAGCTCGTGGATCGAGGTGTCTTTGTGCAGGCATCGACTCTTGGCGCTCTCGAGGCACTCGGAGACTTCTTAAAAAGTAGCAAAATTCCGGTAAGTATCATCAATTTATTTATTTATTATTATATTGAATGAAGTGATCGAGGAAAATCGATTGAGCACAAAGTTATCGAAATTTAGTTATATTTCCATACCGTTTTGCATAAGCTGCTTTATAATGAATTTTTTACTAATTATATTGAATAATTATAAAAGAGATAGTATAAAATTTAAGAACATTTTAAAAATATTTACAAGCTTATTATTTCTTACTTACTACAGTTTTAGTCTTTAAAGTTTTAAGCATTATTTTTCCTAAAAAAGAAAGTATCAATTATCACTTATCTCACTTATGAAAAATAGGTTTATCTGACAAGCATTTCTATGTCGCGTTACTTTAATCTTAGAATTAAGATCGATTAAATTATTTTATTATTTCCGTAAAAAGTATAATAAATATTAAAACAAAAAAAGAATTATTATGGAAAATTATCCTTAAAATATATATTGCGTTGATTTGTTAATTTTTTGTAATATTATTTTATAATCTCGATGAAAATATATTTGCGCTTTGATTATAAACTTTCATAAATAGTTACTCAATCTCAATTCTTTTCTAGAAAACTCAACAAAATTGAAGCTATTTAAAGAGATTTAAAACAGTCGAAAATTACAAAGTATTTTCATAATTTGGCTGTTATGTGTGTTTTTTTTTAATCAGTTCATTTTTTTTTTATATTTTCGCATATGAATATGCACGATTGGTTAAGCTTATAAATAAAGATAATTATCTTTTAAAAAACTAGTAAATCCTTATACGACTGTATGTGTTTTATAAGAGACACAATTTATACTTTTATCTTAATTTCAATAATAAGGAGCTAAATATTATAGCTAATTATACGAAAAGCTTGAAGAGTCTACCTTGAGCTAATTATAATGAATATGACGTAAACAAGGTGGGGAACGTGAAATCCGAGTAGTAGGACCACGAGTATTTGGTCGAAAGAGACTCGGGAATCTTTGTGCTCGTTACGCTTGCACGTACAAAGAAAATATACAGTGGCATAAAAGAGAAAAAGGGAGTAAAAATAAAAAGCGATACGAGTACGAGCTGTCGCGCGTTACAGTGTCGAGGGGAGTGCAAAAACGGAAGAGAGGAGACTTGCGCGCACGCACTCACGTACACGGACGACGGATCACGAACACAAGTGGTCGTAGGCGCTCGGTGCACCGACCAATGAGCCGTATCCTGCTAAACCGTTAAGAAGGAAGTGCTTCATTGCCACTAGCTTCGAGCGCCCATATGTACGTTACGCGCTCCTCCATCGGCGTCCGCCAAAAATCTTTATCGCTACTTAATGTCAGAGGCTGTGCATGCGCGCACGCTATGGAACGCGGTCTTATCGTCAATTTTTGGCTGGGCTTGCTTACATTCGATATGGCTCGAAGGGTCGTTTCTCGGTTGCCGATTACACGGGCAGTTTTGAAAAAACGCTCGCACTCCAGTTTTAAATTTTTAGTATAACGGAAGGGCGATCTGAAGTAACTGTAAATTAGTTGAATCTATCGTCTTTCGTTGTGACACAAAACTGTATTTCATGCGCACATGCACACACGCACACGCACACGCACACGCACACGCACACGCACGCACGCACACGCACGCACGCACACGCACGCAAGTCCTTATTGAAAATGAAGCAGTGGAAAATTTGTAAATCTAATCTAGTATTGTTATATGCCGAGATGCTCTTTATGCTAAAATGTTTCATAATATTTTAAATGTTCCGGTTTCTAAATGGCGCTATAATTTTCTATTTCGTATCACACTTTCACAAACCTGTGATTTTAGCAAAAATTATCTAAACGAGGCTTAATGCACACCACTTAATATTAAAGTTACCACACGTACACTAAGCAGCAGATTTGTGCAATCTGAGTAAAATACGAGAAATTGCAAATGCTTTTAAGAGTCTTGTGATAATTTTTCAAACGTTTTATTATTTATTATGGCAAATAAGAGTAAATAAAAGTACAATAAATATATATAATTTATTTAGTTCGCTATTCAAAATAAATTATTCTTAATAATCGGATGCCTTTGTAATCAATAAGGTACTACTTCTATTATACAATTATTGATATAAGATCAGAGTAGCTTTTTGTTAAAATGTATTATTACATTACGTGTCGAGATAGATGCTTGAAGTCATTTTAATTAAAAGCATTTAATTTAAATGTTTATCAGAAAATTGTATCTTTGGGATTGAAGGTACGTATATGATGATAATTATATTATGTGCAAAATCATAATTGTATCGGATAAATCATGATAACATAGTAAATTGCTGCAAATAGTAATATGATATCTTACCATTTTATCAAATATTTGCTTGAAAAAATGAAATTTAATTGTATTTATATTATTAATCTATGAAGTGTATACGAAGTATCCCGGATATAAATTTTTTCTTTCATTTTCTTAGATTGAAATATGAAATTACGTGATTTTCAATATAATCGCAGTTACTCTCTTGTATTATTATTATTATTATTATTATTATTATTATTATCATTATCATTATTATTAATTTTAGAAATTGGAGATTTAGTTAATTTTTAAAAATAATTGCTTGCAAAGGCTCGTTAAATTATTTTGCGAGCTTATTCTTTTGTATTATATGTGGAAAAATACCTGGGAAATTCCATTGAATCTTAGAATATTTAGATATACAGTATATGCGTGCGCGTGCGCTCGCGCCGAAATACTCTTAACCATATGGTTTGAAGTACGATTAGCGCTCTTGTTGAAATCATTTAAAGAAAATAAGCTATTATGGATAGAAGCACGTGTTAATAATTTTATCGATCCCCTCCATTTCACAACGTTATCTCACCGACGCCTGAAAACTTTCATCCGAGCGATCCGATCATCTCGCTCATATTTTTCTCGTGTAAAAAGGTGAAAAAAAATTGCACGTACCGTATAATACTTTATAAGCGAAACGGCCTCTATAGCGAGTCTCTCGTCCTTGCTCGGCTTATGAATGGAATCTCCCCTTCCGCTTATAGCCGTAACGGCGGAGGTGGGGAACGAGCAAAAGAATACGGTCTGATCACGTGGTGCGGGGCTCGTGACGTCATGGCAGAGCGCGCGCCCACTCTACGCACATATTATATTATCCGCGAGGTCCCGCGAGCGCACTTGGAGATAACAGAGTAGTTTTGATGAGCATGTGCGTAAGCTCGGAACATTTGTCTGGTTTTGGCCGGAGGTGGAGGCCATTGAAAAAATTCTGGCACTTCGGTCGGCCTCGCTGCTTCTATTTGCCAATGTGAATCTAGAAGAGATTCATAGAATCGTGCAATCTCTTGAGTTTCGAATATTAACAGTTATAAAATTAGATTAACCTCCCCCCGTAGTTACATCTTTCGATTTTATGTCCATGGCAATGTTTTATGATTCAATTTGTAAATCCGTCTTCTCTATCTTTTCATTAATTACTTATATTCACGTTTTGAAATATTCGCCATGACATACAAATATTCGTATTGACAAAGTTATAAATTTAAGTTCTATAGATCTAATTAAGAAAAAATCAAGTTTTTGGAAAGGGATAGAACGATTGTTCTTTGTTATTAATTTTTATACACGAGTATAGTTTGTGATAATATTATTGATAATAAAACGTGAAAGTCATTTTTTGGAAAAAGTTGACCAAATATTTATTTCATTCGATACTTCTTTACATCCAAGAATTTGGATTTTTTAATTATTTTTATTTGCCACCTTAAAATATCTGACCGGTAAAAATTCATTCTTATTTAACAACTTTAAAAATTGCTGATAAATCTAAATATAATTCAACCAGACAATTCATCAATAATTCATCAATAATTTTATTAAATATTGAAAAATGTTAAATGCTCCTTTAAGACTTTATAAAGCACAGCGTTGTCTCAGGCTCGAGAGACGCAAGCATCGATCGATGCTTGAAAGGCGTAATCAATACATTTTAAAACAAGTAGCTCAGTAACAAGTAGAGAAAAGCATAAGAGACAACAGTAGTTTTGCGTTGTAACAAATGCAGAAGGAAAAATTAAAAGGGCCGTTGATAGGAGAGAGACAAGAGAGAATAGAGAGGAGAGACAGACAATGAGAGAGAGACAAGAGAGAAGAGAGAGAGAGACAAGAGAGAAGAGAGAGAGAGACAAGAGAGAAGAGAGAGAGAGACAAGAGAGAAGAGAGAGAGAGACAAGAGAGAAGAGAGAGAGAGACAAGAGAGAAGAGAGAGAGAGACAAGAGAGAAGAGAGAGAGAGACAAGAGAGAAGAGAGAGAGAGACAAGAGAGAAGAGAGAGAGAGACAAGAGAGAAGAGAGAGAGAGACAAGAGAGAAGAGAGAGAGAGACAAGAGAGAAGAGAGAGAGAGACAAGAGAGAAGAGAGAGAGAGACAAGAGAGAAGAGAGAGAGAGACAAGAGAGAAGAGAGAGAGAGACAAGAGAGAAGAGAGAGAGAGACAAGAGAGAAGAGAGAGAGAGACAAGAGAGAAGAGAGAGAGAGACAAGAGAGAAGAGAGAGAGAGACAAGAGAGAAGAGAGAGAGAGACAAGAGAGAAGAGAGAGAGAGACAAGAGAGAAGAGAGAGAGAGACAAGAGAGAAGAGAGAGAGAGACAAGAGAGAAGAGAGAGAGAGACAAGAGAGAAGAGAGAGAGAGACAAGAGAGAAGAGAGAGAGAGACAAGAGAGAAGAGAGAGAGAGACAAGAGAGAAGAGAGAGAGAGACAAGAGAGAAGAGAGAGAGAGACAAGAGAGAAGAGAGAGAGAGACAAGAGAGAAGAGAGAGAGAGACAAGAGAGAAGAGAGAGAGAGACAAGAGAGAAGAGAGAGAGAGACAAGAGAGAAGAGAGAGAGAGACAAGAGAGAAGAGAGAGAGAGACAAGAGAGAAGAGAGAGAGAGACAAGAGAGAAGAGAGAGAGAGACAAGAGAGAAGAGAGAGAGAGACAAGAGAGAAGAGAGAGAGAGACAAGAGAGAAGAGAGAGAGAGACAA